AAATATTTTCGGGCTACCTATGATCAGAAAGAAAGCTTCTTTTATTTTCTTACCTCTTCCGATCCACTCTTTCTTCCACTTTCTCAAAATCTAATTCCGAACAATAAAAAGGGGGCGTCTTTTTCACCCGCTTTATAGTCAAGATAAACCGGAGTCTGTCTAGTTGATTTTATTACTTATTTATTAATCAGTCATTGTAGGTCTTGTTAAAGTTGGATAAGAAAATGATATAGCCCTACTGCGTTCACGTATACCGAAACAAGATACAGTATTGTTACAAGCTAATTTCTCAGGCTGTTGTAAATTTTACGTGTTAAGTCACATGATATTAAGAAATGAAATGACTTAACAATAATCCACTATTGCAATCTATTATTAAAGCTAACATGAGCACGTTGGGCTGAACGTCAAATTTATTTGCGTTTAAATAAAAAACAAAAATCATATTAAAATAATACTCGATATTGACCCCCCTTTTTCAGAAAGAGTATTTAAAGGAAATGACTACGCCAACATTCAAATTTTAATGTTAATAAAAAAACACAAGTTTTTAAAGCTAAAATTTCTGCTACGCATATACGCTTATTGCCAGATAAAATACTTTATTAAGGATAAAATAGTAATGTTAATATTTAAACAATTTTTGAAAGGTGATACGGTGAAAATATAATTTAAATAAGGGACGTTGTTTAAGTTTTCAGCAGAGCAAATATGAAGCGTCACAGGTATGGCGTTTTACTATTATTATTTTTAAATGGCATTCAAATATAAATCCTCTAAATTTAATCACTTAGTTTTTAAACAAAAACCCATTCTGATATTCTGTAGGTTGTTTTTATACCCCGCCGTAAAATGGCCAAGGCATATAGTGTTACCCGTTCCGTCATTCCCTCATCATCAGTTTCCATAACGTTTTATATTTCTTTATTTATTAACCGATAAAATCACGCTAGCTGAGACTTTTTGCACGTTTTTGATATTTTTGACCCAGGGCGCCATGTCTACGTAAATAGCTGCCATTATTCTTTTCATTGTTCAGTGTATTATTTATTTAATCTTTTATTTATTTAGTTATTTATTCATTCATTCATTCATTCATTCTTTTATTTATTTATATATTTATTTATTTTTTATTTATTTATTTATTCATTCATCAATGTATCTATTTTAAGAATAGTAGTAGATTTAAGTGCAATATAAATTTTGAATAAGCAATGTCCTGTTGCGATATACTATGAATATTTACGAAGGTAAGTGTCGCCATCAAGCTGTTCGGATAAAGTATATAAACAACACACTCACACGCATGCACGTGCACGAACGCACGCACACACACAGAGAAAATCAAATGACACTGGGTCAATATATGTAGTAGTGATCATTTTGATGATTGTTTAAATTTTTAAAAACCTTTACTTGTTACTGCATGCCTTCGTCTTACAGTGGTATTCGGTAAATTGCACTGACGCTACTTCCGGGCTAGTGCATAATTCACATAGTATTGCATTCTTCATATTTCAAACACATAGCTTAGAAAAATGTTATAGTTTACAAATATATATATATTTATACGAGGTAATATTTGCATGTAAATACATGTATATACATTATATAATTCATATGATAAATCTTATGATGACCTTGCAGATATTTTTACCCTTATTTATCCATCATCAAAAATAATTTAAGCTACAATTAAACATGAAATAGAGTTCTATGTTAAGAGAGTCGCTTGAACGTCCCAAAACACGAGACGCTACTTTATTTAAAGGGTCTCATGGTAGATTGATATGTTGTTGAAATGAGTTCTCTCGTTAAGTAAAGTCTTTATTATTATTATTATTATTATTATTATTATTATTATTATTATTATTATTATCTTTCAATTTGGTTTATGCGATGATAGCTTTCAATTTGGTTTATGCGATGATGATTTTCAACGATTAAACAAGGCGACCACGTTCAGCAACTGTCAACACTATATGATGCGCAACTTTGTGTTTGAGGATCAACTTAAACAATTTATTTGGAGAAAAAAAAGAAAAACGTTCTAATTTTTAAACAAAAACGATAATGATGATGATATTTTTGGTGATGATGATGAAAGTTTCATTGATGACGATTATGATGAATACGATAATGATATTGATGTTGGTGGTGATGGTTACATAGGTAGTGGTAAGGATGACTAATGATGATGGTATGATTGCGATGATGATGATGATTATGATGGCGGTGGTAATGATGCTGATTGTGATGATGATGATGATGGCGGTGGTAATGATGGTGATTGTGGTAATGATTGCGGTGGTGATGATGATGATGATCGTGATTGTGGTGATGATGGCGGTGGTGATGATGGTGATTGTTATGATGATGTAGATGATGATGGCGGTAGTAATGATGGTGATTGGGGTGATGATGGCGGTAGTAATGATGGTGATTGTAGTGATGATGGCGCTAGTGATGATGACGGTTATGATTGCGGTGGTGGTGATGATGATGATGATGATGATGATAGTGGTGATAATTGCGGTGGTGATGATGGTGATTGTGATGATGATGGTGATTGTGTTGATGATGGTGATTGCGTTGATGATGATGACGATGATGATGGTGATGATGGCGGTGGTAATGATGGTGATTGTGATGATGATGGTGATTATGTTGATGATGATGATGATGATGATGGCGGTTGTAATGATGGTGATTGTGATGATGATGGCGGTGGTGATGATGGTGATTGTGTTGATGGTGATGATGATGGTGATGATGGCGGTGGTAATGATGGTGATTGTGGTGATGATGGCGGTGGTGATGATGGTGGTTGTGTTGATGATGATGATTATGATGATGGTGATGATGATGGCGGTAGTCATGATGGTGATTGTGATGATGATGGCGGTGGTGATGGTGATTGTGGTGATGATGGCGGTAGTCATGATGGTGATTGTGATGATGATAGTGATGATGGTGATTGTGGTGATGATGGCGGTAGTCATGATGGTGATTGTGATGATGATGGCGGTGGTGATGATGTTGATTGTGATGATGATTGCGGTGGTGATGATGTTGATTATGTTAGTTTTTGTGGTGATGATGGTGGTAGCTTTGATAATGTTGATTATGAGGATGATTAAGGTAAGGGCGTGGCAAATTACTGTAATTTTTAAAACCTACCGAAATAACTTATTACAATCGTGTGTAATTTTAGTTTGTTTGTATAACGCTATGCCTTTTGTCACACAAACGTTTCCAGTATATTAGTTGTAAATCAACTTTGATATATATAGATGTAAATGTAAATTATCATAATTTCAATGTGTACAGCCGTACAATGGGTTGGTGGCATCCTCAAAATTTTAGTAGTCACGTTTCGCAAAATATATTACAAAAAAATATACAAAATAATGTTTCATTAAGTTTCGAACCTTCAACCTTCAATGTGAAACTAAAGTTCTAAACCCCTTATCACTGAGGCGAGTTTGGTAAGTGTTGTTTTAAATTTGTTCTTTAAATTAACATAATTATATACTGTTATGCCATACTTTAAAAATCCGTAACATTTTTTACCGACAATTCAATTACCAACAAAAGGTCATTGAATATTCAAATGTCTCAGGTCAATATTGCCAAACAATACCAACTGTTCCTAAAAAATGTCACATTTAGATTTTAAGTTCTTTGTTACAATATATTGTTTTACAAACTCTTTAACTTCTTATGAAATCTGTAAATTACGTAATCATTTTAGAATGGTTATTTCAGAATGCATAATATATTGCACGGTTGTTTGATATTACATGTTAAATATAGATATAAGCCGCGTCCTGACAAAACCAACATAATGGGTTTGCGACCAGCATGGATCCAGACCAGCCTGCGCATCCGCGCAGTCTGATCAGGAGATCCATGCTGTTCGCTTACAAACCCTATCACAAGTACAGAAACTAATAGCGAGCAGCATGGATCCTGATCAGACTGCGCGGATGCGCAGGCTGGTCTGGATCCAAGCTGGTCGCAAACCCATTATGTTGGTTTTGTCATGACGCGGCTCAAATTATATTATTCATTGATTAATTTTTACAATCTATATAGATATTCCTCTAATAAAATGAATTTATAAACAATATGTTATCAGCTTTGTAGCGATTATTTATCCTTCTTTATCGATACTTGTGAAATTGTTCCCCCACAGAACAAAAACATCAACAAAAACAAATACATCAACACACTCAAAAAGTGTCTACCCACAAGAAATAAAGCAAAAGAAAAAAAACAAAACAAAACAGAATCAAAATTTTGATTTAAACATGCATCCACTATGGAAAACATGCATGTATTTGTGTGTTCAGTCACGGATTTATATAATTATTTTCTAATTCGCTTGCTCAAACGAAAATAAATTATTTATTCTCTTTAAAAGCTATTAAGCATAATACACAACGAGACATAATTAGGATTGGCCAATTGCATTGCTTTTATTATATCAGAAATACAGAAATAAATTCAAATATAAATCATTAATTGAAGTTTGCCTCTTCTCACTCCATACTTGAATGAAAGCATCACCTGTTAAATATAACAGAACATGAATAACCATCGAAATGAGCTTCTTTTTCTTTTAAACAATAACCTGATATGAAACCAGTGTACTCAATCAAATTGTAGGGGTGGGAGGGATGGGATGGGAAAATAAACATGCGAATAAAGCAATGCAATTACCTCGAGTGATTTGAAAATACCTTTCGATACTTTATATAGAAATCTGATACGCTTAGTTGATGCACGAAAATCTCGTGCAACACAAATTTTACACAAGTACTATATATTACAGCGTAACTTAATAGCTCTACCAAGAATAAATACATTTATAAATTCGTGATTCAGTATATCTAGATAAGCAGGGTGGTTTATTTGGACAATTTCGGTAAAAATTCTGTCATATATGCGACTTTTATCAACTATAAGTTCTTTACTGCACGATATTCACGCGGCGTACCAAGTAAAGGTATTTTTAAAAAGATTAACTGTTACCTTATGTGTAGAACAGGGAAGAGTGGAAACAAAGAGGAAAATGAGTTCGATGTCAAGAATTTTGTTTTTTGTTCAGGTTTGCGTTTTGTTGTTCGAAGTTCATGCAAACGAAGTCAATGTAGGTATGTATATTGATAATTTATTTTTGTTTGATAAACTGTAATATTTTTATTAATTAGAGTGTTGTTTAGTCTTGTACTAGATTTTGTATTTTTTAAAACGATTCTTAAAAACAGTACATTGGCATCTTTCTCCAGATTTTTTTTCTTTCTGCCATTACCATGTATATTATATCGCTCGATTTATATAATGCATAAATTGGTGAATGAATGGGAAATTGGAGTATTTAATAGTTCACTAAACGGTGTTTCAACAGTTCAATATTATGAAAAATGTATACATGTACATTGTCAGATGCTTAAAAATGGTCATGTTCTTGCAACTGCAAATCACATTGGTAATAGGCAGTACTTTACACAAAATATGTTCTAAATGCATCTCAAATTTTGCGGCGCACTATATTTTAGTGTATCATGTAAAAGTTCAAATTACCTATGTCTACACCAAAATATAACATCCCGCAATATTCCCTCGATTCTTAAATCTTAAGGGAAATGTAGATTAAATAACGTTTGCTTAATACAATGATGTTTTTATATTTCACAGATTGTTATCCGAACAATACCGTCATTGTATCGAACCCGGCACCTGCGTCCCTCCATTATGGACTTGCATCGGACTCGGACGCGCAATGTAACCTGACCTTCTCAAGCAACTATAGTCTTATTACTTTGACTGGCTGTTCCAAGGTTTGTCAGAACTAATTTATCATAACAATATATTCAAAAGTCTCCAGAGTTAATTGTATTAATGATCAACATGACATTTTTCATTAATGGCTAAATTAAGCCTACAATGCTATTATTTTATTTTTAAAATCTTATTTTTTGATGGCTTGTTGCAGTTTCAAAAATGTCTCTCATTGGCAATAATAAGATTATCTTCTGCGTTTTGAACATTAGTGCACTTATACTGATTATGTATTTTGTATGGCCGGCAGATTTGCTCTTTGTTTCCTTCTTTTCCTACCTTTATAATAATTTCTTTTTCAAATTCAGTGCTATTTTCTTTCCGTTGTAGACAATTCTTTTGCTCTAAATCAATTTATTTTCACAACCTTATCAAACATGCGTTTTCCCTTTTTTAAAATAAGAACAAAAATATTCATTTCTGAAACTTAAAGGGACATCATCTTACCAGAAAGGTTTTTCTATTTGTAATTTTTATCCCCCCCCCGAAGGGCGACTTATAGTAATCGCACTGTCCATCCGTCCGTCGGCTCGTTCCTACGTATGGTCATTTATTGGGTACTTCTTTTGTTTGAAAGTAACCTATAAGAGAGCAAAAGTACCCAACAGTACTGACGGAATGACTAGAATTACCCAACAAGTGTCCTCTCGTTTGCCCGAGCCGTCCGTCCGTCCATCCGGTAATCCTGCCCGCGCTTCATCTCCAAAACTGCTGGTGAATTTCAGTGAAACTTCACAGGATTGTTTTTCACCATGCCTAGTTGATATTCTGCATATATTTTTTGCACAATTATGGCGCTTTAATGGTCTATTTCCGAGTAAAATTAGATTCTCCAATCTACATCTCCAAACCCGCTATGGGATTTCATTGAAACTTCACAGTATTATTAGTCACCAAGACTGGTTGTGCATAATATCTTAATATTTTCACACCGTATTACCGGCCCCAGTGATGGCACATCACTGCAGAGATGGCAGATAGCTGAAATTTACCGCTCGGTACAGGTAGGTTATAAATTTGGTTGGTATTATTAATATGTTACACAAATACAGCCCATTTCATTGCTATGAAACTTTTGTCCATTGACAGGAGATACTATTAGGTAATTTTGGACTCGTTTTTTCCTGTTTTTAGACTATTTTGAGCAGGTTAAAAGTGACAGCTTTGGAAAAATCCGTGAAAATGTCTGTTTTTTGTTCAAAATATCCCAAGTTTTAACTAAATGGCATGATTTCGTGTTATTAATATAGACGTTCATCCATTGGGGTCACGAACGTCAAATATCTAATCCGTGAGTCTTTTCTTGAAAGTTTTACAGACGTTCAATCTGGTCCGGTCGAAGAAAAAATGCTGCCGTTGTAGGCAGATACTTATTTTAAATGCTGCCGTCGAAGTGGCTAACACTCTGACAGAAAATCAAGGTCAATCTTTTATCAATTCCTCTATTCTTTGCGTCCTTTTAGTCGGAATTAAGACGTTAAACTGTCATTTCTAATATTTTCTCAAGATAGAAAAGTTATTAATGCGGTATGTGTATCGAAAAAAAAGCTTTTTAGCAACACACAGTTACAATACAAAATGTGATGATTCAGTACGGCCAAATTGCACTATAACTGGAGCAATTTACATGAAGAAATTCATTGTTCTATATTCATGCATTTGTGATTGATATGTTGTGTCTGTCAGTTACATGCATACAATACCATATATATCTTAAGTTAAGCAGAGCATAATTCACTCACTTTTCAAGACATAACGCCATTCGCATATTACAGTGAGTAACTTCAGTAAGTGGATATTCATTTGCTAGCATATGATATTATTTTCTCGAGGTAATAATGTTCATATCTTAAGTATATGTTAGTGTTCATCCGTGCTGTTCTACAGAAATTAGAAACTTCGACGGGAGCGATAGCGACAGGAGAATGTTTCTAATTTCTGTAGAACAGCTAAGGATGAACACTAACATATTTAGTGTCAAGCTTTATTTGGCCTTTGATTACGTCACTACGCGGTACTATGAAGTACGACTATGAACGGATTTCAATATAGTATCGACTCTTTTTTCTTCTATGAAAATTAACACACATAATTTTTAAGAAATACAGCGTTTTCATTGGATGACAAAATAAAGCTGGACACTAATGACATATAAAGGCTGAAATTTACTTGAAATTTACTTAGTCGGCGCTAATGCTGCAGATTATAAGTTACTAAATCGATGTAATAAAGGGGAGATTATTAACCTTGCAACTGACAAAATCTGTGGACACCAGTGTATCATAAAACAATTTATGTTAATGTAAAATGGAAATTAAGATAATTTCATCGACAGTTAAAATATTTTCCTATATTATCAAGTTCTTGAAAAACACTGTTTAATGATACACTGATGTCCACAGATTTTGTCAGTTGCAAGATTAATAGTCTCCCGTTTATTACATCGATTTAGTAACTTATAATCTGCAGCATTAGGGCCGACTTAGTAAATTTCAGCCTTTATATGTCATAAAGTGATGAACATTATAACCTCGATAAATCATGTTATATGCTAGCAAATGAATATCCACTTACTGAAGTTACTCGCTGTAATATGAAATGGCGTTATGTCTTGAAAAGGGAGTGAATTATGCGCTGCTAAACTTATGATACATATGGTATTGTATGCATGTAACTGACAGACACAACAGATCAAGCATAAATGCATGAATATAGAAAAATGAATGTCTTCAATGTTAATTGCTCTATTTATTGTGCAATTTGACCGTACTGAATATTGTCACTGTGTGTTGCTAAAAAGCTTTTTCGATACACATACTGCATTAATAATTGTTCTATCTTGAGAAATTATTGAACGTCTGTAAAACTTTCAAGAAAAGACTCACGGGGTAGATATTTGGCTTGCGTGACCCCAATGGATGAACGTCTATATTAATAACACGAAATCCTGCCATTTAGTTAAAACATGAGATATTTTGAACAAAAAACAGACATTTTCACGGATTTTTCCGAAGCTGTCACTTTTAACCTGCTCAAAATAGTCTAAAAACAGGAAAAAACGAGTCTCAATTACCAAATAGTATCTCCAATTAATGGAAATAGTTTCACAGCAATGAAATGGTCCGTATTTGTGTAATATAATAATACCAACCAAATTTATAATCTACCTGTACCAAGCGGTAAATTTCAGCTGCCATCACTGCAGTGATCTGCCATCACTGGCGTGATTCTGCTTAAATTGATTTTGGCGCAGTTATGGCCCCTTATTGGTCTATTTTCGAGTAAAATAATCTTGTCCATCTTTCATCACCAAAACCACTTGAGGAATTTCAATGAACAATTATTAAAATTGTTTGCATGGTGTAAGGATTTATCAAGTCTAGCTGTGCATTGTGCAATGATTTTGTGCATGATTTTTTTCTCACACAGTTATGTGCCCTTGATGATGATTTTTTTAGTAAAATTTGTTTAGACTATTTCTCCTACACTTCTTATGGAATTTAAATGAAATTTAAAGAATGATATTTATCAAAGGCTGTCGGGCGTATAATACCAGTATATTGGCATATCTTGCAACCTTTATAACAAAGCTTCCTTTCGGGGGCATAAGTCACTTTTCAGTGACAGCTCTTTATATTCACAATATTACAAACATTTATTTTATGCTTTTCAGTGGATTACTGATTTATCTGTGAAAATTATATTTGATCACAGTGAAAATTATCAAAATATAATTTCACACTTTTCAATGACGAAACTATTTTTTAAGATTTCCCCATGTGGTGCCCCAATTTTATTTTTGCTGACAATTTTGACACTGCCAGGCTGTTTAAAGAGAACACAAAGCTGAAATTGATAAATAACTTAAATGTCAAAAGAAATAAAAAAGAAGAAAACTTACTTCTATTCATTCAAATTATCAATCACCAAATATCGTCTCTTTCATTTTTTTTTCTTCATTTTTACAGTCTAAAAAATACATTCCTTCTACATGCAAAACTGCTCTTGATGCCATTTGCGCATATTAAAGTATCCTACGAGCATTAACTGCCGTATGCTTTATGAAAAATTGAAAAGCAATGACAGCCATCAGCTCGAAGAATAAGTAGACAACCCAGCGTTCCTGATACAGCTTCCAAGTTTTCCATTTTCCTAGCTTTTTTTTGAATGTTTTCACATCTGCCAACATTTATTATTTGTCTGTTACAATCGTCAAATAAGTTTTCTTTCTTTGTCAAATAAGTTTTCTTTCTTTTAAAAGGTGTATGACTAACAAATACAAATGATATCCCTCTGAATCAAACACAATTATTTTCCTCCCGTGAAATACACAACTTTAAAAAATGACAGCCGCATTCATTTAACAAAGCCAGGTCTAATATAAATTCGCAGTATGTAACAGAAACATGGATGGATGGTTTGACTTTTTCTCCTACAAGAATTGTTTGTTTTTATTATTAAAACAAGCGATCATTTATATTTTTTTAATAAAATGAATAATACCACCGTTATTTAACGTTGATTGTCGAAATTATTTTTCAGCTCAAGACTTCTTGTATTTTATGAGAAATTCCGACTAAATGGGGCTCTCAATGGGGAAACCAAATTTTGATATTAGCGTTAATAATTTGGAAATTTCGTTTTAACTTGTTTTTGAGCATAAAATAAAAAGAAAATTTGTTTGTTTGTTGTGTAAGATGTAATTTTATTTCATCTCGTGAACTTTAAAAACAATACTGTTTTTAAAGCCCACTCGATGAAATAAAATTTCATCTGACATACAAACAAACAATATATGTTATTTCGGTTTTGGAGTGATATATGTGGATATATTACCTGTCAAGATTTTATATCACCCGAGCCGTTAGGCAAGGGTGATATTTTATCTTGGCAGGTAATATATCCACATATATCACTCCTAAACCAAAATAATAATTTTATTACCCTTCCCCTGCCGAGTTAAGACGATTTTAAAATAAATCATTGCTACTTCAAATGAAACGTCGAAATAAGATTCCCTTTAGGGTACCCTTTCAACACTACATGACGTCACATAAATACATGACGTATTTTCTTTCGAACCTAACGAATGTAAACAAGAGAAAAGGAGTAGTCTGTTAAACGCACTTTTTTGGAATTAATATCAAGCTTTCACAAGGTCATATTTGTTTTCAATACTGATGAGAATTGTATGATTACTCTATTTTGGTAAATATTTATCATTTGACAGTTAAAAAGTGCTTGTAAATCGGAATTTACATCGCGTAAAATCAAACCGTACGCGCATCGCCACAGCGCATGTTGTTTAGAACGTGGGGTACCCAACGGGGAAATTTAGTGTGTATATTACCCGTCTGGCTCGGTAATATCAATTTCTTTCGGGTGATCAATATCCAATCAAAAAGGCGGAAAAAATCTGGAAGAGTAATAAATATCATCTATGTATTTGCACTTTTTGATAAAAGAAAATATATATTCATGTCTGAGGCTTGGTGTGGCTTAAAGATTAGATTGATAGAGGGTACACTTGTTTTATAGTTTATTTCTGTGAAAGAAATAAACTTTATTTATCACACACCCGTATCGCTTTTGCGCCTCCGTGAACATGTTATTGCAAGGCAGTGCATATATTTTGACATGACGTGACGGCATTTGCGTTATACAAATATAACGTTAAGACGCGCTAAATGTAATGTTATACTATGGGCTCGTCACAAACGCCTCACAGTGATTACCTCCCTTGGCAGAATTGTAATCTCTGTTCTCACAAGGGGAGATCACTGCGTAGGAGATTGGGCGCGTCAATGAAAAAATTGCTCTTTTTCATTTCAAACGGTCTATATTTTTGGTGTGTGATAAATAGAATATCAAATTTGTGTAACTTCATTACTGAATTTATTGAACCCGTTGAATAAAATTATATTTTTATTATGCTCGCGAGAGGCTCGCATAATAACAGTTTATACAACTCGTTCAATAAATTCAGTGTTAAACTTACACTATATATCCTCTATAAATTGTTTTATGATATTTACGACGGATTAAGCTACGTCAGTAATTTTAGCACTTATGATTAACTTAAAGAAATCAACTAGCCCTTTTAATAACGTCTGAAACAACTTACTTATGATAATTTTTAAGCACATATGATAAACTTATAATAAAATCTTAAACAAATTAAGAATGTTAATTACTGTATACATGTAGAATGATACTATAGTGGTACAACTGGCAGATGTTGAGTTTACCAGTGTTGTAATTGGTGGTTTGGACAAAGTTCTGGTCAGGATAATATGTCAGGAAATAGAGCAGGGTCTTGAAAGAAACATCACACAGATTCTCGGCTCGAGGTAAGGACATTTTGATGACATTAGAGAATATTACCCCACACTTAATTTCCCATAGGCCATTTGGAATTATTTCTGTTGATTCAAGTGTTCAATGTTACATGGGTAACAGTAATTTTTCACAGTACAACTCTTGAAAATAAAATCCTACAGAAACATTGTCCTAATGAGAGTAACAACAAAAATATTATCCCTCGTCTCGTGTAAGTATTTTACTCGGGATGATATTTTTACTGCTATTCACAAACCAATGTGTTATTTATATTCTGTACACCCGGGGGGAGTGCTGTATTACCCCGAGACACAGCACTGTACCTGTCATAACACTATCCTAAACGAAATTCTATTTTTAGCTTCATCAAAGTATGAATAAAACAACGAAAACAACGAACAACTACAAATTAGTTGCTTTGAAGAAAAATAAACGGATTGACCGACTAATTTGGTTATTTGTTTATAAAATCTGTCATATCTTTAATATGTTTAGTATTAGAATGAAGAGAAAATTCTGCATGAGTTTTGTTGACTCCGAATATTTTGTAGTTTGGTCATGGAAGACATTGCCAGCGTGGAAACGTCGTTTCAAGGCTTCAGCTCTATTCGGAATAACTCGGCCACCGATCCGCCGATGACAGCAGTAAGGCTATCTGAACCAGTATTCTTCACATATGATTTGTATGGTGAGATAAAAATACATGTACATACTTTAAAAGATAAACAAAAGAAAAAGACATTTATGTTATATACACCCACAAGAATAATGGTAAAAAACAACCGCAAAACACCCAACTTACAAACAATAGATAAGAAGTTTTTTTTTTCAACATAGAGACAAATTGATAAATTTATCTTCACATAAGGTTTGTGTATGTTTCATCGATCGATCTATGTCGATTTGAAATGTATTCTTAAACCTCATTGAGATTTTTACTGATCTAATTTTTAAAGCTTTTTGTTACAACTATAGTTGATATAATGTCATTGAACGTAAGACGTATTATTTAAGTAACGTTCACTGCAGCTAACGTTGCTGTATGGCCGTGAAACATTCGACCAATGCGCAAGACAGTATATGAGGCGCGTCACGACAAAACCAACAAAGTGCGTTTGCGACCAGCATGGATCTAGACCAGCCTGCACATCCGCGCAGTCTGATCAGAATCATTGCTGTTCGCTTACAAACCCTATAACAAGTAGAAAAACTGATAGCGAACAGCATGGACCCTGATCAGACAGCGCGGATGCGCAGGCTGGTCTGGATCCATGCTTGTCGCAAACACGCTATGTTGATATTGTCGTGACGCTACGGAATTCCATAAACGACAGCCTACTGCTCACTGCCTACTGCTAACTGGACAGCCTGCTGCTCACTGGCTACTGCTTACTGCTTATTGAAAGTCTATGTATGGATCAAATAGAAGTATTCCGAATGTACACACATGTGCGCCCGCCATTTTCTTGAAGGTAAACTTTGCAGAAAACAATGGTAAGTAAATTAAAAAGGGTTATTTTATAGCCTAATAATTTGTAATTTCGAATTCATTGCATTGACTTGTGTACGTCCCACCATTGCACACTGCTTTGATTATGTTATGAAATGGTTCCACGTGCCTCTTGCACAGGTGATTGATAAATTGTCAAATATAGGACTCATTTTAGGGTCAATCAACTTAATAATAAATTATTCACAAAGAACTGTGTTCAACAATCAACATGGATGGGCTTGAGCCTACTATTCCTCGGTTGAGAGACGGAGATCTGGACCATTATGTCAACACTCCTTTATTTTATTTAGAATTTCATAGTTTATTAAACTTTAAGAATATCTGTAATATACTGGTGAAATCACTGGTGAAATTTAGGCTAAACATTCTCTCATAATCAAACATGTGTGAGTTCATTTACGAGATCATTTTGGTTCAGTTTTCATTGGCTGTATAAATGTGTAATTCCTTATAAGATGTTATGTTATGCATTGATGTTAAGTTGATTGCAACTCTTGATAGTTTATGTTGCAAAGATATGTGCTTTGAAGGTTAATTATAGAATCAATTTTTATTCCAGTACAGAGGATGATAAATCTGAAAGAAACATTTCAATGGGAGGAACAGCCTATACTTTCATTGACTTCACAGACAAGTAACAGAACCAATACACCTGTATGAAAATATGGAAATTACAATGGAAGAGGAAAAGGACTACATAAATGTATTTGTTCTTATAGACGAGTTTAACTGGCTTCCTTCTGAAAGCATAAACAAAGACAAACTTGGCTGTATTCAAATTGTTTCAAAAACTTTCAATATTTCAATGACATAAAGAGTGCAAACATGATGTGATAAATTACAGCTGGGATCAGCTTATTTTACTTTTATAAAAAGCCATTGTGCTATTGAAGAACTCTGAAAAATAATAGATTCTAAACTATTTAAATTTACTAAAAAATTTCTGATAGACGAAATGATCATGTTAATGTTACAATATATTTTTTGACGTGTTTGTTTAAAATCCATCTTTTATATAATTTTTATAATTATCTTGTTAACAAACACACTTAAAAGTGAACTTTAAGGTTGGTTATTTTTTCTATGTCTTTTTGCAATTACCGCAAGTAAAACCAATGAGCAAATCTGCCTTCGTATTTGCCAGAATCATCCAATGAAAGTCATTACTATTTCTATCAGGTTCTAGAAGTTTGACAACTAAGGTAAACAGTTCTAAGACATCGTGATAGTGTAAAGCTTTTATGGTACAATATGAAGCATAATTATTTAAGTTACCTTTCTTACAACGTGTATATATATCACTTTATATTGCAGAGTATATTTACATTAATATGATTAATCTCATAACAATTATATAACTCATAACAGAACTTTGAATTACAATTCTGCTTTTATATTGATTACTTTCCCCGAAACTTTACAAATATTTTATATAGATTTTGATTTTTTTACAGGCGTGTCATAATTTCTATTTTTAAATAACTGTGTATACAAGAAAATATTAGCTTACTGGTCTCGTTATTGGGACTAAACATACTTTTTAGCTCGACTTTTCTATGAAAAGGGGAGCTATCCTACTCGCCCCGGCGTCGGCGTCGGCGTCGGCGTTAGCGTCGGCGTTAGCGTCGGCGTTGGCGTCACACCTTGGTTAAGTTTTTCGTACCACCCCACTTTATTTCAGAAGTATTACAAGTATGGCTTTGAAACTTACCATACTTGTTCACCATCATAACCTCCATCTACAGACAAGAGTACATAACTCTGTCAAGGTTTTTGACAGAATTATGGCCCTTTTTTGACTTAGAAAGTGTATTGAGCTTGGTTAAGTTTTTTGTACCACCTCACTTTATTTCAAAACATTGGAGGTATTGCTTTGAAACTGACCATACTTGTTTACCATCACGACCTTCATCAACAGAAAAGAGGACATAACTCTGTCAAGGTTTTTGACAGAATTATGCCCCTTTTTGACTTAGAAAATACATTGAATATGGGTAAAATCCACTTATTGCCTTAACCCTTTGAGATATTGCTTTGAAACTTTTAATGCTATTTCACATCATTACCCCCATCTGTACGCAAGAGAAGGTAACTCTGTCAAGGATTTGTTTTAAAAATTAAGGCCTTTTATCGACTTAGAATCTTGGTTAAGTTTTTAGTACCAGTCCACTTTTTGACTGAACTGTTTGAGATATTAATTTGAAAGTTGGAATATACTTGTTTACCATCATGGTCCCAAAACATGGGCAGGAGAAGGTAATTCTGTTAAGGATTTTATTTGAATTATGGCCCTTTTTGACTTAGAAACTCAGTTAAGATTTTCATTCTTGTCCACTTGTTGACTTAACCATTTGAGATATTACTTTGGAAGTTGGAGTTCTTATGTGCCATCATGAGACCTATCTGTAAGCAAGAGAAGATAACTCTGTGAAAATGTTTCTTGATTTGTACTTAGAAATTCCTAGTTAAAGTCTTGTGTGCCCTTAACTGTCAAAGTTTTGTTTTATAGGCAAGCACTAAAAAAGTCGAGCGCGCTGTCCTTCTGACAGCTCTTGTTATGTGGTGTTATAATCAATAAGTGTATTTTGTTTTTCATTTTAATTGTAAATAAAAGTTCTTTAAAAATAAAATATCATAATTTCCTTGTAATTTTGTTTATGTTTAGCTCCATGGAAAACAAAATAATGATAAAATGAAATGAAAATGGTTATACATGTATATATGTTAACCATAAAGCAAAGTTTGTTTGTTGAATGTTGCAACATGACCAAGTTGAAAAAATAATATTCAACATTGTCCACATTTAAATAGTGTCTTAGTCCATCAATTTTAAATGTATAGGATCGCGAAAAGTATGTATTAGGAAGATGAAGATTACGTTATATTATTAGTTCCATAAGAAATACATCTGAAGCTCCAATATCTGGCAAGTTAACTGAATATTTCACTTCAAAACAGCTTTAAAAGTTCACCTAAAGACAATGAAACAAAAAGACGGCCGTCCAGCAATATATTGATTAATCTGTTTTCTTTCCTGTTGTTTTAATGCCTTTAGCATAAGTTATAAAAAATCAGAATGTAACACAGGCAAACTGCAAAAATTTAAGAATTACATGCCGAAGGCCTCAAATTTAGGACACCGCAGTTCATCATATCGTTAAACAATACTAACATTCCTTTGTATAATAATGCCCACGTAACTCAAAGATCTTTCAATGATTTTATTATGCATCGACTTTCCAATTATTACACAATAATTGACATGTTAGTCATCATACTTTTGTCGAATATCTTTTTAACATCTACTAAAGTAACATTTTCTTGAAGCTTTGTAGAATTAAGGTATAAATGTGCGGTCTACAAACACCAGAACAAGTATTAACTTTTTAGATACAACTAAACGGTTCCATGTATGATTTGGACAACGAAGTGTGTATATCAGAACGAACTACTGGTAATCCGAGACGTGACTGGTATATATAATTTTGTCAGAAAGTCGTTTTGAGCACCATTATCTAGATAATTTTCGAACAAAATATGATCGCATTATTTTCAAAATGTGAACATAAAACTAACCGTTGTAATTTAAATGAAAAACAACGACGTTCATGACATTACAAGGCCTCCGTTTAAAAATATCATTAAGCACTATAGTTATAGGATAGGGTCAATATCATTTAATGAACAAATATTATAATATACATGTTATATTGTAGATGTATCTAAATGACTGTCTTTTACAAGCTTGAACAGGGATATACATGTATAAGTAATTCAGCAAGCAGTTTTATTTGGTAGCTCAAAATTACCGAACAAGATTTAATGACAGGAAAATATTTGGTTTGATAACATTTTTACAAAGTTAACATGGTTAACAGGTCTATGATTTGGAAAAGTTCCAGATGCGTACAAAGATGTATACTTATATTTCTGCTTAGTATAACGAGAATTATACATGTACATGTAAAGATGTAACGAGTCCCAAGGTTTTGAACAATCAAAGTCTTCATAAATGATACAGAGTACTGTAATTCCTTGACCAATACTGTTTCAAACGGCCTCATTGTAACATAAAAACACATCGGAAGAAGTACGGAAAAAGCCAACATTTGCTTTCAGGCTGTTAATCGGGTATTTGACATGTGTAACAGTTGGCATTCATCAATGAACAGTAAGCATTAAACAGTCGCTGTAAGCATTAAGCAGTTGAAAGTAAGCAGTTGACAGTAGGCAGTTGACAGTAAGCAGTTGACAGTAGGCAGTTGACAGTAAACAGTAGGCTGTCGTTTATGGAATTCCGTATGACGCGGTTAGTGATAATCGTAGGCTGTTAAGAACCGTACCTAGATCAATGGTCTAGAATTTTGATTGATAGAACAATTTTGAAAGTCTTATTTGTTGCAAATAGTATTCTAAAAATCTGAAGAAAAAAAATCCTCCTGTGATTTGTTTGACTGTGCTTAGAACTTGGTGATTTCTTGATGCGTTTTTAGAAACATTTTTACAATTCTTTTGAAAAAATGATAAAAAAAAAAGATTTATTTACATAACTTTATCATACAGACGTTATTTAATACAAAAACATGTTATAGATTTAACTTTACCAAAATTTGTTGATGTATTGATTTTGATATAAATCAGTTTTTCGTTATTTATATAATTTGTTTTATTTTAGAGGGGTACGTGATGCGGTTTGTTTTATTTTAGAGGAGTACGTGATGCGGTTTGTTTTATTTTAGAGGGGTATGTGATGCGGTTTGTTTTATTTTAGAGGGGTATGTGATGCGGTTTGTTTTATTTTAGAGGGGTACGTAATGCGGTTTCTGCAATGTACAGCATATCCTGGAAAAGACACCACCGAGTTTAATATCAGCCATAAACTTATTGAGAATGAGTAAGTTTCTATTTTAATACATACCTAGATTTTATAGCTCGTCTTTTTGAAGAAAAGATTGACCTATTGTGGTCGATGCGGCGTTGTTGTTGTCGTTGTTGCCATCGTTTTAGTGCAAAACATTTCAATGTAGTCCATTTTTAAAACATTTAAAAATTATTAACATGAAACTTGGAATACTTGCTTATTATAAAACGACGCAGTTTTTTGACAAATGGTATAATTCTGGAAGCAATGTTTTCAGAACTATGCCCCTTTTTAAGTAAGAATTCTTAACTTTTGTTTCACTACTTAGCGAGCGTGCTGTCCTACCGATATATCTTGCTTACACCTTTAGGCTCAATCTAATTAAACAGACACCATTTTAATTATTGTCATGTTTTACGATCTTCACGGATCCCATTCAACTTGTTTCTTATGTCTTCAACCCTGAAGAGTTTTAATCAGATTGTTATCTTGACTGCTAGATATTTACGGTTGATAAAAACATTCCCCTCAAGACGGATACATTTTTCTTTTGGTATTCTTGGATATGTTCAATCCTTTAGATATATATTAAATACAGATCTTACAATACACAAATATATGATCACTATTCAAGATGTCATTGTTTTCGTTTTTCAGTGCTTAATTATATTTGTTTTATAAAATCAAACTCTGTGAAATCTAGTATAATCACAATACATGTATATTGAAGACATCTATCTTGACTGTAATTGTAATAAATTTAATTTGCAAAGTCACGGTTTTCTTATTTAGGATTTTCTATTTATTACAGCTGCACAGTAGATGTAAACCAAATGAACAGTTTCGCCCCAAATAAAATCGTAATCGTCGACAAGCATACCCGCTACTATACAGAATTATCGATGTTCAGATTCTGGGTATCTTTTTATCTGACGATTGCTTGTGACGTCATGATCTGCCGTGCAGACAGTAGCGCCCCGTGCGACATGGTAACTTTTTTATTTCTTGGATGACCGATAAGTATATGTTAGTGTTCATCCGTGCTGTATTTAACAAAAATTAGTGTCCAGCTTTATTTGTCATCCAATGAAAACGCTAAATTTCTTAAAAATTCTCTGTATTGATTTTCATAGAAGAACAAAATTCGATACTATGTTGAATACCGTTCATAGTCGCCTTCTATTTTTCATAGTACTTCATAAATCTGCGAAATGACGTAATTATATCCCCACAAATGAAGTTTAGGGAGGGGGGGGGGGGTATATAGGAGTCAGCTTGTCGGTCGGTTGGTCTGTCGGTCGGTCCACATCATGGTTTCCAGACGATAACTAGAGTTTGGAGTGAGGTATTGTAATCAAACTTGGTATATAGCATCCTTATGTGGAAACCCAGGTTGGTATTGCATTTGGACCCCATGGGGCCAAGGTCAAGGTCACCGTTACTAAAAATAGAAAAATGGTTTCCGGACAATAACTAAAGCTAGGAATGAGATATTGTAATCAAACTTGGTATATAGCAAGTTTACTTGAATATCCCGGTTGGTATTGCATCTGGACCCCATGGGGCCAAGGTCAAGACATCGTTACTAAAAATAGAAAAATGGTTTCCGGACAATAACTAGAGTTAGGAAAGAGATATTGTAATCAAACGTGGTATATAGTAAGCTTACATGAAGACCTAGGTTGATATTGCATGTGGACCCCCTGGGGCCAAAGGTCAAGATCACCGTTACTAAAAATAGAAAAATGGTCTCCGGACAATAACTAGAGTTAGGAATGAGATATTTTAATCAAACATGGTGTATAGCAAGTTTACATGAATACCCCGGTTGGTATTGCATCTGGACCCCCTGGGGCCAATGTCAAGGTCATCGTTACTAAAAATAGAAAAATGGTTTCCGGACAATTACTAGAGTTAGGAATGAGATATTGTAATCAAACTTGGTATATAGTAAGCTTACATGAAGACCCAGGTTGGTATTGCATATGGACCCCCTGGGACCAAGGTCAAGATCACCGTTACTAAAAATAGAAAAATGGTTTCCGGAACATTACTAGAGTCAGGAATGAGATATTGTAATCAAACTTCGTGTATAGCAAGCTTATGTGGAGACCCCAGTTTGTATTGCAGTTGGACCCCCTGGGGCCAAGGTCAAGGTCACCGTTTCTAAAAATAGAAAAATTGTTTCCGGACAATAACTAGTTAGGAATGAGATATTGTAATCAAACTTGGTGTTTAGCAAGTTAAAATGAAGACCTAATTGGTATTGCATTTGGATCCCCTGGGGTCCAAATGTCATGGTTACTAAAAATAGAAAACTGGTTTCCGGACAATTACTAGGGTTAAGAATGAGATATTGTAATCAAACTTGGTGTATAGCAAGCTTATATGGGATTGCACTAAATTGAAATAATTCTTTGTACACGGTGCTGTTGATACTTTATTTACTGTAGGTTAAGTTCAAATTTTTCTTCAGGCAACTAATTTTTGAAAAGTCAAAGTTGCTGGTGGGGGTATTAATCACCTTCAGTGATAGGTCTAGTTATGTGAATAATAATGAGGCCAAATCAAGCTTGACACTAAGTATGTTAGTATTCATGTGTAGAACAGCACGGATGAACACTAACATATACTTAGAAACTTCGGCGGGAGCGAAAGCGACAGGAGAATGTTTCTAATTTCTGTAGAACAGCTACGGATGAATACTTACATTTTTAGTGTCAAACTTTATTAGGCCTGATTAATATTCCCTTTATTAGGTCACTATCATTCCACTTTATTAAGCAATTACCTGAATGGTGGGTTTGAATTCGGCCTTATAAAATGCATGATTTACGTCACTGCGTGCGAAGACGCATATACCCATATGGCTGATGCAAGTTTTCACAGACAACATGGGGTGTGGAGCTTAAAAGGCCTTTAAAATCCAAATAAACTGTATATTTGTCAATCCCAGCACAAGTACTGATCATATATATATATATATATATATATATATATATATATATATATATATTATATATATATATATATATATATATATATATATATATATATATATATATATATATCTTAATATTAGCCGTTTTGAAAAAAAATTCATATTTCAACGTCTATAATTATGAGATATTTTTCAAAACGGCTTATATTAAGTTTATATATATATATGATCAGTACATGTGCTGGGATTGAAAAATATACATTTTATTTGGATTTTAAAGGCGTTTTAAGCTCAACACCCGTGTCTGTGCGAGTTTTCATTTGCTCGATATTGAAACATTTTTTTCGGAAAACATTTTTGATAAGTTGGACAATTGATACTCGGTACTTAATATCTGATATGATTTATGCATGTATACACTAAATGTCATGTGTTAATACGAGGTCATTTAACGTATTTTCCTAAAATACAAAAAAACACACACACAAAAAAAACACAATGTCTACTTTCACTTTCTGTCTACCGAAAAAAAAAAGAAAGTGAATAGACACACGGGACTTTCCTCTTAGTTACAAATTAAGCCATTTCAAACACTTGTAATAAAAGAAATATATTAGTTGACATTTTGTATTGGTTTTTACTTTAACACGTGCAGTTTTCTCTTCGCCAAGACGTGTTTTTAAATCTGAACTGCATATATATAGCCTTTATCCATAAATACAAAATTCATGCAGGTTAACCTTTTGACGTCATTTTTACTTAATTAATATTCAAAAGCGGCCCATGAAAGCGTATGTGCAAATTTATGCAAATGACCATTTTTACGAAGCACTATGAAAAAGGAAATTGGCTATGAACAGAATTTGATATAGTTTCGACTTTTGTTCTTCTATGAAAATTAACAGACATAATTTTGAAGAAATACAGCGTTTCCATTGAATGACAAACAAAGTTGGACACTAAACCAGCAATTAGGTCATGTATGTAACTTATTTGATATTTAAAAGGAATGTCGGTGTGTATCAACTATAGCGGACAGTACTTAGTTTATCTATTAGGTATTTCCAGTTACTTTAGGAAAATGGACACGTCAATGACATGGTCAAAATTAGTAACAATTTGGCATGCATTAATTTTAAAGATGCTTGCGCTGACACAATATTATAAACTCTCTGTTCCTTTTTGCAATCTTAATTTTTGTCATTTTTATTTCGGATTAACCAGTTACACGTTTTGACAACAGACGTTGCTTTTACGTATTTCAGAGATTTAAAACAGTTTATTAGAATTTAGCGAGTTAAATCGAAAAACAACCTACACGGGCTTGATTTAATACTGTTTCCCCTAAACAATAATTTCTTTAATGCTGAGAGGTAGACCGTTGGTTTTTTTTATATTCAGGCTACTTGTGCCAACACCAGGCGCCGGAGAGAAACAGAAGATATCAATGATAAAGATGTTCAACATGTAACTACAAGGTCCACTTTCCAAGTTCTTGATACACTGGACTACATTATTTTCCCTTTTGGTGTGTCGTCTGCAAGTACATCCATTCTGGTATCAGGTAAGTTGAATTATTTACACGATATTAAACAATGTATATTTTATGCTGGCTGATTTATGCCATGTCGTGTTTTTGCTCGGCGTGGTGCCACTTTATCGTATTTTCGTGCTTTTGCCTGGCGCCCTGCAGAGCGAAAATTAGAAAATACTTTGTCGTATTTTCGTTATTTTGCCTGGCACCCAGCGGAGCGAAAGAACGGTATTAATAAATCCCTTTGTAGTATTTTCGTCTGACACTCGTGGAGCGAAAGGCGAAAGCAGGATAGCATGACAAAGTGGTAACTTTGTCGTACTTTCGTGTTTTTCTTTGGCGCCTCGCGGAACGAAAATACGACATGGCACAAAATTAGCCATCATAATTAAATAGCCTAAATTTACGTTACTTATAAATTTGCAAAGGTGAATATCTTAACTCAACAAAATACTCCTTAATGTTTGATATTCATACGATCTTTTTGGCTCTAGATGTATTTGTATATAACAGATGAATCTGAATGCATATTTCAATTTGAATTGCATACTCGATAATGTCCACGCTGAATTCGTACCATTCTAGACAATGTGTTAACATAGAAAATAAGTTTTCATGAAAAATATGTTCATGTTTGATGTGATAGCTATGTACAACAGAAGATAAGTAATGTATTAATTATCGTACGCTTGGAAACCTTAGCACTAGTTATATTAGAGTCTATTTCTATATTACAGGGATCCCTGCCGTGTGGATGCTGGTATGTTTGAGTATGCTAAGGCTATGTTTCTAACCACGTGACAGTTGACATGTCGATGTTCATCACGTGACGGTTGACAATCAAATACACATTCTGAATACATTGTACTTTTGAATCGCAAACTTTCTTATACGACAAAAATTGTACATGGCAGATTTCATGTATCACAGACGCATAGTAGTTAAATTAAAATGTTGAAATAAAATGTGAAAATAAGAAGTAATATATTTGTTATTTATAGCAGACTACTAAAATATCTCTGTTAAATTGAAGCGTTATCATATGAGTTTGTGTATATCCTGTCTCTCAGAGTCTCGTAAACTGTCGGTTATGTTTTTACTCTAGAAATGTTTAAACATTTATACTTTGGGGGGAATTCTAAGGTTAAAATGTAAAACAAAATAGCTGGCGATAAAGGGTATTTTCAGACTGTAAATGAAGTTCAGCACACTGGTCTGACACTTGTCTCGTACAAACCTGAAGTTATTACGACAACACTGAGCGCTAGCGGTGATACTGACATTGTGACACTTAGTATCAAACCAGAACAAATATTTCGTTAGCCCGTTAGTCAGCCCACAAAGCTCAATCGGTAAAAGCACGAGACTTGTAATCCTGACATAGTGGGGTTCGATTCCCGGCCAACTAGAATTACTAAGTCTCCTGGATGAAATTGAATCAATCGAGATCCCGTGTATGAGTGCTTAAACACTTGGTACGCTAAAGAACAATGACAAGCTCCTCGAATTCTTTATATCTGTATCTTACACTATCCTTCAAAATAAAAAAAAATGGCTAATACTCTTCGGGAGGGCTCGCCCACATGTGCAACTGGTGGCGTATATAAATCCTTATTTTTTCTTGTAATCTTGCTGCATTTTTTTCTCATTTTTAAAATTCTTAAAATACGTAGGCTCATAAAGAAGCATGCAGCTTTAAAGTTGTTTTGAATTTAAATATTACATTCTCTTAATCTTTCACCATTATAGAATTTGTAATTAGAAACATATGTAAATCTACAAAGTAGTCACAAATAATATAATATTATTAGTCCCCTACCGGTTTAACCGGAGGGGACTTTAGGTTTACCCTCCGTCCGTCTGTCCGTCTGTCTGTCTGTCCGTCTGTCTGTCCGTCTGTCTGTCTGTCTGTCAGTCTGTCAGTCCGTCAGTCCGTCCGTCCACAAAACTGGATCCCGCGATAACGCAAAAAGTACTGAAAATATTTTTATGAAACTTGATATATGGATAGATGGCAGTATGGAGATTATGCACGTTCTTTTTTTTTTCTTCCTATGTTGAAAATTCTGGTTGCTATGGCAACAAATAGTCTGAAAATATGGACAAATTTAGCACATAAACTGGATCCAGTGATAACTCAAAAAGTACTGAAAATATTTTTATGAAACTTGAAATATTGGGTAGATGGCAGTCTGGAGATTATGCACATCTTTTTCTTTTCTTCCTATGTTGAAAATTCTGGTTGCTATGGCAACAAATAGCCTGAATTTCAAGATTTCTGATTTAAATTTTTCAGCTTTTCACTATATGTTCTTTATTTCTTAAGGTGTTTACTTCAAAACTTTAAAAGTATAAGTTTCTGGTCATCAACCACATCATATGTGACAAGGCTTATAACTCTAGCACAAAAAATATCAGTATTACCTCCCTTGAACTTAGATTTTTTAGGGGAAAAAATGTTGTCTTTTTTAAATAACTTCTTTATTAGTCCCCTACCGGTTTAACCGGAGGGGACTTTAGGTTTACCCTCCGTCCGTCTGTCCGTCTGTCTGTCCGTCTGTCCGTCTGTCTGTCTGTCTGTCAGTCTGTCAGTCCGTCAGTCCGTCCGTCCACAAAACTGGATCCCGCGATAACGCAAAAAAGTACTGAAAAATATTTTTATGAAACTTGATATATGGATAGATGGCAGTATGGAGATTATGCACGTCTTTTTTTTTTCTTCCTATGTTGAAAATTCTGGTTGCTTTGGCAACAAATAGGCTGAAATTATGGCAAATTTAACAATAAACTGGATCCAGTGATAACTACTCAAAAAGTACTGAAAATATTTTTTATGAAACTTGAAATGTGGGTAGATGGCAGTCTGGAGATTATGCACATCTTTTTCTTTTCTTCCTATGTTGAAAAATTCTGGTTGCTATGGCAACAAATAGCCTGAATTTCAAGATTTCTGATTTAAATTTTTCAGCTTTTTCACTATATGTTCTTTATTTCTTAAGGTGTTTACTTCAAACTTTAAATATAAGTTTCTGGTCATCAACCACATCATATGTGACAAGGTTTATAACTCTAGCACAAAAAATATCAGTATTACCTCCCTTGAACTTAGATTTTTTAGGGGAAAAAATGTTTGTCTTTTTTTTAAATAACTTCTTTATTTCCTAATGTATCTACTTCAAACTTCATGTATATGTTTCTTATTATCACTCGACATTTTTGAGAAGGTTAAATACTCTAGCAAGACTATTTCCAGAATTATGTCCCCCTTGAACTTAGATTTTTTTTCGAGAAACTGGTAATTTTCACTCAACTTCTTCATTCCTTATAGGATTTACTTTAAAATCCCACATCGTAATAATATGACAAGGTTGTATAAACATAATTTCCTTACTAAGCATGGAAACTTAACACATTACTGTGATATAGACAACTTATTTATTATGTTTTGTGGTTGATATTTTCAAATACAGACTTCATCCTCAAATTCATTATAAATGGCAATACACAGGAGTGTATGACAATTAAAGAACTTTTTGAGGGACCGGTAGGGGACTACTGTATTGCCCGCAATACTATCAAATGCTTGTTATATCTTTATTTCATCCAAAAGAAGAGCACACTTTTTGCAATTATACAATAATAATGGAACAAGTTAAATATTTACAATGTAAACTGTTACAGAAGATCTATGGTTACAGTATCAAAATCATAGATATTTAAACTTATACACACATTCATATAATGTATTTATCTATTTTTTACACACATGTAAATAATAATATTGATAAACTGTAAAGAGTCAACTTAAAATATATATTAAAACAAACTATCCCAGGATAATGATTAAATGGGAATTTAAAAAAAACAACAACAAAAAAAACAACAAAAAAACAACACACATTACATTTCGCTTGCTTTTCTCTCAGGAATTTAACAAGAAAGTTAAAAGAACTATCCTTTGCATTTTATCAATTAAAGAATTGTCCTTTCATTTTATTTTATTAGGACAAGAACTATCCTATACATTTTTTACTTTTAACTTAAAACTATCCTTAAAATGTTATTTTAAAATGGCAAGAACTATTCTTTACATTTTATTTTTGAATTGCCAATGAGATTCCTAGATTTCAACTTGTAATTTAGAATTGCTAATGAAAATTCTTCTTATATGAAGTTCTTCCCTGTAAGATTTACAGAAAGTCTTAAACTGATTTTAGGAAAATGAAGAACATTTTTGAAAATGATGAATTGTAAGCCTCATCTTAGTAAACATTAAACAAAGTTAAGCTCCATTAATGCAGCATTTGATATAATTCATAAAAACAAAAATAGCTATATTTCGTTAAAAATCGGTTTTATATCCAGTCCTGTCCTTATTTTGGTGTCAAGAAATAAGATGATCTTATAAAATAAGTTTTATAAGCGTAAATGCCTGCTATCACGTTGTGGCAAAATCGAAAGTGAACAATTTTTATGTTTCGATTTTGCCACATCGACGCCTACACACAAATTTAGATAATTACTATTTTGTGGACGACATGCCGAGTGCATCGTGGCAGAATAACCTTAACTTGCACATCCGTATTAGATGAGAAAATCCGTCAAATAACAACAACTGAATTGTTTAATGTTTAACACTGTGACGTGTCAATTGCATAAGCGCATACGAGAGCTTTCTTATATATCATACAGGATTATTTACCGTTTTCACCGGTGCTATAAAACTCTTTTTACTCCAATTTCAGACAAGTCGCGTGCTTTAAATGACGTCATTGCTATCTTTTATGAGTGAATTGCGTTCTTGGGCTGACGTCATTTTACCGTTATGAATGAAGTTAAAAGATCATACGCTACTATAAGGTAAAAGTGCGTAATTAGAATATCAGTTTTTGTAATTTCTGTTCCGAATTAATTGACATGGGATATGCAAGAAAAAGAATCAAACGCAGGCTGTCGGTACAGACGGGAATATCTAGCTTTTGAGTAACTGTTTAGCGGAAACTCGACAGAGCCTCGTCTCGAGCTAGATATTCCGGTCTGTACCGGCATCCAATGAAAGATTCTTAAAATCTATACTCTTCACTTGCATGTTAAAATTCGTATACAAACGTGAGTGTTACCGTGGAGTTTTCGGAACAATATTTGATTAGATTTACAACAATACTGTTTAAAAGGTTAATGACACTGAAGAATGCTTGGTTTTTAGGCCTACCCCGAAATATCTTTACATAATATTATTTATGAAGTGCAGCTTTAAAATAACTTTTATTTAAAGTTAAACTATTAAACTATTTCGTTTAAAAACAAACAAAAAATCTGTAGGGTTAAATGCTACATTCTGTGCCTCAGTTGATAATATGTAAAAATTATTTCGCCAAGCCTTTATCTATGTAGATGTCAAAACAGATTTCTTATCGTAAATAATAACAAAATATAACAAGACCCTTACCAATTTTACATTTAACACATGTATTCAACTGATCAATTGGTCAAACTTTTAGTTTAACACAAAAAATGAATCTGACGCGTTGTATGTACACGCTTATGTCAAGACAACTTTCTTTATAGCAAACATAAAGGAATTTGAAAAACGTTTCCTCAATATTTGTAATATCTTAAGGTCCAGCTTTCACTGTCAAACACGTGGATATGACGTGTACTTAATAATACGTGTACGTTGTCATTTCACATAGTTGAAATAGCATCGTATGCAGATTCTGCTTCTTTCAGATTTTTATCAAGCTCTGTATATTGACTTTCTGAGGTTTGAACATCGTTAAATGTGCCTTTCTTCTTTTCATTTTCTGTTTTCAGTCTGATCGAATCATCCACATTGACATACCTAAAAGAATACATAAATATTTAAAGAGCTGTAATTTCCGTTTTCTTTATGTTGTTGTACCCATTATATTTATTTCCTTAACTTGTTATTCATTATTTCTTATATATGTTCTTTTAATTCCCATTGCTGTGTCATACTCAGATTAACAAATGTGTAATTATCATATTATGAAATAATTTGGCATTTCTAAACAGAGATACTACCCTATGATTTAAACAAAAGTATAAATAGTATGCTATGTTTATAAAATTTTTAATGTATAAATGTTTTTATTTCATAAAACTTACTTCCTGCTGCTTGTATCTTTGGAGAGATCTGTAAAAAAAGTACCAACACATGATATTCAGATTTCTCTTCAACAATAATTTAAAGCTTCTCTTTCACAATATTTTATGCAATAACAGATGGAAAGACAAATTACTAACGTACTTGCAAAAACAAAAGTATTTTTGAATCTATATCAAACTTTAAGAGGTTAATAACATGACACGCTCGTTTTCATAATATTCAACACGTTTGTACATAAACCGTTTCGTATTATAAATCATACAAGTATTATATAAGTGAATAAAATATTTTTCGTTTCTTGGATGATCGTTTTTTTTTTGTTAAAATTAATTACAATAACATATATTGATCATTGATATTTCTAGCAAATTAATAAAACATTCTGGAAGAAGGTTAATGCCACGAGAGTAAAGAGAACAACTTTTAAACGAACGTCGAAAACTAAAAAAGTTACTGGAAAGAAATATGTTGGTGTAAAAATTTAATACACCAGCTAGTTTCAATTTTATTCTAAAACTCCATTTTCAATAGTCTTAGGCTAATAATTATATCCATTGAAAGATAACTATTAAAAATCGAAATAATCTGCTAATATAATTTGGGTTACCTTTGTTTGGGTTACGTTCAAGTTTCCTCTTGAGCTGTACTACCACGTACATTGATATTACAAACGCAATTATAACAATGCCGAGAACTACTCCCATGATAATCGTAGAAGTGTTATTTGCCTCATTAGTAACCTTCACTATGTAAAATATTTGAAAGAATCATCATAAATATATATGTAGAATGAAGAATATGTGTTTATAGTCGTTTTCTGTAATGAATTTTAAAGGAAAACTTACAAAAATAATTTATTTTTTCATAAATTCCGTTCGTTAATTTGACAGCAACCGCTATGTATATGAGGATTGTTCAAATATGAATGCATATAGTACGTTATATATTTTTTAATATTGTGACAAACAGGCCGAATTGTCAATTATCAGGTAGATATGCACGATAGCTTTACATTGATATCTCATTTATTTAAAATATATTTACTTTAGCTGTGTTTGTACTGTAGCTCGCTATACATTATCTACTTGTTTATGGTTGGTTGAAAATCATAATATGCCATTAAAATACGGTAATTCATCGGAAATCGTCGTCTCCTTAACATAGAGTGTAAAAATATTTTTGATAAAGTCTGTTCTGTATATGTGTAGGGACAAAATGAAATTTTTTTTCCCGCAAGTTATTCGATGGTTAAATAAATTCAAATGCGGATTAATTTCGACTGAAGATGCGCCCCATGGCCTTCGGTCTAAGTAAGCAACGTCTGTCAAAAGAAATAGGTTTATACCCATGCAAACTACTAGTACCCCACTTGACAGGTAGCAGGAATCATTGCCGGCATCTCATTAGGAGCAGCTCATACAAGTCTCAAAGATCTTTGCTAGATAGATTTTCCATTAACTGACAGATAAAGGCTCACATGCAATGGGCTAACTTCTTGCAAAACAGAATACAAAATACATTACACGGTATGTTGCAAATGTCGTCACTGGTGATGAAACATGTGTTAATTTGGTCAAAACTAAAACACCAAAATCATCATGTGAAGTCTTTTTGGTTTTGATTATCTTTGTTATTTAAGGATATTCATTCATAATATAGGCTTACACTCATTTGAAAGTTATCAACATTAGGCAAGCTGATCAATTTATTTTAAAACTCCTACCTTTGTTTGAAGATGTGGTAAAATTTAGAGTTTCTGACAAAGGACTATTTCCTTCCTCGTTATATGCGTATGCTCGAACAAAGTATGTTGTTGAATCATGTAGATCTGTCAATACTGTGGTTATGGGCTTTTTGTCTTTAGTAATTCTGTCAAATACTTTCACATCACTCCATGTCTTTTCATCTGTGCCTACTTGTATAACGAAAGTTTGTTTCAATCCTCCATTATATCCACGCATCCAAGACAAACGGGCCTTGTTATGCTGGATATAGTCTATTGTAAAACCTCTAGGTGTACCTGGTGGCTCTAATTAAAAAGAATAGAACGTGAGAATTTCAATTATTCCTTCTTTGCGTTCGATTACCATAATTTCATATAATTATAAGTAATTGTTACTTTGTTCATAATCTTTAATTATGCAGCACTGGTATCAATACAATAAGTATACAATCATTTTCACAGTTAATGGTCTAGGCTTACCTAAACTACAAAAATTTTGACATGCAAAGTTTTTCTTCTGACACAGTTGAATTTGACCAAATATTCGATGAAAATAAATAAAAATTAGATTCGTTAATGACGGAGTAACATTATTATAATAAACACATGAATGTTGATTATGCGATGTGCTAATGTTAATTAGTGTTAGCGAAGAAGTCAGTCAAATCTAAAATTGTGTAAGGACATTTCGCTCCCTAGCTGCACGCAATCCTCTGTTTGGTCTCTCATCACTGTAACAGTTATTATAAATATATTTCAATTCCACTGACACTCACTTTTGAACATATTTGATGCTAATAACATTTAATTGTTTTTAAAAAGGAGTGAATATCCCGCGTGTGTAGGAATACGTAATGAAGGCGTACGCTTTCAGTGAAAGATGGATCTATATGATATACAAAATGTATAATTTTCCATTACCGCTATTTTAAATAATGTTGAAGGATTTTTTTATCCGGTTGTTAGAAACGTATTTCCAATTTGAAACAGATATGGGCTTACTTTCAGCCAAATGCGCTTAAATCCAACGATGCATCTTTTATCAAAGTTTTACAGATTTAATAAATAATCAACGTCAAATTAGATATAATGACCGCTTGTTTTGCATTTATCGCAAAAAATAACTATAGACAAAAAGATAAATAGTTCCTTGTAAATGACTCACCTGTCAGAACAACTTCAAATGACCTATTACTAGAACCTATTTCATTTGAGAGAACAACAATATAAGACCCATAATCCACTTCTGATTTTATTGGAATTGTTACGATAGACCTGGTACCGTTGATTTTGACAAAGTGTGAAAATACGGGTAACTCAACTTCAACAGGATTCTTATCCACAAATATAGTAATGTCTGTTTTCCCCGCACCATTAACATTTTTATAAAGTTTCACTTCTGTTGCAGGTACGTTCGAGAAATAGTCCACCTTGACAGTTACATTTTTATTAACCCTGCTTGCAAATTTGTCATCCATAGTGATTATAACAGGAAACGCTACAGAAAACAGAACATATAGATTAAAGTTCCACTAATACTCAAATATGCATAATATCATAATTTTAATTTCTAAAGGCCTTTTAATTTTGTGTCCTGTTTTCTTTCGCGTGTCAGCAATAAATAAGATATAGTTATTTAAGATTTTATATTGAGTTAAAAAAATGCTTTATTTACATTTTGCTATCTTTAACACTAATATTTAAGGTGATAACCATCTCATATGTTTTAAGTTCATTACTACAAATCATTTAAACTTGTTTGGAAGGAAAATATATTCATTTCTGAGGCATACTGTAAATATAATGTAAATAATCGTTTAAAAGTATGTTAGATGCTTTTCACCTGAAGAAAGTAGCGCTGAATGTTAAATTTTTTGTCATAAAGTAGCGAAATGTAAACCAAGTAGTATTTTGACTTCCATACAAAATACTATAACAATATAACTATAGTAGTAACCAAAAGGAACAAAAGCAAAAGATGGTTCTTATGATTGGTCAATAACTATTTGAAAACTATTACATAAGACCAAAAATAAAAAGCTTTTGAGAAATAAAATGAATGCATTCTTGGGCATCATGGGCCTTTAACGAAATTTACTTATATTACATTGTGATAAAAATGCTTTATATATAAATGTGATTATTACAGTTGTAGAATAAATTATATAATAAAATGACATTTATCAACAAAAAGATCTTACATTTCACAAGTAAATGTACTTCTTTTCCTTCAATAAATTCTGTGTTTGTGCCAAAGACTTTAATTCCATTACTGGCCGTGCACGTATAAAACCCGGAGTGCTCGTATGTTAAATCCGTCAATTCGAGCGTCTCACTTCCGGGCCTCACCGAAACAGGCACTGCATATCCTGGCCATCTTTGAATCCATTTCCCGTATCTATAATTATTGTCGGGAACACCTTTTGCAATACATCTCAGTACGGTATTTGATTCTTTAACCGTAGTGTTTGTTGCAATTACCGAAACATTCGGGGGGACTGAAAAAACAACAACACAATTTTCATAATGCAAAATAGTTATTGAAGGCTATGCATGAACATTCCTTCAGACATTCAATTGTTTTCTATAATATTCGAACATGATCTTTTTAATTTAAAATCCGCCTTCACAACCAACATGCTTTTAAAAAAACGAAGAATTAAAACGTAGTGCTTAATTGTCATTAAACACAATTCCAATAATGTCCGTGTAAATTAAGTTCACTTTTCATGTTGTAAGACTTACACAATATTCCACTTATAAATCTACCATACTGCATTGTGCCACATTTTCCACGCCCTCTAACACCGACGTAGGCAGTTATCCATTTTGAACACTATTATGCATTGCATTCTTTGGACAATCACTGTAATAACCCTTAGCCATAAAGTAAATTGCTTAAGTGTATTACCATCATGAAATAAGACAAATTCACGCATAAATATATACAAACTCTAAATTAAAGTAATAAAATATACCTGATATGTGCATATACTGCCCATGCAAAAACAAAACAAAACAAAAAAAAAACTGAAATTTTTTAAAAACCTATCCATTTTTTAATTTTAAGTGGGGTGGTTGTTTAAAATTTTAAAAAAGTCTGCCTAATTTCATGTTTGACATTTGGCGACGCTATTTTAGGGGCAAAATTTAAAGGGGAAAATTCAAAAAATATTTTTTTAAATTTTTTCTTTATTTCAAAAAATTTTGCTAAAAAAAGCACATTAGCGGTTTATTTAGATTTTAATATTGCATTAATTTGCTAATGCCCTACCCCAGGGTTTAATTTAAGATTTTTTTTGAAAAAGGCATTTGAATATTTTTAACTTCGATCTTTAGTATAAAACCCCTAACAAAAACGGTTACAAAAAAAAGGGGAGATGCCCATTGTGGGTTGCGTTTCATGAACGAGAAAAAAATTTTAAAATACTTTTGGAAAAACAATTTTTCAGATTTTTTTGAATGTAAAATTGGCTTTTCCTGAAAATTTTAAAAAGGGGGGTTTTTTATGTAAGTTTGTTTTAAAATTGGGGGTTAGTCAAAATAAAAATTTTTTCTGAAAAAGGGCCCCTTAGGGGGAAAAGGGGACCCTTTCAGAATAAAATTTTTGCCCCGGGGTGTGGTACACCGGAAAAATTTTTTGTTTTAAAATTTCCCGCCCAACCCCTTGTTTTTCATTTATTTTTTGAAAAACAATTTTTGTTTTAATCTTTTGAATTTCAAAATATTAACATTAGCCTTTCCCTAAATTTGTAAAATCCCCCTTTGGTAACCTACTTTATTTTTTGTTTCTTAAAAAAAAAAAAAAATTTTTTAATAATAAATTTTTTAATTATTTCCCGGGGTCTTTTTAAAATTTTTTTACTTTTTGGAATATTTAAAATTTGTTGCTAGGTCAGTTTTTTGGCGGGATCACAAATTTTTAGGATGGAAACATACTTGTTATTTTGTCCCAATTATCCCGCAGCTCCGTTTTCCTTCGTTCTATTTTATAGAAAACATATATCGTGTAAATGTTTCTATATGCAGCATCAGGTGTGTTTGTTGTACTGCCACTATACGTCACACCTTGATATAACCAGGATATACTGGCTGCTGGTCTACACCCACTTGTTATACAGCTTACCGTTACAATACTGCCAGCTGATACAACAGATGTCTGTGTAACTGTTGGCTGACTTGGCTTGACTAAAATAAATTGGGTAGTGTCCAAGAACCAAGAATATATATATATATATATATATATATATATATATATATATATATATATATATATATAATATATATATATATATATATATATATATATATAAGACAAACATATTTTTAGTGTTTTACTGTTTGCACACTTGCTTTTACTTTAAACAATGATTGTTTCTGTAAAACTATCGCACACGGGGGTCTTTTCCCCCGGTTTAACAAAAGCTCCAAACGGGGGAAACACTCCAAATCCAAATAAACCTTTAAAATACAAAGTTTAAAAATTTTTGGGGGAAATTTTTTTTTTATTAAAAGGGTCATTGGAAAATTTTTATTAGACCCTTTTTTAAAGGGGAAAAAAAAAACCCGGGCGAAAAAAACCCCATGGGGGGTTTTAAAAATTATTACTCACTGTAAAAAAAAAAGAAATCATGATTTTGCTGTTTATCCAATTTGGCACTATCGTTTGGGATGGGAAAGGATCTACATATCAAATTTTTCCCTTTTATCGGGATAAAGGTTAGGGGGAAAAAATGTGGTTAAAAAACCCCTTGACGGGGTTTTATTTTCCCCGTCAAATTTGAAAAAGTTTCCTAAAACCTTGTGGGGAAGGGCCAATTGGTTAAAAGCTAGATATACTGTTCTTATACCAGGTTACCGTTGGTGAGGGATATCCTCCTGTTGATGTACATTGTATTGTCAGAGATTGTCCTTCATTTCCGTAAACAACTTCACGGCTAGCATTCAACTGCACAACATTTGAAATCACTGGTGTAGTAGGTGAAGCTAAAATTATCAAAGATTCCAAGTTTGTTTCACTGACATATCAACTATTTTTTCTTGATGATAAATTTAGAAATGGAAAAGAAGAGAATAAAGATCAACAAGGCAAAGGCACAGTTCACAGGACGCAGCCCCCGAATTTCACATAGACTTTCAAATGTCATTAATCATTTGAAGTTTCAAGTTTGTTAGAACTTTATAATGCTGAAAAATTATAAGCATGTTATTTTGTGACAATTTGATGCACTAATCATTTGATTACACATTTGGTTTATATAAACAGTATTTACTGAATATTCAAAAACTAAAAGTACCTATTTCAATTGATCCTGTTAATGGACCAGCTTGTGTGATTGTTGTAACAACAATGCTGTAAGTATACGACCCGTCATCTAAAGAGTTTCTAGAAGTCCACACACATCTGTAGAGGCTTGTATACTGCGTACTACTTGAAACATGCTGAAGATCCTGATATCTGTTAAAACATAATATATAATCATTAAAAATTACTCACCATTCAAGACATTAAGGAATAATGAATGGATCACGTAATGCTTTATACTGACATGCTATTTATTTTCATATTCATTATTTGTATACGATGTTTTTATTGTTTTGATGAAGATGGGAATCATGCAGTGGGGGGGTTTAAAATGACATATGATTGCACATTTTTTTATGAAAAATTAAATTTTAAAAGTAAAATCTTATTTCCCAAATATTAAGGAAAAAAAATCTTTAAAATTTGACAAAAAAAACACGCGCAAAAGGGCCAATTTAAATTTTTTTCTTTTAAGGGTTGGTTATATTTCAAAATGGGACTTTCCCAAATTACATTTGAAACTTTTTTTTTAATTACAAGAATGAAAATTCAATTTAAAATTTAAATTTTTTACTTTATTCTTTTGTTTCTTTTGAATTATTTGGCCCTAAATTCTTTGAAAGGGAAACCGGGGGAAAACTCAATTCAAAGTGTTTCCAAAAGCAGGGTTTACAGTACACATCTTGTTTTTTTTTTTTAAAAAAAGTTCCTTTTTAAAAAGGGTCGGTTTTAAATTTCATAAAGTCATACTTTTATGTTTTAATTATCTCCCTTGACGAAATAAAAAAGGGTACCTGTCTCTTAATTGTAGCAGTAAGTGTTTGTGAAGCAGGATATAGTTTATCTATAGTTATCTGTAATTTTTTTCCTCTTGTTACGATGTGTTTAGATGATGATGCTTTACCTTTAAAAAAGAATCAAATGCATTATGTGATGCAAAGGCATATGCTAGGGATATCTTTAAACATATTTTTTGCGGAGAAAATGCTAATTATTACTTAGCTTTCAAGGATGTTAGTTTGTTTACACTGTATTTCCGAAACGAATGTTGAGCTAGACAATCAATAATCAGCATCACCCTTTTCAAGCTATCCTCTTGAGATAGTGCTTATACATGGCCTGACATATCTCTCGCACGACTTTGACAACGGTATTGTGGGCCACTCTGAACCAACACGACATGTTCAAATCCCCAGTTATAAGGTACCTGAGCGTGATGGCAAGCTTCAATTGAGTCGACAGTTGAAGTTTGTTTCTGTCATTTGATGTGTAGGGCCTAAAACTTCTACCATTATGCTGAATGACTCCGGGTCAACTCTAACAAGGTTCTTGAAAGTATTTTCATCACTATCTCTTGTATGCTTCATCCCATCAAAAATCATTCTCTCACCCATTCACTGCTTCATTTCTTGATCTTTTTTCTTTAATGCAAATGACATTGAAGAAAATGGCCCATATTTATATTATATATCTTTATTAAGTGATGTAAAATCAAGCAAACCAAATTGAAGACCTGTCTCTAAATGCTTAGTTAAAAATGTACACATTCTCTCAAATGTTTCACAATAGTGAGTGATTAACGAGCATGACAGGAAATGATGAATGTAGAATTTATTTAAATGGTAGTTTTGACTAAACAAAGACTTACATTCTATATTAAGACGTTTCAGCGGAGTCTCATCAAATCCATTACTACATTTATAATTTCCTTCATCAGTAATGTCAGTGTTGTGTATTGTCAATGTGAACGATGATGTTCCCCTGGTTTCTGTATATTTGTTGTTGTCTTCTGGTCTAACAACACCTCCATTTAATACGATATCTCTGTTAAATCCAAACCAGCCAGTATTGCCAATGTTACCAGTAACCTGACAGGTTAGAACTGTATCATCACCACAGTTACCAGCAATTGGTACTTGAATAGTGGCTGTACCTACAAAAAATATATGTAGGAGTGTTACGAGCCAGGCGTAACGAGAAAGAAAAGCCAGCAACAAACTTGTAACAATAACAAATTTTTTACAGAAAAATTATTAAAAAAAAATTAAAGAACAATTTATGTTTACAAAAACATGAAGTCCAAATAAAGATATAAATTTCAAATGTCTAGTCTGATCCTGGAATGATCCCTTTTTGAATAGCACAGTTAAATCCAAGTAAAATCCAAGAACACTTTAGAATAAATTCCCACAATAAAATCCACAAGAATAATTTTAACTATTTTAAAATAATCCAAGCTCCAATAAATCACTTAATATCCAAGTTGAATAATACTCCAAATATATTGATGACTTAAAAGGTAACTGATGACTTAAAAGATAAAACGAATGAAAAATGACCCCTATATATATTAACCTAAGAAGTTTCCAGAATAGTCTTCCATTTTCTACAGTAATCATAATCTAGCAATTTCAACAATAAAGAACATTCTGGAAATTTCTATCTAAATATAATGCATGAATCATAATCTAGAATTTTCTACAACAGTTAAGAATGTTCTAGTACATAAATGTAGTTTATGTTCTAAAAATAGAACAGTGATAATACTATATACATTTAATATGTTGCATACATAACAGTAGTTCAGACCTGTCGAATATAAATACATTTTAACACTCATTTAAATATATGGCCCCACTCCGGTTAAGCCCGTGAAATTAACGAAAATTATTATTAAATATATTACTTATGTTCTATAAAGTTACACTAGCTTAAAGCATGCCGTCATCAAACCGCAAAAGCACAGTAGGTTAAGTTATTGTCTAAAACGAGGGTGGTGTGCGGTTCGAGCCCTGCTATTTCTCTTTTTTCAACGTTTCTTTTTTTTTAACGTTTCTTCATTTTTTGTAATATACTCTAATAGTTTAATTTTTGTAGTATATTCTAATAGAAATAATCAATTTCTTGGGGAGCATCTCAGAGACACTTTTATGTCTCGTTTTGTATTGTAATGACATTGATTGATTAATATATGACAATTGAATTTTAGATATTTACATTTAAGGAAGCGAACTCATAAGGAGAGTGAGTTGTAGAAAGTACAAGTTCGTTTTGCATTTTTTAGGCTTAGTTTGAGTATCTCATAGCCAAAATTAAATAAAAACACATATTGCAGCGTTTATCTCACGACCATAACAAAAGAAAACTTATCGAAGATTGATATATCGTGTGCACTGACCATTAAATCTGTATGCAATCGACATGTTAAATAAAATCAAACAAAAACTTTACATTTACTTCATGTAGACAAAAAGCGAAATTTTTAATTTTATTTTTTCTACCATTATAAAGGTTAAGATAAATAACGAAAAGCAATGACAAACTTACAATGACAAACTTACCATAGAAACCAATAAAAAACATACATTGACTATATGAGTAATATGTTCTCATAATTATAATATGCTACATATCAACGCACTTTGGGTTCAAAAGTTTTGAAGGTGCATATTGAATTCTACCGAAGATATCACCGAATTTACTTTTAATGTTTATAAAGGGAGGTCATTAGAAATTCATTTTTTTTAAAAAAGTCTAAGTCAAATTAATGAATGCATATATTTTAATGATTACATATAATGTGGTCAAATATTTGCCGTACATATTTTAAATATTCTTCGATGTTTGAAAATTGTTTTAGAAGCATAATTATATACATATATAAATTTTCACTTCAGTGTTGTAACAACCTGTTAGAATGCTCGTGCATGTCGGTCATGCATACGGAAAATATGTGTCATGCATAATCTTATCGTCATTTATTTTTCTTCACGATGCATATAATGGTCTCCTTGGCCTCCCGTACATCAAAATTGTATCATCACAACAATTGACTTGCATACATATCTAGTATTATTCAGTGAATTACTGAATTCAAAATTTATAGGTCACCTTTTGGTTGATAATAATATTTAAGGACATAAATTGTGACAGGTCCGGGGTCCGTACTCTCAGTGCCTGAAAGGGTGGATGGACCCTCATTTAGCCTAGAATACATACATACATACATACATACATACATACATACATACATACATACATACATACATACATACATACATACATACATACATACATACATACATACATACATACATACATACATACATACATACATACATACATACATACATACATACATACATACATACATACATACATACATACATACATACATACATACATACATACATACATACATACATACATACATACCTCTTCTCACTTCCCCTCGGAGCGTGCTCGTCGCTGAGAAGGCATAGGGCATCGGCAGATGATTTGAAGACTTGGGACGGCGCAAAAGATCGGAACTTACCGGGCGGATGGACCTTCATTAAGCATAGACTACATACATACGTACACGGTAACTATCTTTATTACAACATACAGGATCGTTAAATACTAAGTACGGACTTATTTTCAAACTGCAGCATTGAAATATTGAACGTGACGGTCAATAGTCAATATGCAAACAAATATTCTTACTTAGTGTCATTAAAATTTTTAAGTGTTAGTCAATCCGAGATTTTTTTTTATAAATTTTACAACTTAAAATATCACAAAAATTGTCTTTAAAGCTAATTATTTAAACTGTAAATACATTCCTCAAAATAACATGTTTTAAAAAGCTTTTTTTATTTGTTAATCGAACCCTAAATTGTGATTGATGGGGATGTAATCAAGTTGATATCAATTCATTGCATTTATGTTCAAAATTCAAATTCTGTTTAACAAGAAAGTTGCATGAGGGCTAAAGCTGTTACTTCTCTTCAAGCCAATTTCACAATGTTCAACATTCCTAATAATGCGGACCACAACCCATCGAGTATTAAAAACTATACAATGTCGAATATCATTTAAATTTTTATATCGGCCTCGACATTTTTTAGCCGAAACATCCCTTGATGTCGCCCCAGCCGGTGTTATATCCTCGTAACTAACTCGTGTCATATACTATAACAATAACATAATTACACAGAACGTGGACTTGTAATATATAACACAGACACGTGTTGCTAGTTCTATCGTTTAATGACCACTGAATGTTCCAAGTATATTTAGTGGCAGGATGATAATGGACATGAGATACTATTAAGATTAACATATGTATACAATATACAACAGAAATTAAATAAAAACGATGATTTACAGAACATTATGTTTTAATTAATTCTGAATTAATGGAATCTTGCCGGTTATTTAGGAATTATTATAAGGTCAACAAAATGTATCTGCTCTATGTACCACTAAAATGCGGCCAATCTAAAATGTCCGATAATCAGAAATGAGGTGAATTTCGTATTTACCAAAAATATCTTATACGTGTTTAAACATAATTCCTGCTATAAATGGGTAACAGTTACTGTCTACGGCGGTAACAAGGCTTTAAAACGTAATTTAAAGCACGCGGCTTGTCTTACAAGTGGTGTGTAATACTACACGGTTTTCTAGCAACGGTGTTACTGTCTGACATGCAAGAAAATGTATTATTAAACTCAATACACATCAAACATATTTTGCGTTACTTTAAGGCCTTTATTCTTAAAGACATGTAATTGAATATAAAAATTACAATTAATTTCAAATTGCATCCCCTAGGTATAACAAATAAAATAAACTATCCTCTGCTATTGTTATCTGACCTTATACATTTTACCCACTGCATTCCTTATTTTTAGTCAACTGCAAGATATTACTGTAAGAATATCACTAAAATTCATTCTTATTTGATTTAATTTTTATGACCCTTAAGTGCGGTCGTTTGTCAGTTTGTCGTTTTTTATGTACCTATGTTACGCACTCTGGGGCCAAAATTTGACCCCGAAATGCGTCACGCACTATGGGGTTGAACCCCCATAGTACAACCCATTTTGGGGTCGAACCACAAAGTGCGTTAACGTTTGACCCAAAAAGTGTAGTGTTACAGTGCACATTATTTGAATTAAAAGAACAAAAATATACATTAACATATATTTTTATGAATTTTACAATTTCACAATTACATATGTTACATATGTTCACATATAGCACACGTAATGATTTACTGTTGATAATCAAATGACCCAGAGGTGGGACTGCCCATGCAAGGAGGAATTGTACTTTCTATTTCGTCATACAGAGACTGCAGACATTTACGATATCTTGATACCAAACATAAGAGGAAATGCCGATAGGAAAGTTTCAAACCTAATTTTGAAAAAAAATATAGTTACTTCTGTTGCTAAGAAAATTTATTATATGCAGCTTTAACATTATTGAACACAAATGAAAATATTGTGATCAAAGCTTACCATCTGAGAACGAAATAAATATTCCAAATATCAGTAAACTTATAGTCAGGTTCATGGCTGCTTTAGAACATCATTTGTATTGACGTGTATTTATACATGCTCAAATCTTCCTGGTTTGAAGTATGTATGACAATGTAACACGTAGAGAGTTATATTAAGGTAGAAAAAAAACTGTAGAAATTAATTTAAGATATAAACATACTAGCCGGAAGTTTATAAATTATATAAATGTAGATTAATGAATTTTATGAATACAAGCAAATGTGCTACATACTGTACGAATATTAGTTAATGTTATGCTTGGATATATTTGTCAAGGTACGTGCATCATCCAGCTTAACTAACATTTTCAAATATATTTGTTGTCTATCATTTGTTATAATTCGCAAAATAACACGATATAAAGATACTATATGTATCTAAATAGGAAGTTGTTCTGGATAATACACGACTACCATTGACAACTTTACGATTGTATAAGTGCACTTGAGACGGTAACACGATCAGACACTTTTGAACATCTTAGTACACAAAAAACCAACAGTATACATAAGCAAAAACAATATAAAAGAAAAATATGTAACAAAGAAATATGATTAACTTTGATTTTTTTTGTACGTCAGAATATACATCATTTTAGTGTATGTTAATACCTTTAACATACTTGATTTCTTTGGAATCTTTCATTAGCAATAATAAGATAAGCTGTAACTTATGCAATTCCCACTCTTGAAAATTATATATGAGTTAACTTCCAGGTGAACAATCTCCATTTGGTTTTGAAGGCACATTATGCCTCAGAAACAAATAGATAGAGCAAACATGAGTTTTATATCGCTAAAATAATGGCGTTAAAGCATGTTAGATGCTTATCACCTGGAGAAAGTAGCGTTTAATGTGAAATTATTTGTCACGTAAACAATGTTTTAGCTTCCATACAAAGTACTAAATCACTATATTACTGCTAAAAAGCGAAACGATGCAAAAGATCATTCAAGTAATTGCCAAATGAGTATTTTTTTGGAAACTATAACTGAATATTAGAAATAAAAAGTTTTTGGTGAATGAAAATTAAAGCATTTCTGTGGAACAATGAGCCTGAATAACAGATCGGATAACAAAAGTAATGCTGTCTTTTATTTGTCATTTTGTTTCATTTTAAATTGAAAACTTTCATATTAAATGAATAATGTTGCAGTCTAAGGAGGTACTACCTGAGGAAACAAACGTTTCACTTAATTGCTCATCAATGATGTACAAACGGTAAAGCATGTAAAATAACCACTGTATTCGGGAAACACAACCTCCATGGCCGATGGGTTAGTGTCGACTTCTAATCCAGTTACCTCTCTGGCGTGGGTTCGATCCCCGGGAGATGCTTAAGTAGTTTAGCGCGGAGGAAGGTAGTCTAGTACTGATGTTACCATCCAGGAACGATGGTTAGGAAACAACTCGCCTATATGACTGAAATACTGTTGGGAAAAGGCGTCAAATGAAACAAACAAACAAACAAAAGTATTCGGGAACGGGACCGCAGATTGTGGCTCGTGTTTCCTATGCTGTAACTATTTTTACGAATGTTTCTCCTATATCTAAATACCGTTTCTTATTATCCGAGTGTACGGTCTCATATAATATAATTTATATAACAATTTAACATTATCTGCTAGCTTTTATACTCTGTAAGATATCATTTATATGTCTTGAACATCCAAAAAGTTGCCCCGTACTTCATTTCAGTGTTGATATATTTTTTCTGGTTCTCCGGGTTATTTTGATTCCAATGCACCCTGTGTTGGAAACCGCTAAAATCGGTGCTAGGGGGGTTGTTGCAGTTTTAGTAAACTTTCATTGAATAAATTCGATCGCGTGTCGGTAATTTTCATATAATTTTGTTGTTTCCATCGCTGCCAAGAATTCTCCCTAATTTGTAATTAATTTATGATTATGGTTCATTAACCTTTAAGTTACAGAATGTAAAGTGTGACCCCGGAAATATCGCAGCCATACCCTTAAAAGAGAATTGCTTTGAGGCAGAAATGGTGACAATAATTTCAATGGTCGAAGAAAATAAATACTTGAGTCATTGAACTGCAGACAAGAGTCCTAAAGTACACAGTAGCCTAAGACAGTATGAGGTTTGGAAGCCTTGACCAAGCTATATATAAGGGTGTCTTCATTCAGACTATTTATGTTTTGAGGTCGCACGTCTTAAAGTACCTTAATAACATCATCCTCTGAAGAAGAAGAAGCTTTATTCTTTCATAAATCTCACAATACACAATTGACAAAGCCATTATAGGTCATAGTACATTTTTTGGTATAAACACATATAAATTGATATTGGCATAGTCAATAATAAATGTGTCAATATAGTTAACAAAGTATATGTAAAAATAATAAGATGCAAACAAACAGGATACACTTCTCTTACATTTTAATGCATTTGATTCGTAATTACTTCCCTTATATTTCAAAGGAATATGTCTGAGAGTGAGACTAGAACAATAAAAAAACGAATAGTTGTGTTTTTCTTAAAATTGTGTATCTTTTGAAAATATCTGTTTTTGTTCATAATTGAATCTTAAATGTTTCTTAAGATTGATATAAAATATAAACTAAGTATAAAACATTATTTTGCATCTTCTTATTTTTAGGTATTATTTGTATATATTAAACAAATTTCTATCATGTCGGTACATACGTACGTAAAATTTTCTATTTACAAATACATGGAAGTACTGCTGCTTTAACTTGTAGAGAAATATTTATATGCCATTTGACGTTTTATATGCAGCCAGGAATTTAATTAAAGCCATGATAAAATCAACAATTAAATGTTAAACTACTCATAAAGTTAAACACAAACTTATTCGTTGAAAATATGAATATGTATGTTTTTTTCGTTGTATATGCAGCAGTACAACCATAGGCAGTCAATAAATAAAGAATGTTACACAATATACTATCTAAATATTATATCTACATCTTCTTATCTCAACTGCTTTATATACATATATACAGATACATTTCTTATTACTTCAACATTTAACCACTCAATCAAAGCACTTAACATAAACTTAAAAAAATCAACTTGCCCTTATACTAAGGTATGAAACAAATAAATTAATATGTTAACGACTGTAGACATGTAGAATGATACGATATTGGTATAACTGGCAGATGTTGAGTTTACCAGTCTCGTAATTGGTGGTTTGGACAAAGTTCTGGTCAGGATAGTATGTCTGGAAATAGAGGAGGGCCTTGAAAGAAACAACACGCAGAATCTTGGCTCGATGTAAGAACATTAAGATAACACATGCCTGTCTTTTAATACCCCTTACTATTTTTGCAATGTTATATAAGCCAGTTATTCTTACTGTTGATTCAAGCGTACAATGTTACATGAGTAAAACTCTTAAAAATATAAACCTACATACACAGTGTCCTGATGAACTATTTGTTTTTATTTATAACACATAGGTTTGTGAGTAACAGCAAAAATATTATCCCTCGTCTCGTGTAACAGTATTTTACTCGGGATGATATTTTTACTGTTTTTGACAAACCAATGTATTATTTACAATCTGTACACCCCGGGAGGTGCTGTATTTCCCCGAGACACAGCACTGTACCTGTTGTTACACTATTCTAAACAAATTCTATTTTTTAGCGTCAACAAAGTATGAATAACTACAAAAATTAACGAAATGAACCGAATAATTTGGTTATTTGTTTTTAAAATCTCAAATCTTTATTATTTTTAGAATTAGAATGAATTAGAATTAGAAAATTCTGCATGAGTTTTGTTGACTTAGAATATATTTGTAGTATATCTGTATCTTGCACTGTTCTCCAAAATAAAAAAATGGCTAATACTCTTCGGGAGGGCTCGCCCACATGGGCAACTGGTGGCAAGTATATATATCTTTATTTGTTCTTAAATCTTGGTGAATGTTTTTCTCATTTTTGATTTTCTTACAATAAGTAGGCTCATAAAGAAGCATGCAGCTAATAAGTTGTTTTGAATTCTCTTAATCTTTCACCATTATAGAATTGTATTTCCAGCAATGGCTGACATTTGTAATTAGAAACATATGTAAATCTACAAAGTAGTCACAAATAATATAATATTATCCTTATTTCATCCAAAAGAAGAGCACACTTTTTGCAAATTATACAATAATAATGGAACAAGTAAAATATTTACAATATAAACTATTACAGAAGATTCATGGTTACAGTATAAAAATCATAGATATTTAAACATATACACACATTCATATAATGTATATTTATCTATTTTTTGCTCACATGTAAATAATAATATTGATAATTGTAGAGTCAACTTAATATTAAAACAGCATATCCCAGAATTATGATTCAATGGGAATTTCCAAAAAACACATTTCGCTTGTTTTCTGTGAAATAAGTCTAAATATTATTGAATTGCAAAGAAAGGGCGTAAGAAATAGCATTTTTAATTTTTTTCCCGTCATAATCTTTGGTTTTGGGGCATAAGAAAATATTTTTGAATTAAAACAAATACTTAAACTAAAATTTTTGAAACACATGTCACAAAAATAAAAAAGGAATATTTGCAGTAATTTTTCCTTCAAAAAGTTAAGAAACAGATACATGTTATAGATAGTAATAATATTTATTTACGTCTAATGGGAAACAGACCGGAACCACTTGAACAACTTTGAAAACAGGACCATCAAAGGATCATTCCTGTAAAGTAGTCATTGGTTTCAGAGATGTTTAAGAAATTGTTGACGACACATGACGCACGACGACGGACGGTCGAGGGTCATAATAGCTCACCATAAGCATGTTGTATAAAAATAAAATTTGAAGAAGAATTGTTTTTGATTTATCATAGTGTTTTAAATTAATAACAAACAAATCCTAGTTAAATGGCAAAACATTATTAAGCATTCTCGTTAATATGTTTTAATTAATTTACATTAAAATTAACTTAACGTTCATGGGCATTATAACTTCTATATCTTATAAGATGTTTTACATCCTCGATATATCAATTTTCAGCATTCTATCATAAAAACGTGGAAGGAAAATTCGAATAATCTTTTTTTGATTGTTTGCCCTGCTTCTCTTTCATTACATTTGCGATGTGTCATGCGCAGATTGTGTTTTTAGATTTTCATACATTTTATCTTGTGGCGCTCCTTTGGAACCTGCAATAGATAGTTAATCCTTTGTGAATTGCATAAAAACAACAACAAAAAATCTAAACAATGAAAACAAAAATTAATTCTTAACGCTTTGAAAGGGAATATATATATTTGTTACAAAGCATTTCCAAAAACTGTAAGGGACAATATTTAAACATTTTTTTCACAATTTCAAAAATAATATGAGCCGCGTCATGACAAAACCAACGTAATGCGTTTGCGACCAGCATGGATCCAGACCAGCCTGATCAGGATCCATGTTGTTCGCTTACAAACCCTACAACACGTAGAGAAACTGATAGCGAACAGCATGGATCCTGATCAGACTGCGCGGATGCTAATCGCAAACGCATAATGTTGGTTTTGTCATGGCGCGGCTCATATATAAATAGCTATACAACCTGTTTCAATTGTTAAAGTGGAGTATGTAGTGCCAGCTCCTGGTTGGGTGTGAAGACTGTAATATGTAGAACTTAAAATACACAATTATATTTGTAATAAGTTTGACAGTTTCGCAGTAATTCTTTAACGGATAAAAAAGGACTTATAAACGTGAATAATTTTCAACAATAATAAAATAAGCAATTAAATTTACTGAAATGATATTCCCGGTAATAGGAAGACGGACAAAATCCCACCAGTTTAAACCCCACCACTCAAAATTTTATAGAGTGGACAAAACCCCACAACTAAATTTTATAGAGTGGACAAAACCCCACCACTTCAGTTTTATAGAGTGGACAAAACTCCTCACTTACCAATTAATGGGCAAGATTTGATGAATTAAAATATATATAATATACACATTTTTTCACATTTTATTTTTTTATTTCAATATAACATTTGTGTAATATAAGAATTAATAATTTTATTAACAATGCATGTACATCTTGCATGTGCAATATTCAAAAAATGTGTTATAAACTGTACTCAAAAAACTTAATCCAAATCCCTAAAGAACAAACCAGATTATTTATGGATGTTTTGATTGCAAGAAAGGTGTTACAAACTAACAGTTTGTAACACAAAAAACATCCAAATCTCTAGAGACAAAACATGATAATTATAGCATATAGCATTTATTTCAATAGCAATATAATATAATGGTATAGTCACGTGGTATAGTGGTGCAACATGAATTCAAATGGGAAAGAATAAACTGGATTTAGAATGTTTTAAACGAGTTTTTTTTGGACTTAAAAATTGGACAGTGAGGTAGTTTAGCATCCTTTTATTCATGTCAGGCCAAAATTTGAACAAAAATAATAAGAAAAAGAAAAGAAAAGCCATATCTCCATTATCTACAGAAACTCAATACACGTGTAATGTACCGCGTCAAAATCAGTCAGGTGAAGCACAGGTAAACACGTTAGGTGGACAGTTGACAATAAACGTGTATTGAACTTTGGATCAGATTTTGTTTACACCAAATACACAGCTGATAAACATGACTTCGCCAGTAAATAACTTCTCGCAGCCTTATTTTGGGTTCAGACCGTCACCTCACCCACAAATGTTTACCGCAACAACAGACAGCAACGTCGGTCCCTCCACCGTGGGCTAATTCTCTTATTGAAGACATTAAAAATATGAATCATGACATCAAAAACCATGAAGATATCATGTGAAAACGTAAAAAAAACAGTACAGTGTCAATAAACTTAAAAAGTATATCTGCTATGGAAACGCGCCTTAAAAACACTTGAAACATAAAGTTGGTGCTGTCGAAACCTCATGCGCATTCATCAGTAATGAATTCGACATACAAAAATAAGAATTAGTAGCCGCTCAAAAACAAATTGATCATCTAGAACAATCATATAATAAGCTAGAAAACAAATCGCAGTCATTAGAGTGCCAAAGATCTGAATTAATGACAAAAATTATTGACCTAGAGTCTCGCTCAATGCGTGAAAACCTAATTTTTTATGGGGTAACCCGAACAAACGTCCGGAGCAGACGGAACACCAGGCGGAGGACTGCGAAGCTCTTGTGAAAGAACTCATCACCAGCAAATTGAATTTAGATGGGGATAGTATGGATTATTGACAGAGGCTCATCGCTTAGGCTCAAATCGTGCAAAAAACCCAGAGGCATCGTTGTCAAGTTTCACTATTATTCTGAAAGAGAACAAGTGCGCCTTAAAATCCTATGATAAAAATGTGAAAAAGATTCTTAAATGCAACAATTTATGGAATTAGGTATCCCAACGACACAGGCGATGCGTGACGCAAGGAAAGCATTCTATGACGTCATTCAAACACGAAGAAGGGCTTGGTCGTACACAAGAGTCAACGGGATTGAAACTTTTTGTGAAATAACAATCTATTCAAAGTGTTTAACGATGGAAAGGTAATAGATCCACCGCCCTTTACTTAAAAAAAAAACAAGAAATGGGAAAAAAGCAAAGCTCAAAAAAAAAAAAAAATTTAGGGGAAAGAAAAACTACAATAGAAGAAGGAAAAAAAGAAGAAAAGAAAACCTTAAAATTGTTTCATGAGAACAAAGAAGAAGGAATAAGTTCAGTGAAAGAAGTGAATAAAAGTTAGTACAACATTAGCAAGGTGCAAGATAAAAAAAAAAAAATTGGGGACCCAAAAATTTTTTAAATTAAATTATTACAAAAATTTTAAATATTTTTTATGATATTAATTTTTCCCTACGGGAAAATTTTGGTTAAAAAAGACCTAACTTTAATTTTTAAAAGACAAAACGGTTTTTTTAAGTGATCTTTTTATATGGTAAAAGAAAAATTTAAAACACTACAACGGGCCCCTTTTAAAAAAGGGAAACCCCATTTCCCGATCAAAAAATAAACATTTTTTATAAAAAATAAAAATTGGTATAATGTGGTAAAAATTTCAAAGTTAATTTTTAAAATTTTGATGAAGATATTTTGTTATGTAATACTTATTGTTCTACCTAGTTGCTCTCCTTTGCTAAATTCTTTTGAATATTGATATGTTTGATCAATTAGGGTCTGATATTGGGATATAATTCTCTTGGGTAAAATATTTTTTGCTAGGGGCGATCTAAATGCAGAACCTCAACATTATCTGATGTTTTGGAAACTGATAATTATTTACTTAAATCAAATTGATCGACAGACCTTAGACATAAATTTAGTAGACCGTGAAATGTTGACCAACGTGATAGATGCATATGGACGTCGTCTGGCTTGATATGTGTAAAACAACTAGTCCTTCGCATTTGTAAACGGTCGCTTACATAACGGATATTCACGGGGACTTTACATTCCATTCGCACAATGGATCAAGTACAGTCGATTTATTTTGTTACTCAAGAGTGAAAAAATTTTCATATTGTTAATAACTTTCAAGTTCAATGTTATGACAGAGTTTTCCGCGATCACTGTAGTATTTTCATTTCAAATCTTTTTATGAAACCAAAATGAGTCGATAGAAAACACCATATATAGGTGGGACGCGTCTAAAAATTGAAGATTTTAAATTTGAGACTGAATCAAGATGAGAATGTCATTAGACAATTAGAATCAAGTGTAGAGAACTTAGAAAATAATGTTAATATTGTTTTATCAAAATTTTATTACATTAATTCATACTTCTGCAAAAGATGTTTTTAGTAAAAAGAGAATAGTAAAAACAATTCATTTCAAAAAAGCAAGATTGGTTTAATAACGTCTGGTATAGTGCACGTAAGGCTTTTAATAACGCGAGGAATAACTTATCTTAAACGTAAAACGAATGAAAACAAAATGTCTTTTCTATCAGCCGGCCAAAAAATTTAATTATTGTAAGGTCAAAAAGACGGAAAAGAGAAAGTTTCAAAGTTTTTGCAAAAAACTTAAAATTTCGGAAATGGCAAAAATAATCAAAAAGAAATTTTTGGTCGAACGTTAAATTTGACAATATAAAAACCCAATGTAAAGCACACAGTTTTATCTGTAGACGAACCTTTATAGTCATTTTAAAGAAACTATTTGGCTCAAATCAAATAACTTGCTAAAAATGAAAACGTAAATACAAATAATTTCGACACGTTTCTAGACAAAGAGATAACTTATGATGAACTAAAAAATGCTACGTTTTCTCAAAATAATAACAAAAAGTGCAGGCCTTGAATGAACATTATTGCTGAAATATATAAACATTCTTTGAAGTAACATCTCCATTCACACTTAAATTATTTAATTCGTTTATTTTGTACTGGAGAATAATCCAACAACATGGGGAGAGGGTAATTATTTCACCAATATTCAAGGGAGGTAATATTGAGGACCCAAAAAAATATAGGGGAGTAACTCTCATTAATGTGATGGCTAAAATATACTCGCAAATTTTGACGAGTAGACTTACAAGTTTGACACAGGAAAAAACTTTAATATTAAACAACCAATTTGGGTTCCAAAAAGGAAAATCCACTACTGATTGTATATTTTTATTTCACTCTATTATTGCAAAAACCTTAAATTCTAAGCAAAAACTTTATAGTGTCTTTATAGACTTCGAAAAATGTTTTGATCGTATAGATAGACATTTCTTATGGAAAAAATTATTAAGTTATCAAGTTAGTTCAAAATTTGTTACAGTTTTAGAGTCAATGTATAACATCGTTAAACAATGTGTTAGATATAATGGTAAAATGTCGGAATTTTTCAACTCGCTTTATAGGATTGAAACAGGGAGACCCGAAGCTCAAGCCTGATGTTTTCTACTGTTCGTTAATGATATATTACAAAATATTGATACTAATTTAGAAGGAATATATTTACAATAAATGAACTTAAGTTTTTCCTCTTGATGTTCGCTGATGACGCGGCATTGTTTGCGCACTCACCCGCCGAAACACTGCAGTCTATGCTAAAATGACCTTAACCGGTACTGTCATACGTGGGGACTAACAATCAATACGAAATAAAACCAAAGTTATGGTATTTGAGGGCGTGGTCGACATACTCAGTGTAATATATTTCTTAATAATACACAGCTAGAAGTAGTCCCGTCATTTAAGTATTTAGGAACGCATCTCTTCAAAAATGGATCGTGGTATAGAACACAAATTAGAATATCAAAACATTTCATCATTTGCGCTCCATAACCTATTTATAGTTTTTTAATCAAATTGAATTACCTTTGAAAGAAAAAATTCGTCTGTTCGACAGTTTAGTAGGTTCTATATTAAATTACAATGCATCAGTCTGGGGGGTATTCATGATGGCAACCACATTGAACAAATACATTGTAAATTCCTTTCGAAAATTGTTATGTGTAAAAACGATCGACAAATCTATACGGCTTGTATGGTGAACTTGGGCGATATCCATGAAAACAGCACGGCAATTGATAATTATCAAATATTGGATACAAGTTTTGAAATCAAAACAACCCATTAATTATAAATATATATGAAATGTTGAAAAACGACGCAAACAATGGTAACTCATACAACGGTCTTAATTGGGCACATCATATTAAAGCTTTGCTTGACAAAATAGGATTAGGAAATTTTGTGGCTTTCTCAGAATCCCAATGATATCAGTTATGTAATTATTAAGCAGCGAATATAAGATATCTTTAAGCAATCGTGGTATACTACAATTTAACAATTCTAATAGGTTTATCGCACTATTGTTTATTCAAACACGAATTTGAAACAGAGAAGTACCTGCAGTTAAACATGGACACTAAATATAAAACTACAATTACAAAGTTTAGATTATATACAAATAATTTAGCCATTGAAACTGGACGATATAACAATACTGACCGACAACAACGATACTTTACTCAATGTAATATGAATGTGATTGAAGATCCTTATCATTTTTTTACTTGTTTGTCCTAAATACAGACAGTTACGAATCAAAACTTTCACCCCCGTATTTTTGGCAGATGGCCATCTATTCAAAAAGTTTCACTTACTTTAATTGTCAACAGATTCTATAAGATCAATTTTACAAATTAGGGCGATTTTTATATTTGGCTTTCAGAGAAAGACAATGATACCATTAAGAAACTAGACTATCTATAAATAACTTAAAAATGTTTGTTTAATCTAAATTGTTAAACTTTTGTTCTTCTTGTAAAGTTTGTATGCACCACTATACATGTTTATATTTGTATGGCTATAAATATTGTTTGTATTTAATGCCAATAAAATATTCTGTTATGTTCTGTTCTGTTCTTATACAATGAATGAGATTATACAAACAATTTACAAACTGTTAAATCAACATCAAAGAGTAGTCATTTATTTGAGACTGTGCCACATTTATGACCTTGAATTATCCATTATTATTAGTTTCTTCAAATTCATTTCTTCAATTCATTTATATAAAAAATAAACTACTTACTATAAATCAAGAATATAGCACATTTTCACCAATTAATGATTAAAAATAGCACATTTTGTATAGCACATTTCTAGTTTATTCAGTTGAGTCTGTTTTCCTTCATTATACATAGTTTAAGCGGATACAGTGGCCGATGCCTGGAGAAACTCAGGTACAGTATTCTTGATTGATGAGTTGTTTACATATTCTTTTGAGTTTCTGCTGATGCACAATTGTTTGTTTTTTAACCTGTTTACAAGAAAGTTTTGTCCACTTTAAAACTGAAGTGGTTGAGTTTTGTCCACTCTGTAAAATAAAGTGGTGGGGTTTTGTCCACTCTATAAAATTTAGTGGTGGGGTTTTGTCCAATCTATAAAATTTTGAGGGGTGGGGTTTTAACTGGTGGGGTTTTGTCCTACATTCCCGGTAATAAGACAACAAGAGCCACCGCCGGGCGGGAACAACGCTCGACTTTTTACTTTCTCTAAAAGCAAACAAAGAAATGTTTCAGCAAAATCTTTAGATATACTAATTTATAAATAAATAAATAGAAACACGCAATTCTATAAATACAAAATTCTATAAATAGAAACAAGCAATTCTATAATGGTGGTGACACGTGCTGGTGACACATAGTGTTGACACATGGAGACACGTAGTGGTGGTGACACGTGGTGGTGGTCACAAATGGTGGTGACACATGGCAATGACATGTTGTGGTGTGACACGTGGTGGTGGTTGTGACACGTGGCGGTGGTGGTGACAGTGACACGTGGTGGTAACATGTGGTGTCACGGGGTGGTGTCACATGGTGGTTACATGTGGTGGTGACACGTGGTGGTGACAAGAGGTGGTATCACGTGATAATATCAAGTGGTGATGTCACGTGGTATCACGTGGTGGTGACATGTGGTGGTGTCACGTGGTGGTGACATGTGGTGGTATCACGTGGTGACATGCGATGGTGACACGTGGTGGTTGCACATGGCGGTGTCGGTGACACATGGTGTCACGTGGTGGAATAATGTGGTGTCACGTGGTGACATTGTGACATGTGATGGTATCACGTGGTGGTGCCTCTTGGGGTCACGTGGTGACATGTGGTGGTATCACGTGGTGGATACACGTGGTGGTTTCACGTGATATCACTTGGTTGACTCACGTGGTATCACGTGAAGGTGTCACGTGGTTGTATCACGTGATGGTGACATGTGGTGGTGTCACGTGGTATCATGTGGTGGTGTCACGTAGGGTGGTGACACGTGGTGCTGGTGACACGTGGTGTCACGTAGGGTTGGTGACACATGTTGTTGTTGTTGTGGTTGATTATGATGATGATGATTACACACACACACACCAATAAATATATATGTTCATTTCATGCCCACATCTAAAAAAGTCAGTAATTTAACCTTCAAGGTCAAGGTCATTAAATAGCCCAAGTGTTTGATAAACACCAAAGTCTTGTCATTAAGTATGTTCTGTTATGATATGAAGTTGATCCCTTCAATAATAGCAAAGTTACAGCCAGTTACAGACAAAACAATTTAAATTTCAATAATTTGAACTTCAAAGTCAAGGTCATTAATGAGTAAAGGTCAAGGTCTGTCTGGTTTTTTAAGGGTTATCCTTGAAGATTATTAGGTTCAAGTTTAAAGACAATCCATTCAAAAATAACAAAGTTACAGCTAATAACAGCCAAGGATGAAGACAATAAACCAAGAAATAAAAAAGTTGTGATCAAGATACAAGTTTGCGGACGGCAACGGGAACGGGAACGGCAACGCCGCCGCGACTATAGCAATACCTCTGCTTTTTCTTTTCAAAAAAGAAAGTGGAGCTAAAAATCACTTAGTTGTACACTAGAACGTCCGCAGAAAATGAGCATTGTCAAGCATATATTGAAATATAATTGCATTAGGATATGGTACAGTCAAAGGACATAGTTATTCGCCACCCCTGACGTTCGCGCTACGCACCATAACATGTTAGAATTTAAGCTGCGAGCTATAAATAGCCGAGAGTTTTATTCATGTAAACAGGGCTAAAGTTCAATCAGTCTTTGAGCTCAATAATTCGTCTGCATTGTTTACAAGTTCAATTCATGGGCGTTTTTTAAAATGACATCGAAAACAAAAGAATTAAGTAGGGATGTACGAGAATTGATTATAAATAGTTTTAAGGAGAATAAAAATCAGTCAGAATTGTCAAGATTACTGGGTATACCTAGATAAAAGTGTAATTAAGAAATATCAACAGTATGGAAGTGTTGAAAATCGCAGTGGGAGTGGTAGAACAAAATATTTACGGAACGAGACAGAACAAAACTTTCTCGGATAATAAAATGTAACAGGAAATGAACTTTGAGAGATGTTACGGATATGATGAGTACAGGTATGGATCGAACTTTTTGTGATTAAACTATTGAAAGAAAAATTCACGAGTTAGGTTATAAAAGGAGGGCTGTTCAGAAGAGAATGGTTGTTGGCGGGGTAGTCGAAAAAGTTATGAAAGGAAATATTGGACTGTGGAAGAACACTGGAGTAAGTGGATGGATATTTAGTGAAAATCAGGTGGTAATCGTGAAAAATATGGAGGAAAGACGACGAAAAATATAAACCTCACTTAGTTTGTCCCGCTCCCAGGGCTTAGCTCAGTGTTATGGTCTGGGGATGTGTATGCTTTGGGGGTATTGGAACTGTGATCGCTGTTGAGGCTAAAATAAATGCACAGAAATATTTAGATGTGTTAGACAATAATTTATGGCCAGTTATTGCAAGGCATTTTGGAAATAATGACTATGTGTTCCAGGATGACAATGCCCCTTGTTCACAGAGCCGGATTAGTAAAAAAATATTTAACAGAAAATGATGTAACTACAAAATAATGGCCAGGATACTCTCCTGACTTAAATATAATAGAAAATCTTTGATTACACATCAACTGACGATTGAAATACCGCACCGCGTAAGTTACATACAAACCCGCGAACAGCTGATTGCCGAAATTTCACATATATGGGAAAAATATCTCTAGATCGTGTACAAGGTCTTTATAGAACAATTCCACATATAATTAAAGAAGTTATAAGAATGAAAGGAAATCTGACAAAATAATGAGGTAAGATGATTTCTTATGATCCTATAATGACGTCTCCTTTTTGTTTCTTAATATTGCGTAATTGGCCGCCATTTTGAAAGTGGCGAATAATTATGTCCTTTGACTGTATCGTTTTGACAACATTAAATGTTGTATTGCCATTCATTCAAAGTATGTTAAAATAAGAATTGAAATCTCAAGAATGATATGACAGTATGTTCATGCTTAAATTAGAAATAAGAATTTGTACACTGAATTCAATTAATTCGTACACTGAACTCAATTAGATCATGAAGAAACAATTTAATAGTAATTCTGATTTCATCAGTAATGCTGGTGCTTTAAAGTAAATATATTTTATGTATTCATTATGTTCAAGATTTTAAAACTGTATAAAATCAAGAATCATGATTGTTTTAGGTCAGCAACTCCTTAATTTTGTAACAGAATTATGATTTTTTGACACTGCACTTTTTCTAAATGTGATGTAACCATATTTTTAGTTAAAAGCTCTTAATTAATATACTTTCAGTTTTAGGCTCCGTTCCATTTGTGGCGGAACGCCGTCGGACAGACGAAAAGTCGGAAGTTTAAATATCAAACTACTATAACGTCTCCATTGCTTCCTCTTTTGTTCGTTTAAGTCTCAAAATAGTCATATAGTCAAATGACAGAGAAAATATACAGAAAGACAAACGTCAGAAAAGTCAAGGCCAAATATTTTCCCCTCCACATTCGACGACGTGGCCTTATAATGATCTTTGTATACCCATTAAATTTTTGTAAGGTTATGTAACACTTAATTTCATAACCCATAGGCTAATTTAATTTACAAAAATGTATTCTAGTATACAAACACAATAAAATGTATATGATTATTTAAATAGTCTCACAAAATTTAATAAATGCATTTCCTTAAAACGTATTTTACAAATATGAACAAACCTCTCCGTATTTTCTGACGTCTTCCTATCTGTAAGTAAACACATTAAAAGTTCATAAACATAATTTTTGTAGTTGATTTAATAAAACTTATAACGTTATTAAAGTCAAATGTCATTGCAAACTAATTTTAGAATAAATTTATACCTCACTCCGAAGCAAAGGTTTGTGATACAATAAATAAATACGTTGACATACATTATTAACAGACATGACAACAAACAACCAAGAACTGATATATAGATGTTGATGATAAGCAGTATAGGCGTCGGTTTAGCGTCACGACTGCGCATGGGCGGTGCCATATTGGATTCTATATTTAGAATAACATCATCGTTCTATTTTTAGAAATTTATTTTAATCTCCCGAAAGTATACGGAGCTGACCCGTATACACGATCCTAGGGCTTGAATAGCGGACATTGTAGGTCAGGTCCTCGGCCCTAGACGGAGAGATACATATAATCATTTATAAAAGAAATGTCTGTAAATAAATACCTGCTTAAAAATTTAATTAATAAACTAGAATAAAAAAACATACAAATAGCTTATGTTTTTTTAATATGGTCAAAATAAATAATAAACATTAAATAGAAATAGTACTTGTTTACTCCTTGGCGGTACGAAACCAAATGACACAAATCATCAGTGTATTATTTCTAAATGCTCTGATCACGAGTGTACCAAACGTGATCGTAGACATATAGTCGAGCGTCTATTTATTTAAGAGCGGATGCATTAACAATAGTCCATTTAACTGTCAAAGTTTATCCCCTTAAAGTCGCCATAATGTCTGGCGTATGCAGTGTCAGTTTACCACTGGGGTATAATTTTAAACTCATTTTGGAAAAGAAATGCCAACATGTTTTTAAAACTGATCATCACGAATGTGCAAAATTATAAAAAAAAACTATTATCAATGGTCACTAAAACCGAACAAAAATACAACAGAAAAAGCGTTTTTCGTCTTTTGTTCAACAGTTTACAATATACATTTTGATTTTTTTCGCATTAAATGATAGACGTGACAGAATGCTTTGAAATAAACTCTAGGTTCTCGATTCGATTTTTAGCCGTTCTTGGGTTATGGACCTTTAGCGATTTTTAATCAATTTTTTAAAAGTCCAATTTTTATGCCGTTTGAAATATCTCGGCGAGATGTGGATTTACGCCTTTATTAGTCAATGTAACTCTTTCATGTTTCTAATAAACAGTCTTCATTGAAAATACTGTACTCGAAATATAAACTCAACTTACTGCGTTAATGATGTTTACTCTATGACGTCCAATCACCAAATGACTGAAGTCACCACTGCGATACATCATACGCATGCGCTGATCTAAATTTAGAAATGACATTGTCCAATCTAACAGCAGTTTCTCTTTTCTTACGGACTGAATGTAACCAATCAGACAGAAGATTTATTTGACCAATGAGAAAGTGTATATTATGAGTAAGTGACCTATGGGTATCAAGCAGTTCAACCAATCTAAATGGAGAACAATCCTCACTCAGGAGAATATATAAAATAATACGTCGATGTATGTAAACCTTTCAAAAGACATCCAATGGAACAGAAACTGGACTTTTCTCAATGAACCAACACACCCTATAGATAAAGATTGGAAGTGCTTATCAGAACGGGATATGTACATGGACACCACAAAGATAGGCATTGAAGGTGGTCAATTACACTGACAATATATCATAAATAATAAGGCAATATATGTATTTATATCTTTTATTTGGATAAACATGTATTTCATGCGAAAAATAAAAACAAAACATGTCAATTTTTATTTTATTAACATACAACATTCTGATACAGTGAATATTGTTTTAAGAGTAATGATGCATTTTGTCTAGTAGCTTTCGTCATTGGATTTTTTCCAGTTTCATCATACTATAAGGTAATAATTGAGCTTTTTCCGTGGTGGGTGAAATTCTTTGACAATGTTTCTCATTGATTTTCCTCCATATCGTTTGATGAAGTAGGACGCGCAATAAAGTCCACCCACGTTAGACGAGGACTGGTGTAGCTGCCCATTATACATAAGGTATTTCTTGTTTAGTATCTTCTCAAATTCAACATCATAGCTTTGCGGGCACTTTCCCATCGAGTCGAACATTCGTAAGGGCCTATCGTGGGAAAATAAAAAGGCACCCAATGTTTTCCCAGGCCATTGCTCGTATCCGTATAGGAAATTACGAATCTTCCTTTTTGTTTGCGAATTTTATCAGCCGCACACACTGTCACTGGATATCCTCGCAATATATTTTCTAACTGATAATTGTTCATTTTAGTAAGTTAAGTGACTCCAGTCAGTATCCGTTCGGCGCTTCTTACGTTCCGGTATACTGTTATCTCTGTTCCGTTTAACTTCCGATTTTGCAATTTCAATCACTTGGGCCACGGGGCTAACCAAATTAACTTAGGGACGCTGTGCATTTTTAGCTCCTCTTCCGCTTATGTTGTCTTTTTCTCGTTGACTTTGAGTTTCGCTTCTAGTGTTTCGACTCTTCTACGCGAATGGCCGCTACCTGCAATCTAACGGCCTTTATAATCGGCTTTAACGTACCCGTTCCCCAAGTCCTTGAAATGTTGGTACCATTTCTCTGGATCATCTTTTTAAGGGACCCATTTTTGCTGTTTATGATCGTAGACTCTTATGGAACCCATTGTAACGTTGTAAACTTAAGACTGGCGATCCTTCTTACGCATTTTCTTCTTCATTTTTTTTTCGTTCTCATGATTAGAAATGTTAATGTCATGACTGGGCCATAGAACCTCAAACAGATCTTTTCTTAGTTTAATGGCTCGTGTTTAATATCGTGTTGATGTCTAAGTTTCCTCGCGGAGTGGAAAATTTGCTGTTGAGTAGGGTCCTTTTGCAATACGTAAAAGTCAATAAGAAATTGTGCATAATTTTGTCTCAACATTTTCTTCAAATGCGGCAACACATCATTTGCTGCGCGAGAAAGAGCATCATCGAAAGAGTACTTTTGATATATGTAACTGTTTAGTCGTTCCTTAAATTGTTCCTTTTCCTTGAGGAAATAAATTTTGATTCAGATACACGATAGATATGTACCTGTGGTGACTGCCTTTGGTAAAAAGATCGGCGATTCTCTGGTCACATTTGGCCTCTGTCATCAAATCGTCAAAAATGTTCAAGTTCCTTTTACGCCCGCCAATATACTCTGGACTATTCAAGTAGTCGGGAATGCCATGTACAAATTCTATCCCGGGTATTCTACGCTGAAGTTCGTCGTATAGAATCTGCCATTGACCGTAACACCAAATGATGCGCTCCGGTGGCGGACTTACTATATCGGATAAAAGCAATGTTTTTGTCCATTCAGTTTTTCCGCTACCGCTAGGCCCGGAGACGACCATCGAAAACGGATGCTGAAACGTCATCTTTTCTGACCCAGGGGTTATTTGTGGTGATGGATGGTTATCTCTTACAATTTTGTCAGTCTCGTGCAGGTTACGATGATGTCTCAACATGGCGTCGCGTCTTGAGAAAAGTTGTTGACAAATTGGACATTGATTCATTATTAAAAAAAGACACAAAAGTACACTGAAGTATTCGTTCTTATACTGGTTAGTCACCCTTCTTACGTTGGAGTGAAGTGTTGTTGTTGGTGGTGTGGGTGGTAGTGGTGGTGGTGGTTGCGGGGGTGGTGGTGGTGATGGTTGTGGTAGCGGTGGTGAAGGTGGTGGTGGTTGTGGTGGCGGTGGTGGTGGTGGTGATGGTGGAGATGTTGATTGTGGTAGCGGTGGTGGTGGTGGTGGCGGTGGCGGTTGTGGTGGTGGTGGTGGTGGTGGTGGTGGTGGCGGTGAAGGTGGTGGTGCTGGTGGAGGTGGTGGTGGTGGTGGCGGTGGTGGCGGTGGTGGTGGTGGTTGCAGTGGTGGTGAAGGTGGTGGTGGTGAAGGAACAGGAAATAAATAGAAAAAAATTCCCGTTTCCAGTCATACATGTTTATTGATAAAATATACGCAGAAAAACATATTCTTACAAAGAAACACAAAAGATATGTTACAATACAGTAGTACAATATCAATGTTATGGTTATACAAACGAATGTCATGAACATTTTTTTCGTCTAATTTGATACAGTAGATGTCGTTGAACTTAAACCACCGAATCCTCCAAAGCCGAAAGGTGTTGACCTAGTTAATGATACAAACGCGCCAAATCCGCCTATTGGGATCGGTTTTTGTTGAGGAGCGCCTACTATTTTAATATATTTGCAATTGGGTGATCACTTGTGATGTTCTCTCAATGCGCTGTCCGATCTATCCCAGGCGCATAATTTTATGTGACATCTGAAACATTCGCACACGTCTGATTTCCCGCTGTAGTATAATCCCGTGCTTGCCAGTTCGTACTTATTCGGGTTTTGGATAAGTATCAAACGTCTTGAGTCTACTTTCGTAATATTCCATGTTATGGTTGAAGGATGTACAGTCTGTGGCGTTCATCTTGCTTATGCCAAAACGCTAATAAGTATTCATTTATATACACACGTATTAAAATCTGATTGGCTGCTATTTTTGGCATGACGTTATTCATCTATTTATGTTATTTAAAATCATTGGTCAAATAATCCTTCTGTCTGATTGGTTACATTTATTTAATGCGAAAAAAATCATAATGTATATCGTAAAATGTTGCACAAAAGTCGAAAAACGCTTTTCTGTTGTATTTTTGTTCGGTTTTAGTGACCATTGATAATAGTTCTTTTTTATAATTTTGCACATTCGTGATGATCAGTTTTAAAAACATGTTGGCATTTCTTTTCCAAAATTATGCCCCAGTGGTAAACTGACACTTCAATAGCTTATTGCTAACCCGCTTTTACATTAGACGGATAAACTTTAACAGTTGAATGGAGCATTGTCCGCATATCCGTCCCTAAATAAACATACGCCAGACATTATGGCGACTTTAAGGGGATTAACTTTGACAGTTAAATGGACTATTGTTAATGCATCCGCTCTTAAATAAATAAACGCTCGACTATGTGACTACGATCACGTTTGAAACACTCGTGATCAGAGCATTTAGAAATAAAACACTGATGATTTGTGTCATTTGGTTTCGGACCGCCGAGGAGTAAACAAGTACTATTTCTATTCAATGTTTATTATTTATTTTGACCATATTTAAAAAACATTTCTAGTTTATTAATTAAAATGTTAAGCAGGTATTTATTGACAGACATTTCTTTTAAAAATTATGATATTTATCTCTCCGTCTAGGGCCGAGGACCTGACCTACAATGTCCGCTATTAAAGCCCTAGGATCGTGTATACGAGTCAGCTCCGTATACTTCCCGGAGATTAAAATATATTTCTAAAAATAGAACGATGATGATATTCTAAATATAGAATCCAATATGGCGCCGCGCATGCGCAGTCGTAACGCCAAACCGACGCCTATACTACTATGATACATGAGCTAATATTACATTTACAATGTCTTATCTATTATCACAGAAAATAATTTTTTTATTGAAAATGAATTTTAATTATAACTATCATGAAATGATAATTGAAACGCGCCATGACAAAACCAATATAATGCATTTTCGACCAGCATGGATCTAGACCAGCGTACGCGCAGTCTGATCAGGATCCATGCTGTTCGCTATCAGTTTCTCTGCTTGTTATAATATTTGTAAGCGAGTAGCATGGATCCTGATCAGACTGCGCGAATGCGTAGGCTTGTCTGGGTCCATGCTGGTCGCAAACGCATTATGTTGTTTTTGTCATGGCGAAGCTCATATGTAAATAGCTATACAACCTGTTCCAATTGTTAAAGTAGAGTATGTAGTGCCAGCCCCTTGTTGGGTGTGAAGACTGTCATATGTAGAACTTTAAATACATAATTATGTTTGTAATTAATTAACTTAATAAGTTTGACAGTTTAACAATAATTCTTTAAACAATAAAAATGTACATTATTATAAATCTGAATAATAATCTTAATAAAATAAACAATCAAATTTACTGTAATTATATCCCCGGGAATAAGATGAAAGGTGGATTGTACATTAGAACATTATTGTGATAAAACGTCCACAGAAAACGAGCAGTGTCGAGCTTAAGGACATGTCTTTGAAATATAATTACATTAGGATATGATATTATTTTGACATCATTAAATATCTTCTGGCCATTCATGTTAAAATAACAATTGCAATCTTAAGAAGTAAATGACAGTATGTTCATGCTTGAATTAAAAAAAATATACGAATTCGTACATTGAACTAAATTAGATCACGAAGAAACAATTTGATAGTAACTCTGATTTCATTTGTTATGCTGATGCTTATCTTGAGGTAAATAATTATATCTTCATGTATCAATTATATTCAAGATTTTAAAAACTGTATATATTCAAGTATCATGATTTTAAAGGACAGCAACTCCTTTATTTTGTAACAGAGCTATGATGTTTGGACACTGCACTTTTTCTGAATGTAATGTAACCATATTTTAGTTTACGGTTCTTAATTGATATACTTTCAGTTTTACGCTCCGTTCCATTTGTGGCAGAAAAAAGCCAGACAGACGAAAAGACGGAAGTTAAATATCATACTACTATAATGTCTCTTTTGTTCGTTTAAGTTTCAAAATAGTCGAGTAAAATGACATCAGAGAAAAATACTGAAGGACAAACGTCAGAAAGGTCAAGGCCAAATCTTTATCCCTACACATTCGACGACGTGGCCTAAAAATAATCTTTGTATACCCATTAAAATTTGTAAGGTTATGCAACATGTTAATTTCATAACCCATAGGGTAATTTAATTAACTAAAGAGTGTACTAGTATTCAAACACATTTATATGTTTATTTAAATAGTCTCACAAAAGTTAATACATGCATTTCCTTAAAACGTAATTTACAAATATGCACCAACCTCTTCCTATTTTCTGACGTCTTCTTATCTGCAAAAACCATTAAAAGTTTATAAACATATTTTGTATGATCGATTTAACAAAACATATAGAGTTATTTCATTCAAATGCCTTTACAAACTGATTTAGTGTCCAGCTTTACTTGTCATCCAATGAAAACGCTGTATTTCTTAAAAATTGTGTGTGTTTATTTTCATAGAGCAAAAGTCGATACTTTATCGAATTTCGTTCATAGTCGCCTTCTATTTTTCATAATCCTTTTAAAAACCGCGTAGTGACGAAATTAGTGAATAATCATGGGCCAAATAAAGCTTGACACTAAGTATGGTAGTATTCATCCGTAGCTGTTCTACAGAAATTAGAAATATTCTCCTGTCGCAAACGCTTCCGTCGAAGTTTCTAATTTCTGTAAAACAGCACGGATGAACACTTACATATACATAGAACATATTTATACCTCACTCCGAATAACTATGTGTATATAGAATCATTTATAGATATTATAGCATAAAATCGGTTCCCACCTCTTTTGCCTGCGTTATAACGGGGCCAAAACCATGTGTTCACAGAGTCAAGCGCTCTTATTATAGCCCGGTTTTACCTATGCGTAATTCATACAGGGCACAGTTAACAAACACAAAAATGACGATTTGGCCTATTTGCCAAAGATTCATTGACGTTATTTCGTTCGGCTCTGAACATTTGCTTTGTATTTCCCAAGTTGCTTGCCCCGGAAAAATGAAACGTACACGTAAAATATGTTGTCAAAACGACGTGTGAATTGGATAAATACTGTCCAAGTGCAAACAGTTTTACACGGGGATTTTTGTATTAAATAAGCCTATATCAATCTGGTTTAAAATTGTATGCTAAAATAGCATCAACGCACGTTTTTTTCGTGTAATAACGTCTGCAGAGTCCCTCGAAACTGTTGGAGCCCTCACCCTACCGGGTCAGACCCCAATCGTTCCTCGGGACTCTGCAGACGTTATAACACGGAAAAACGTGCGTTAACCCTATAAAAGGTTACCCTTTCCATTATTTTGTTTAAAGTTAATTGGTCTATAAGGAAAGGTTTGAGATACAATAAAATAAATACGTTGACATACATTATTAAGAGACACGACAACAAACAACCAATAAATGATATATTGATGCTGATGATACATGATTTGATATTACATATAAATGTAATTTTATTGCAGAATATTATTATTGAATGTCCATAAATCACTTAGAACTTTATCAGAAATATCTAATTGATATAGGTCCATCAGTTATTCACCGTGCTTTAGCCAATGCAGTTTGGAACTAATATCTCTAAAGCTGAACGAGTTATTGTCTTTCCAAACATGCAAGAGCAAGTGAAGAGAAGAGACAAAAGACAATAACTTAAATGAATCTAGCAATGGGTTATTAAACTTGTGCTCGGCACAGCTCCTAAATGAGATCTTTCAACGTATCAAGCTTCATGTTAATATTAAAAAAGCCGTCTGAGATTTCCTTTTGACAAAAATAAAGCAAGCAACAACCAAAATGGGTCAAAAAATGAAAGGAAGAGTAATCTTTCTTGTGCATTACATCTCTTAAAGATTTCATCCTCCTATCAAGTTTATATCTCAAGTACTTTTCGAGACATGCTCCGTACCAAAATTGAGCATGAGAAAATACAAAGGACAACAACATATATTCATGGACGAAAGAATTATAATAATTGTACAATGCAATCTTTTTCAGTATTCTCTTGAGTTGAGTTTTACCATAATTGGATAAAATCATAATTCCTTGGTAAAAAAACTACACAAAACACGGAATTATTTAACAATCTTGAAGGAGAAAGTTATGACTATTGTGCATTGCATTCATCCTCTGTGTGACCCCTTGTAGCTGCAAAAATTCAAATTGATATCCCAAATGCTTATCGAGTCATGATTCGGTCAAAAAATAAACCATACACAATAACCAGTATTGCATCCCTACTTAATGAGATTTATTCACCTATGAGAATTCAAGTTTATACCTTAAACACATTTCAAATTTCGCTCAGAGCAAAAATTAAAAATGAAAAACTTATGTCCTACACCCTTGTTTTTTCTATTGTTATTCATAGCCACTTGTCCAGTAGCCGAAAGACGGAGACGGACGGAACATATCAAAGAACATGTCGTGTGATGTAGCGGGGCGGGGGCGAAAAGAGTAATAAAAATACAAGCTGTTGTTGTTTGACATGAATAATTTGAATGCAAGAATATTTTGTTGCTTAGCCAAGTTGTAATTCAATTTGAAGTAATGAAGTATGGCGCATACTTTTACAGTTTATAGTACACTATGATTTGACATTTTGATGTAAAATATAAAACATTTTATATCTAACCTGCGTGTTCATATGTCATCTTCCTGAATATGAAGACGCCGGCGACAAGTATGCCCACAATTACAAAAGATAACGAGCCTCCCACTATAACTGCTTTGTGATCAGATTGTTGTTGTTGTAATTGTTCTTTTTCTGTTGACGGTATGAAAATAACATATTGTTTGTTTTATGATTTAACAAATTCATTCAATATAACAATCTGTTATCCATTGTTTAATTTATTTATTTAGTTTTTTTACACAACATTAACAAATGTAGTCTAAAAATTAGTAAAAGTCGAGAAAATATCAAAGTCGCAGATACTTTTATGACACATATATTGTTATGAAGCGATCAGTTTAAAAGTGTAACCACATGTAACCACATGTCCTCGCTCCGTTTATAAAACACAAAATATATACCTAGTTCATAGACTGTAAATTCAATCATAGGAGCTAAGTCTGTAGCTATCCATCCGGCATTGTTTCCAGCTAAAACTCTTATGTCATACACGCCTGGCGGCAATCCTTTGATGTCAAACCTATATAGCATTTGTTCATTTTGAAGATATCTTACATTTGTTTCATTAAACCTCAGTTGCTCGGTCCAAATATTTGTTCCCTTAATCTGAGTTTCTATGACAAATGTTTGAAGTGATCCACCATTAGATCCACCATGGAAGATGAACATATCGACACCAGTACATCTTCCAAAGTAATAAAACTCCATTGGGACTGCTGGAATATCTTAAAATTATAAATAAAATTAATGATATTCAAACATTTTTTATTATATTATTTCTCACAAACGTTTCATTTATATTTAAAGTTTAAATAAAATTTTAAACAGTTTTGTAATTTAATTTGTTATGTTATTGGTCAGATCTTTTAATCGTCATTTAAGAAGATTATTTGTTCAATCTATAAAAGAATATATGCGACAAATTTGATAAGAATACTCAATAAAGATAACATGCCATGAATTGTTTTTGTTTCCACTCATTTACATGATTAAATTAATTGTTGCTGTCCAATGAAGATTCGTCGAATAAATGTTTATCACACATAGTACATCATTTACAATATAAGTGATATGATGAAGTACATGCCTATCTTGTCACATTTATTCCAGAAAAAGTATTTTCTACTTTGAGGTGTAAACTTGCTAAGATTCAATTACCAACTACCTACCAGTAAGTAGTTGGTAATCACGTCAATAACCAACAGAGTCCCCTGGTACACGTAAGGAGTCAAGTGTCAAAGTCAGAGCACACATATCTTGTTTTACGAGAATATTTGTTTCATTTATTCCAGAAAAGTACTTTTTGTTTTGAGGTGTAAACATCCAAAGTGCGAATAAACAACTACATGCTACTAGGTAGTTGGGGATTGACGCGCAAGTAACTAGCTGAGTCCACAAGAGAACATAAGGAGACAGGTTGCTTCCATGTTGGACAACACATCTATCTTGTTATATATCTATTATATTTATAACGGAAAATGCTAACATCCCATTCTTCTATCGTCTATCAGGAAACTTGGTTATCCGAATGAATCCCAAACTACCTACCAGAAGGTAGTTGGTAATTTTAACTTTCCATATGCTTCTTCCATCTAAAACAGAAAGTATATTCTCGGAGTAAATGTAACTGATATATTAACAGATAGATGTATTCTCTGACATAGTCTCACTTCGCCCACAAGGGGACTTGGATATTCGTACGAATCCCCAAGAGTTTACCAGATCAACTGAGGGGCAATAATTTGAAATCCTGAATGTTATAACTATTATAACTAAATCAAGTTAAGGCAAGATAAAATGATTATTGATTTTATGAACGGAGCTTTGATATCAATATTTTTTATATAATCTGTATAAATCATTGTCTGGCAGCCCGTTGAAATAATGTTCTGCAATAGCATTATTCTCTACATATAAATGAGTGTCAATTTGGTAGGTAGTTGGATTTTCGAAATTAACTACCTACTAGCTGGTAGTTGGTTATTCGTGATACTATTTAAGAGCTGGTATTGGTAATTTTAATCTACTTTCGCCAGCATGAAATGTTCGAACACGTCATACGTTTTTCAAACACAGAATAAAGGAGGGGACCTTGTTGGTTATTTGCGTGTATCCCAAACTACAAACAATTCTACTAAATGATATCACCCCGTCTCCCTCTGTAGAACAGTTGGTTATTCGCCAATATTTCATTAAACCACTTTCAAATAATGATCCCAACAGTTATACCATAACCCCTATAGTATACTTACCTTTTGTCACTATTTCAAATGATCGTACAGTAGAGTTTATTTCATTTGTCACAACAGCATCATAGCTTTCTGTGTCATCTTTTGTTTGTATATGAACTAAAATCCTAGCCCTGACTCCTGCTGTTCTTATGGTATTTCCAAACACTTTCAAATTTACTTGTACATTTGTCTCTGTTACATTGTATCTAACATCTTCCAGTCTCACTCCATTCTTATTTCTATATATCTTAACATTAGATCCTGCTGCATTTGAGAAATAGTAAACGTCTACAGTGGCATTTTCCATGAGCTTTGATGATGTAATTTTACTAAAGTTAGTTATGATTGGAAACGCTGAAAAAAAATCAGGTGGACTGAAATCTTTGATAACGAAATAAAAATCATTTATAAGATACAATGCAGAAAGGCGTTTGTACAGAAATAAATTGTGCATATTCATAGAATATCTTATATTTAAAGTAAGGGTAATTGTCCACCTTTTCGAGTTATCTGTCCTTGATTTTAACTTTTTTTACTTTGATTTTTGTATACAAAAGCAAAAAATTAAATATGTGTTTTCGTCTCTCAGTCTTTAAATGTAGACTGATAAATTGACACAAATTTTTCATTTTAATTAAATTGCAATGATAGCTTAATATAACAAATAAAAAATAAGCACAAGCTATTCCATAACACTTTTATTTAATTATTTAAATTTCGATTGAATTATATTAATATGTAAAACATATGATAAACAAGATCAACAAGGAAAGGCGGCGTTCAATTAACGCAAACCCCACACAACCCAGCAACAAGAACCAGTGGGAAGGAGCCTAGGTTGACCCCAAACAAAAAAACAGGACAGGGCACAAGGCAATACACGGACAGGCTAATAACCCATGTATGCTTTAATCTGACGATGAGGATGATAAATATAGGTACAATTGTTTCATCCGTAATCAGATATTTTTGACGATGATTTATTAAGAATATTGGTCATACCAATACAACACTTATCACAGACTTACTTGAGAACTAAAAGAATGGAATTCATTAAGTCAGTATTTGTAACAAAGTTTCAACAACAAAAATTCCTTGATATTTTCCTACTTACATTTGACAACTAATTGTACTGATCCTTCCATATATTCCTGGTTTGTGCCAAATACTTTAATTCCATTACTAGCTGTACATGTGTATATTCCAGAGTGTTCATATGTTAAACCTGTAAGCTCTAGTCTCTCACTTCCACTATGTTCTGTTATAGGTGTATTGTATCCTGGCCATGTTTGAACCCATTTACCGTATGTATAACTACTGTTTGGTACACCATGTGCGTTACATGTAACAATGACTTTTGCAGCATTAATTGTTGTGTTTGTTGTTGTTGCCGAGACATCTGGAGGATCTAAAAATGGAAATGGTAATAACATTATTTTTTTCTACTTTATACCTGAAAAGAACATAAAATTATCCCACAGTTGTATTAGACATCACCTTTCAATGTTTGTCATGAGCTGACGTAATCTAAAGATTTATAGCAGCGGCATACATAAAACTATTCTAGATTTTCAATGCAATTTAACAGATAAGTGCTTGTACAGCTTCTCTGAGAACAACCTACATTCAATAAGCTTGCTTCCTCACGAGACATGATTCATGGAATAAAAGTAAGGAGTAAGTTAGTGACTTAATTTTATTTCAGTTATCTTGATGCTATGCTTTGGTGCTGACAGATCAAATTGATTATCATTTGGGGAAACTGCTTGAAGGCATTGTAAACTTTAACTCTTTTATAAAGTGACTGATTTAATGCATTGAGCAATCGGCATTAAAACAATTCTAGGATGCTACATTTGGGTATGGTTCATCATTGTTCTATTTAAAGGGACAACTTGTCTTTCCATTTTATTGGCCTTAAGTTTGGGTTTTCAATGTTTTTCCCAGCAAGATTGATGAATGAGTATTTGAGAAACCCTTTTAGAAGCACTAACCTGTCAATGTCAATCAAATGAAAGATATTGTCGAAATTTTTATATGTGTATGTGTTGAGGCCTATATACTAGTATGAGAATACGCAAATTTGACCATATTCTATCATGAAAATATTACACAATTATTCTTACTCCGACAAATAAATGTTCATATGACGTATTCGTGCTTGTTAGGTGTTGATCCTGCTGCCTACAGTCTATATTGAAAGCTCAAACACAAGAATTAAACTGTGACAATAAATAAAAGTTATTCCTTGCATAATCTCTTGGAGTTACTTTTATCTGATTATGATTTTGTTTTGAAACAACACAGTATAGGACATATAGTGGCAACATTCCAGCTTTTTCTGATAAAGGAATATTAAAGATGCCTTCTCGTGTAATATATCATACACGCAAAACCACTGCCGTTCTGTTAGGTAGTCGGACAATTTCCTCACATGAAAGAATCCGAAATTCCTGTAGGGATTCGAATCAACACCGATGAAGGGCAAATGGTCTAAAGTCAATGACCTTATTTTCTTCATTCGAACCCCCCCTGTTGGAGATCTGATAGTACAGGACATAGTCATATGATTAAAGTATGCTCAACATAAAAACATAACTGTCCTTATTATAAATCATTGACGCTAAGCAATGTAATCGTCATTTCATTTTTTAAAATACAATATATATTTAATAAATATTAAATAAAACATATCGATGAATAAGAGTACATGTAACAAAAATAATTTCAAAATACATAAGGTCCAAGGCACTGACACCCAACTTTTATAACCATATAGTTACAGCAAGAGCTATTGCAAAGCAGGGGCCATGCTCACAATTTCCTTATTTCTAAAGTCGAATACATCAGATAAAGTATATTATGCTCAAGTATAAACACAATCCATTCATATATAAAACGATATGGCCATTTGCTGTAAAAAGCAAGCACAACTCAAAAAACTCCACCAATAATAGAAAATCAATATGACAAATGTTTATGGATGGCAACATAAAAAAGAAAGGGACAAAGTCATTGTAACATTTGCTCATATTTTTTCTTCAAAAGTTGAGCTAAAATAATTGCAAAATACTTACAATATACTGTAAGGCGAACGTTTTTGATGTCAGCATTTTCTATTCTATTATTGGCAATACATGTATATGTTGCAGCATCACCTCTTCTCACATTTGTTAAAGGATATGATAATTTATTATTCTCCATTGTCCCAGTTCCCTGATGTAAAAGAAAAAAGACTTTGTGTTCTTGTCCTTGTTTGTACCATTTGAATGTTGAAGCTGGTTTACTAGATGCAGAACATTTTAGCTGAGTGTTATTTCCCTCAACAACAATAACATCTGACATTGGCTTAATTAATGGGCGGTCTGAAATATATGTAGAAGTTTAAAAAAATGTTTTATATGCAGAATATCATTATACTGTCCAACTCAGTACGGCACTGATTTGTCATCATTTAGTACTTCTTTTCAAGTAATGAAAACAAAACTGAAATGCAAGAAAAAGGCAGAGTAATATATATCAAATGGAATGTTTATGAATAAACAAATTTAAGGAATTTTCCAGATGTCACACAAGACTTTAAACCAGTTTTCTTTTTTCATAAACGTACATCTTAGATCAAAAATTTCTTCATTTCTATCAGATGAACTAAACGTATTTTAGCTTCACATAAAATAATTTCACCATCGTTGTCGCATGTTCAGATTTAATCTCTGTCACCTTTTTATTAAAATATCGGAAAAATACCAGAATCATGTATGAATGATATGTAATTATCCTTTACTTTTTATCTAAAAGAAATGAAAAACGGCAATGTTTTGCACATATGTTAAGTTAAGCAATTAAAATGATTCACATTTGGAAAAGTTTGAAATGAATATATCTAATGCCTTTTGACAGATAAACCTAAAAGAATAACAACATTAACATTATTTAAAGAATTGACAGAACAAAAACTAAATTGAGGATGTCTCTCCTTTGAAATGAATATTTGATTCTTTCAACATAATAAGTTAACAAATGTAGACCCTTTAGTGAGGAATTAAGATGCGAGGTTTTAAATGAAAGAAACTTTATTATTTTATCAAATTAAATGAAAATTATGACAAAAAAAATAAGTCTTATTATGATTAAAAAGAATCTGACATATTTTATATAATTTTGCTCATAACCAGCAATACTTCTATTAGAATCAATGCAAAAATTCAAAAATTATGATTTCTGGACAGTGACCTTCAGCTGCTACAATCCAAGAGACAAATAGGAAGTTTCCAGAAAATAGCGTCAATAGTATTGAAGATTGTTGAAGCAAGCAAAATTTTTACCTGAAATTTTCTTATTTTGAAAAGGGCTATAATTCAGGAAAATTCATATTAGTTTTTTTCGTAGTGTCCAATACAAGTCAATATTAATGTGCCCTTGGATTGAGGTAATTCTTGACTTGAAGAACAGTCTTTATCTAACTTTTATTAACATTCAAAATGCAATGTTCTATGCCAAATTATTTCTACACTATAGAGTTGCAGTTTAGAAAATTCGTTTAAATTAAATAGTTTTGCTATATAAATCAACATTCATAGAGTGTCCCCAAAAGTGGTGCCATATCTGACTCAAAGAGTAGAGTATAATTTCTATAATTTTTAGTGGGCTCAAAGATGAGGTTACAAAATATCCAAATATTCTGAAACATGCAAGTACTATCAAAATATTGTTTAACTTTTCTTATTAGAAGAATTCCCTCCGAATCCTGTCATTTTAAAGGTTCATTAACCTGGAATTTGCCAGGTAAACATGCCATGTACAAATGTCAAATATAAATATAAATAACAAAACATTTGACTTACATTTCAAATTGACTTTTATCTTATCAACAACAGGTGACTGTGACACACTGTTAGACACGGAACATGTAATATCATCACCGTCCATATATCGTGTTGGATACAGTATAAGTTGTTGTGACCTCACTACTCCATTATTTACTCCTGTAGATGTCGTATATGGACGATTACTTTTAAGTGTTTGTGATCCGTTTCTCCATGTTATATCAGACGCAGGATTTGATGATCCTGTTGTACATGTCAATGTTAATGGTGTGGATCCTGTAGCAATCATTTCTCTGTTACCTGTTATTTGTGTCGTTGATGGTCCAGCTGAAACTTTATACGTATAACAGAATAAACAACAGCACCGAAAAGGCGTGGCAATATACACCTGAATGCAAGTTTGTTTAAAGTAAATAAAATTCAAAGTTATCAAAAACAGCTTTTGAACAGAGAGGATACCCATTTATAACATTTGTCCGCAACAGTTGTTTTTTTTCAAATATTAATTTAAAGATCTATATTGATACACGCCAAAGAGCTATGCCCTTCACATGAATACTTAGTGACAATAATACATGACGCAGCGCACCCCCCCCAAACATGTCACCAATCATGCCCCTAAAAACAATGTGGTGATTATTTACATCCATGAAATTGTCACCGAGTATATATACTGACTGAAAACAACAATAATGTTGGTTTTTAAATGATATAAATTAAAAAAAAAATAACAAAAACATATAAATGATATTATGAAAGAAATTCGAAAGCAAAAATAATATTAAAGCCACTAAACATCAGCCCTTCAACCCATAGTAGTGTTTCAATTAGAGAAAGACTGCCCAAAGTATTTCAAACAGTGGTATCATTGTAAATTAATAACTGCCAGTACATACGCCAGACATCATTCATGTCCAAAATGTTGATAGATTGCCTTAAAAATGACATTTTATATGGATCATTTACAACTTATTGTTATTTAATGAATTTACAAAGTTTAAGTGACATCAGTTTCAATTAATAAGATTGTCTTATTTCAAAATGATTAAATCATATAAACCTATAAGGTCCTCAAATATAATAATCTTAACAGACAAATATATTATTATATAAAGTAATTGATTTTGGGAAACATAGGGAGGAAACATATTAAAAAATTCATACATTGTATCTCCCTGTGCAATATATATACTATAATATATAAAGATTTTGAATGAGTCAGTATAACCTTGACCCTAATCCAAGTAAGTCCAGAACTGCGCTCTGCACATCATCTGTCAAGTAGAACTAATTTTAAAAGAAACAGAGCGGTCACAAAATTGTGACATTGATACAAAATGGCTAAGTGTGACCTTGATCTTGACATGAGGCAGGTCAAACCTGCGCTCAGCACATCGTCTGATAATGGTCAACATGTATGCCAAGTAGTTTTAATTTCCTTCCATTGGTTCAAAAGATACAGACCAGACACGAAAACTCCAATATAAATCTAGTGGGGATGGGGGAGGGGCAATTTTGATCTTAGAAAGTACGAACTTGTGGTCTGCTTACCATCACAATATAAATAATATTTCTACAAAAAGTTTCAATTCCTTTCTATTGGTTCAATAGATAGAGAGCATGACTAACATGACTAAGTGTGAACTTGGCCTGAGAAAGGTCATACCTGTGCGCTGCACATCGTCTCATTATGGTTAACATTTTTGCCAAGTTGTTTCAATTTCCTCCCACCGGTTTAAAAGACACCGGACACGAAAACCTGCTAACAGACGGCAGGACGGATGGACGGAAATGTCAACATTTGGGGGTTTATGTGCTTTTTCTTTGATCTTTTATGTGGAACTTTTCCACATAAACCAGTAAAAGTACAACAATACCAGTTTGTTTATCGGATTTCCTTTTTTAACTAAGATTATGGACGGAATGAAGGTCTTAGACCATTTGATGTTGCCCTGACAGACGGACAATCATGCGCATAACAAAATACGCCAACATTCTTTAAGGTGTATACAAATGACATGGAAACTTTAAAATATAAACATAACAGAGGAGGATGTTAACATTAACTCCTCAATAATTTCAAAACGTAAATTTTATATTTTACTGTATTGAATTAACTTGAAAATCATCATTATTGAGTTTTAATTTAAATTTATTACTTCCCAGTAAAATACGTTATTCTACCAATCATATATGTAACCATGCTATATTGTAACACTTATGATGTTTAGATTCCATATGTGTGGTGATTTAATCACATGGCTGTATGTATAAAAGGGTTATAAGTATGATAAGTATATTCAGCTATATCTTGGTAAAACATCTGCCGGTCGAGGTTTCTAGAAAATCAATGCTGGAAACCTACTATAATAACAATTAGGTAATGTGTTTGGGAACTTTTTTTTTATTTTGTTTTGATGTATTAACTTATGTATATAACATAAAAGATACATTTTAAACCCTCTCAAGATATGAAAAATATGAATATGAAAAATTGAAAGGGTAAGGAATCTAAAATCATATAAAAATATGTTTCTAAAACCTTAGGTTGGTTTCTTAATATGATAAATACAATTGTGAAAGTTCAAAGTACGATTCTTAGACATAGTCATTTTTCCTCAAAATGAAATGATGATTTCTATGAACTGGTTAATCTGAGAAGCCATTTACATGTAAGTACATGTATACAAGTGCCTTAACAATCCTCTCCCTGAACATTTGCAAAGCATTTGACAACCTGACTTCATCAATAGCAAAAGCCCGAAGTTTTTCTTGGAAATTTTGAGCTTAACAGAATCATTCTTACGTTGGAGAATAAAATCCTATCTTGTTCTTTGCAACACTTGAGACCTTATTCTTTTTTCTCTATAACTCCTGTGCGGAAGGTAAAAAGACCTGTCGTCGAAAACAGATAAATACCAAACTCGTAGAGGAAAAATGACCTTAACTTACAACAAAGACATGGTTACTGAAGAAAGAGTGTAAATGCCTTCTCATATTGATTTTGCGCCAAATTGTTCCAAGAGCACCACAAAAGCGAGGCAATATACATTCGAATCTTTCAATTAGGGAAAACCAACCATAAACTTGTCTGGAAAATGTTTTTATCTTTATTATTTTTATGATACTAAATGACATCCACGGTGGAGGCATTTCTAACCCTTGGTGCTTGATCAATAAAACATCTTATGGACATCTGTGATGCAATTTGCCATATAGTAGCTTAGGACATTATAGTTTTCAACAAAAATGTTGCCCTGTACATTTAATATATCGTTCGGCATGTCAATTTGGTGTTCATATTTGTGATGATCTTATTGCATTCTATTTTCTTCTTTTTCTGGATGGGTGGTTCCATTATTCCTACTTGAATACTATTGAATCACCATTTGGTTATGTTGTCTATGTCTTATGGCGTCTGATTTGTGATATTCAGGCTTCAAAATATCAATATCCGTGATCTGTACACCGTCATATTATATGTAACATTTCTGGCAAGAAATTGGAAAAGTTTGATATTGGTTCCAAAGATACAGAGCGGACACAAAATTTTAAAATTATACAAAATGAACACGTGTAACCTCTGCCGTGACCTAAGGTAAGTCAAACCTGCGATTTGTCCATCGTATCATTATGGTTAACATCCGTGTCAAGAAGTTTTATTTTCCTTCCACTAGTTCAAACGATATATACATGCCATGAAATTGTTAACCGATGGACGAACTGACCTACAACTAGGTGCATAACAATATTTGCAAAATTCTTTTGAGAATTTAAAAAAGTATCCATGAATGTATGACAATTTGACAAAGATATGACCAGACACAACCATTTATGTACAATTTGAACCTCCTGGTATAACCTTTACTTTTATAGCCGTTTACCTTGCATTTCTATGCGAGAAGTTTCGAAATGTTCCAGCAAATTAATCCTTAAAAGTATTGATGTGACCTTGATCTTTAAGCTTCAAACTTGTTCTCGCCAATGAACAATTGGTTTACAGTACTATACCATAATTATATGTAACGATATAGGCTGGACATGACTATCTATGCACTATCACACCATGACATATCATATTTGAGTATAGACTTGCTCTTGACTTACATTGAACAGTTAAATTTGTTGATCTAGTCAGTTGTGCGGGACTCACTAATGCAGGATGAGTAACTATACACTGTATACTTTGTCCATTATCTGAAGCTGTCACCTGTCTGGTATATGTAGAAAAAACTGTAAATGTTTCTGTTGCAGCATCGGCTGTGTTTGTTGTACTGCCACTAAACGTCATACCTTGATATAACCAGGATATACTGGCTGCTGGTCTACACCCGCTTGTTGTACATCTAACCGTTACAGTACTACCAGCTGGTACAACAGATGTCTGTGTAACTGTTGGCTGGCTAGGCTTTACTGAAATAAATTGGTAGTGTTCAAGAATCAAGAATATATATACCAGACAAACATATTTGTGTAACTGTTTGCACACTTGATTTTACTTTAAACAATGACTGCTTCTGTAGAACTATCGCACACAGGTCTTGTTCCGTTAACAAAAGCTACCACAAGCAAAACACTTGACAAATCTATAAACTTCAAATACATAAATAAAATATGTTGGCATTTCATATCTAATTAGAACCTTTACTGCAGCCTTTTTATAGACACATAACAACAGACATGTTTTTTTACAATTTAATACTCACGTCTTAGGTAAATTAACACAGACTTGCTGTTTGATCCAACTTGAGCACTATCAGCTTGAGGATAGTACGATCTACATATCAAATATTTCCTATCATCTGATGTAGCAGGTGTAAATGTATGTTGTAAGTTGACAGTGTATGTACCGTCACTTTGTATTGTCCCTGAACTTGTAGAGGACAACTGATTAGAACTAGATACACTATTCTTATACCAGGTTACCGTTGGTGAGGGATATCCTCCAGTTGAAGTACATTGTATTGTCAGAGATTGTCCTTCATTTCCGTAAACAACTTTACGACTAGCATTCAACTGCACAACATTTGAAATCAATGGTGTTGAAGGTGAAGCTGAAATTATCAAAAAGTCCAAGTTTGTTCCACTGACATATCATTTATTTTATCTTGATAAAAAATTAATAAATGGAAAGCCGAGTTCACATAGACTATTAAAATGTCATAAAATATTTTATGTTTCAAGTTTGTTAGAACTATATGATGCTGAAAAATTATAAGCATGTTATTTTCTGGTTATTTGATGCACTAATCATTTGATTATACATTATGATTTATGTAAACAGTATTTACTGAATATTCACAACTTACATACCTATTTTAAATGATCCTTTTATTGGAGCAGCTTGTGTGATTGTTATAACAACAATGCTGTATGTATACGACCCATCATCTAAAGAGTTACTAGAAGTCCACACACATCTATAGTAGCCTGTATACTGTGTACTGCTTGAACATGCTGAAGATCCTGATATCTGTATGGCGCTTTTCTGTTCAAATAAATATATACTCTAGAGTGTCACCATATTCAAATAACATTAGTTATCATACTTCAGTGTGCGTGCTATTAAAATTCAACAGTTTCCTTTCCTCAATCGAGTTCTGCCACAAATAAAATATAATGTGTCTCATCAAGTGGCATTGTAAATGGGTTTTGTATTCAACGGCCATAACTCAGTCCAAAATCATGCAATCAGAAAACCCATGTAATATGCGCAAACATTTGAGCTACAGATAAATCCTGTGAAGTTTCATTGAAATTGAAATTGAAAGTGGTATAATAAGTGTATTCCCGACAAATTTTAAAAATAAAAATCATTAAAAGGTCATTACTCTTACAAAATCATTGAACCAGAAAATACCGAGGCACAAATAGACTTGGTTTTGATAATGCTTGTAAAGTTTGGATAAAGTTACACCAGTAGTTCTTGAGGAGTAGTCCAAATAAATTTCGTGACGGACTTACGGACAGACAGACAGACAGACGGCATAGACGACATTACTCTTTAGGGGCGACACAAAACGCCTTTGCTACTGGTTTTTGAAACGGCTAAAATAAAGTCTTTCATTAACCTTTTACCTCATAAAGGCTTGTTTTGATGGATTTTCACCCCAACCCCTTTTTGAGGCCTCAAATAGTGCCCTATTTAGATCCCAAATCACTGTGTTTCGATTGAGAAATTTTGTTAAAAAGTAATCACTTTTTTGGCGCCGCCCCTATCAAAAAGGTACACAAAGGGGTTGCCCCATTCTGTTGAAGGTTGGTGGGGGTTGAAGGGGACGATAGTCCCCCTCATCGTCAAGAGAAATTTGGACATGTGACAGGCTGTAATGGCAGTTATAATGTTCGCATTAGAAAAAAGTCCTTTTAATTTTAACAAACTTGAATTATTAAGGAATAATGTATAATGTTTTACTAATAGACTATTTATATGTACAAGTAAGAACAATACGTTATTTGAATACGATGTTATAATGCTTAAATGTAGTAAGACTGCGGGAATCATGCGGGAAGATGAATGACTTACTGGTGCATGACTGTCATGCCAATGACATGCAACAAATTGCATCTTACTTCTTATATCAATGTAAAAATCATTTAACAAAATGTATTAACAATGAAAACACCCGACATGAGCAATTTCAATTGTTCATTTAGGGGTGCCAAAAACACATTTTGATATATTTAAGATCTTCTTTAGCAAATTACTAATTGAACTGCTCTTTTAATGCTACAAGAATGAAAATTCATTGTTTGTTAATTATTTTTTTCATAATTACTTGACAGGATCTCTGAAATTGAACCGTGTAACTCTATTCAAAGATGCTTCCAAAGCATTAATGTTGTAGCAACTACATGTACATATTTTACTTATCATAATTATAATTAAAAATATCCATATCTAACACTTTGGTTTCTGGAGTCGTACTTTTATGTTTTAATTATCTCAAGTGACGAAATTAAAAACATCATACCTGTCTTTTAAATGTAGCAGTAAGTCTTGGTGAGACAGGATATAGTTTATCTACTGTTATCTGTACTTCCTTTCCACTTGTAACGCTGTGTGTAGCTGATGATGCTTTACCTATAAAACAAAGCACACGCATTACTTGATGCAAGGGAAAATGCCAATTATTGGTCGGATATCCAGGATGTTAGTTTGTTTACACTGTTATTCCGAAAGAATGTTACAGCAGCATGCATCCAGATAAGCAAAAATATTTTTAAAAAAAATCATACTTGTGAAAAATGATTTTAGGTAGAGTAGAAAGATTCGAGATTCAAGTAATAATTTTCATGCTATGAGCGATTAATGGTTAATTTTTTTATCAAATGTTTCTATATTTCTACAGCGTTACTAATGCAGTAAGGGCGTTTTTTGCATTATTTGACATCATTTTGTAATAAACGTGGGATGTAAGTGCCATTGATAATGTGTAAAATGATTGCTTTTGGTTTAATTACGATAATATATATTTAATTTCATTTTCAAAATTTTAGGCATTAATCGGGAGGCATACTGTTATAAACAAGACAACCAATAATCAGCTGCAAATTCCAAGTCATCATTTTCCGAGCTAAACAATCGACATTCAGCTCAACATTTGATATTCTGTACTTTAAATCAAATTTAAAAATGAATGTTAAGCTAGACAATCGACATTCAGCTCAACTTTCGGTATCGTTAGATTTCAACACAATTTCAAAGGTTTGTCTTGCGAAAAGGTTGTTGCACATTCAATTAAGATAAGCCAGATATTAAAAAAAATCAGACCTGTCAGTTTTTAAATTTCTAAAATATAAAATGTGAGAATGTGAGATTGATTATTTCGGTGTCGTAATATATTCTGAACATTCAATTGTAAGACTGCACGGTGACACTCGCTAAATGTATGTATTGTAAACATGTATTGTTAATTATCTATGCACACCGAGAAAGAAAAATGCGCCAATTTAGCTGTTTAATATGATGGCTGATTTGTGCCATTTGTGTTTTCGCCCCACGCCCCCGCCATTTTAACTCGTTAATTCTCGACTTTTCGCTCGGCGGTGTCGGGGGGCGAAAAGTCATTGGGATGCAATACAAATTAAAACATTTAACGAGTTCGAGCCTCACAAGTTGTCTAACTTTTTTCCTTTTTTGTTTCCTTTTTTCAATTTTACTGAAGATGCAAATGAATTATAAAACATAGTAGTTTTTCTTATAAAATCTAATTATTTCAATTTACCGGTAATAATAGTTTTAACCTGTATTGTGTGAAGTATGCAGTAGTCATAATACTTGTGCAGTGCACGAGTATTTCGTGCCAACTGAAATATTGTTGAAACAGTTTGTATACATGTATTCATTCCGCTTAGTATTAAAGATAAGGTTGTACAAATTTGCTAGATATTACTTTTGGAAACAAAAAAAATGTGAAATGAGAAATTATTACAACACTTAATGTCAAGAAAAATATTACATATTCGTATTTGATTGTTTATATATAGAAATTATTTTTGAGCAAAAACAGTCTTGCATTGATATTTTACTAAAAGATTAACTGATAACATTACCAACTGCGTTACGATGACAGTTGATTAATTTGTCGATATTTTAATTTATATCGGAAGCCTGCGTGCCTAAAGATAATAAACACAACATGATAACTGTTTTACATCGTAATAGTGGAAATGTCCGCTGCGTCACTAAATAATCATCCTAAACGGACAGTTTCATAATAACAATGTTGAAATATGAAAGTTATCTCAAACAAACTAATATTAGAACTTGTCACTAAATCTTTAGATTAAAATGTTAATATTCATACAACTGCTTCACAATTCAATTATAATGATTATATTGAGTTATTTTAACATCAAGACATGAAGTGATGAAGGAATGTAGATTTCTTCTTTTCAATAGTAGTTTTAATTTACCAATATCTTACATTCTATATTTAGACGTTTTAACTGACTTTCATCAAATCCATTCCTACATTTATAATCCCCTCCATCGGTAATGTTGGTGTTGTGTATTGTCAATGTGAACGATGATGTTCCTTTGCTGTCTGTATATTTGTTGTTGTCCTCTGGTCTTACAGCAACCCCATTTGCTACGAGATCTCTGTTTATTCCATACCAGCCAGTAAAGCCAATATTACCAGTAACCTGACATGTTAGAACTGTATCATCACCACAGTTACCAGCGCTTGGTACTTGAATAGTGGATGTACCTACAAAAAAAAAAAAACAACAAATAGTTGTAGTTTGATTTTATTGACCTGTCAATTATGAATATATTATAACACTCATTGAAATAATTGGTCCACTCCGTTTAAGCCCGGGAAATAAACGAGATTTAATATTGAATATACAACTAATGTTTTAAAAGATACACCGTCATTATACCCTAAAAGCACAGAAGGTTAAGTTATTGCCTAAAATAAGGATGGTCTGCGTTCGAGCCTTACTGTTCCTATTTTTCTTTTTAACTTTATTTTCAACTTTATATTGTAGTGAATTTAATAGACATTGCTTGATCATATGACGATTGCATTTTAGATATTCATATTTTAGGATGTTGCTGAAAATAAGTAACTTTTTTTCGCAAAAATAATAGCAAAACATATTTAAACGAAAACAACAGCGTAAAAGGAATCTCATCTTACAATGAAAATATAGAGGATATTTGTTTGTTTTGCATGTAAGATTGAAATATAATTTCACTGAGTGAACAACAGATGTAATATTTTCACGAGTGGCGTAGCCACGAGTGAAAATATAATAGCTGGTGTTCACGAATGAAATATATTTCAATCTTATATGTAAAACAAATAAATTTTCTTTTTATTTCATGATTTTTAAGTGATTTTAAGTATTTTTTTTACTGATTTTGCCGCGTAACGTCGCGCGTTCTCCTTTTTTACGTCATCACATCATGACGTCACATCATCAATTTTGAAATATAGTTCTGTTAAATTCCTCTAACTTTGTTACTTTTTTAACATGATGTATGGTGACATCGACTTTCTTTTCATAAAGAAGCAAAATGTACGCATGACGGCATTTATTTCTGCCCGTTATTCCATTTAGTTATGATTTTCTTTTCATCCGCATTCAGATATAGTTCGGCTACAGTGAAAATTATATTTTATAAATTTCACTAGTGGTTTATCGGAATATAATCATCTGATATATTACAATAAAACACTGGAAAGCATGAAATAAATGAATAGAACACATATAAAAAAACCAAAAACGCATGGATCGTTGCTATATCGATCTTTCAACACGTAAGAAGGATGTGTTGTAGAAATTATAAGATCCTTTTGCGCTTTTAATCTCAGGTTGATTATTTTAAAATTTGAATAAAAACACATATTGCAGAGTACATCTCACGACACTAACAGAAAATTTATCGAAGATTGATATATCGATCTTGTGCACTGATATACCAGTATGCAATCAAATCAAACAATAACATTTCATCAGACCTCTCCACAGTGTTCAGACTGATTGCTGGCGGCATCCATTTTTGCGTATCTGATTGTAGTGAACGAATCTCATTTAAAGCGTAAAATCATTAGGAGCAGTCTACAAAAATTGTTTTGCTCATGCTCCGTTTCAAAATACGACTTAACCTAAACGAAAAATTTACATCGATGTGAAAAAATCGGTACAAAGAAAAAACGGAAAATATCATTTATGTTACTAAGCTCACGTGGATGTTTCATTCCGTTTTAATTTTTTTAATTGTATAAATCGATTACTGTATTGTTTACTGAATAGCGTTTTAACTATTTCATGTTCCGATAAATAGTAACAGTGAATTTTACAGGCACAACATCACCATGCACTATTATATGACCGGGTGAACCGTGTACCGAAATTTTGCTGCTCTTTAAATTTTGAACCGGTATGACTAAATAACGTAACGGAGAGTTTTTGGTGCAAGTGGCACAAATTTTACAAATATTGTGGTTGGAGGCATGCAGCTTTATATACTGTTTATTCTAATCAAATGATATAAAAACATTTTTTATTATAAGAGTGCAGTTATTCCGCTCAATTCGCAGTTTCTGTCCTTTGAGCGTAAAGACCCTTTTGTTTGGAAAATAATCTCTTTCTGATAAGAATAACTCATTTATTTTTGATAAGGTTCAATTATTTATTAAATTATCTTGTAGATTTGAATCTTAACATTTTTATATTATCTGTACTACTTGCCACGTTCAATTGATATCCCTACATACTGAACTTTATCCCTCTTTTTTCTTTTCTTTTTATTTAATGTTTTCTTCTTCTTTCTCCTTGTGCATTTTTCCCTAAGTGCTCTACTATCATACATTTTGGTTTGTAACTGTCTTATCATGATTAGATAATTCCATATATCAGGGAAGAACCGTTTGCTGATGTTGTAAGAACTCGTGGTGCAACCCTTTTGCTATTTTTGTATTTATATTATGATAATATTAAGAGGATATTTTTCGTTTGCGTGAAATATGGTATATATTTTCACTCAACATGATAAAATGCCACATACGTATTTTCACGAGCCGGTACGGCGAGTGAAAATATGTGACATTTTATCACGTTGAGTGAAAATATATACCATATTTCACGAAAAACGAAAAAATTACCTTTTTATTTAATTTCATTATCAAAGAAAATGGTAACGAATTCCCTTGCTTGCTACCAACTGCAATTGTACAGCGCGCAGTAATTTATGCGTAAGCACGCGCTGTTTGGCGCTACATTGTGACGTCATGTAAACAACTCTTTAAACGTCTGTACAGCGTTAATTACTGAATTAAAGATATTGGTGTTCGGATTAATTTTCTTAGTTAGACCATTTTCTATCATGCTAGATAGTTTTCAAAACAATATTCAAGAAAAAGTTGTTTTGTATTTATCAGATTTTTTAAACAAACCGGCGAAAGAAATCCCTTAAAATAAATATGAGTTTTGACTCCGCCCACTTTCATATTTACATTTCATATTTATTCTTAAAAAATATGAAATATATTTGACTGATATATAGAGGATATTGAATGAGTGTAGTTTAATACTAAATTTATTGAACGAGTTTTATAAAATCATATTATGCGAGCCTCTGGCGAGCATAATATTATTTTATTCAACGAGTTCAATAAATTTAGCATTGAATCTATACGAATATAATATTCTATTTATCACATATGTAAAATAAGAGCAGTAAACTGTTAAAATGAGTACATTTTCAATGACGCACACAAAGTGTAACGCTAACATTAGCACGCTTTAGCGCTATGTTTCCATATAGCGCAAATGACGTCACGTCAAAGTGTTATTACACTAGTGTAATATCGTTTTTATAAAATGGCTTTATTACACTCCTGTGCCGTGGTTTATGTGATAAAGCACAATATTTCATGGGTAAAATTATGTTATAAATGTGTAAAAAAGAGCAATAAAGTATGTTTAAATTTAAATAAATTTTTTATGTAAATCACGGACTTGTTTGATTAACAAACTTTATGCCCGTTTTGAAAAATGTAAAGGAAATGTTTCCATATATATACTTAGCAAAACATTAACCGAAAATGTGCTTATTGAATTTTATAAGTTCTAAACCCCGTGACATATTTTAGCTGCATATACATATATGGAGCTAAAGTATATCTGTAGTATATACATGTGTATATCATTTATGTTATATTTTTATTTGATGACATAACATAAATTGTACCCTTATAGAAAAAGTACTCTTAATGTGCCAAGAAAAAAGTTCATTTCTCCGGCATATAATCAATCAAAACATTTAAAAAAATAAAGTGTAAAACAAACTTTCATTATGATACTATATTCAATTATGAATATATATAATAAATTCTACTTTGTTAAAAAAAATGTAATTTATAAGCCCTCCTTGTGTCTTGTATGCACAATTATCCCCAAATATTTTCGAATTAAAAAAATTTCCACAGCAGCAAAAAGACCTCTCGCATGCTTCTTTTTAAAGAAGCAAACTTGTAAAACAATAAAAGCCTTAGACTGACTGAAGCAGCACATAGTTTATATGATTATGCTATTTGTTTTGGTAATTTAGGCGTCTAAAAATTATATTGAAAACGGAAGACAAACCCTTCCTAGCAGTAATATAATTGGCAAAATCGGTTCAGGTAGCAATTACCTTTATAACCTTATAACTATTTTATTAATTCCCCCTGATATTATACAGTTATTTCATAGGTGATTTGGGAACAGTCAAGCTGTTGGCCCGAGGAAGGCAACAGTTCAAAACACTACCCCCTCCACTTCGGGCCAACAGTTTGACTGTTCCCAAATCACGGATGAAATAACTGTTTTATTACCTGACCAACTACTGTTTTAATAGTACTAGCAGAAGAAAAAAGGAAGATAAAATAGTTTTGCAAATATGTTAATAATTAAACCTAATACTTTAAAGTTCTATGTCACGTCACGTCTGGTTTATGATCAAAATCAATGGACGCTTCAAGTGGGAACCTCTATGACGCCAATGACGTCAGAGCACGCGAGGGAAACAGTCGAAACTATTGACCGGTCAACAGTTCGCGAAGGTAAACGTTTTTAGAATTTCAGAAAACAGTAAAAAATACTAAATTACATTTATATAAGGTATTGATAATGAAATGCCCCAGAGGCGAAACTTCTCATGGAAAGAGGAATTGTATTATTTCGTCATACGGAGGCTTCTTTAGATACCAAAACATAAGAAGAAATGCCGATAGGAAACCATTTTTGTTTTTTTTAAAAAAATACATATTTCTGTTGCTAAGAAATTTATAACACGCAGCTTTAACATTTGAAGTTATTGAATACAAATGAAATTATGATTATGATTAATACGTACCTTCTGAGAGCGAAATGAATATTCCAAATATCAGAAAACTTAAATTCAGGTTCATGGTTGCTTTAAAACATCATTTGTACTGTGTATTTATATATGTTTAAATCTTCCTGGTTTGAAGTATGTACGACAATGTTAACACGTAGAGAGTTAAATATAAACGTGAGTGTTTAAATTTATTTAAAATATATACATACCACAGAAACAAATAAATATTTCCTTCTATAGAAAGAGCAAACATAAGTTTTATATTGCTAAAATAATGGTATTAAAGCATGTTGGATGCTTATCACCTGAAGAAAGTAGCATTGAATGTGAAATGATTTGTCATGAAAGCAGTAAAATGTAAACAAAGTAGTATTTTAGCTTTGATACAAAATACTAAATCACTATATTACTGCACCTATTGCTAAAAAGCAAAACAATGCAAAAGATTATTCATATAATTGGCAAATTAGTAACTGTTTGGAAACTATAACTGGATATAAGAAATAAAAAGTTTTTGGTGAATGAAAATTAAAGCATTTCATTTTATTCAGCCTGAATAAACACATCGGATAACAAAAGTAATGCGTCTTTTATTGTTATTTTTGTTTCATTTTAAATTGAAAACTTTCATATTTAGTGTAATGTTGCAGCTTAAATAGGTACTACCTGAGGAAACAAACGTTTCCTTTAATTGCTTATCAATGATATACAAACGGGAACGGGACTGCAGATAGTGGCTCATGTTTCCTATCCTGAAACTAAATACCGTTTCTTATTATCCGAGTGTACGGTCTCTAAGAATATAATATATATAACAATCTAACATTATCTGCTAGTTTTTATACTCTGTTAGATATCATTCATATTTCTTGAACATCCAAAAAGTTGCCCCGTACTTCATTTCAGTGTTGATATATATTTTTCTGGTTCTCCGGGTTATTTTGATTCCAGTACATACAGTGTTGAAAACCGCTTAAATCGGTGCTAGGGTTGTTGTTGCAGTTTTTATAAACTTTCATTGAACAACCTCGATCGCGCGTCAGCAATTTTCATATAATTTTGTTGTTTTCATCGCTGCCGAGAGATCTCCCTAATGTTTGACTATCGTTCATTAACCTTTAAGTTACAAAAGGTAAAGTATGAACCCCGGAAATATGGCAGCCATCCCCGTAAAAGAGTACTACTTTGAGGCAGAAATGGTGACCATAAACCTTTCTGTAATTTCAACGGTCGAAGAAAATAAATACGCGAGTCATTGAACTGCAGACAAAAGACCTATAGTACACAGTAGCCTAAGACAGTATGAGGTTTGGAAGCCTTGACCAAGCTACATATAAGGGTGTCTTCATTCAGACTATTTATGTTTTGAGGTCGCACGTCTTAAAGTACCTTAAAAACATCATCCTCTGAAGAAGAAGAAGCTTTATTCTTTCATAAATCTCACAATACACAATTGACAAAGCCATTATAGGTCATAGTACATTTTTTGGTATATACACATATAAATTGATATTGGCATAGTCAATAATAAATGTGTCAATATAGTTAACAAAGTATATGTAAAAATAGTAAGATGCAAACAAACAGGATACACTACTCTTACATTTTTTAATGCATTTGATTCGTAATTACTTCCCTTACATTTCAAAGGAATATGTCTGAGAGTGAGACTAGAACAATAAAAACCGAATAGTTGTGTTCCTTAAAATTGTGTATCTTTTGAAAATATCTGTTTTTGTTCATAATTGAATCTTAAATGTTTATTAAGATTGATATAAAATATAAACTAAGTATAAAACATTATTTTGCATCTTGTTATTTTTAGGTATTATTTGTATATATTAAACAGTTTTCTATCATGTCAGTACATACGTGCGTAAACATTTTCTATTTACAAATACATGGAAGTACTGCTGCTTTAACTTGTAGAGAAATATTTATACGCAATTTGACGTCATATATTAATTAAAGCCATGATAAAATCAACAATTGACTGTTAAACTACTCATGAAGTTTAACACAAATATTCGTGAAAATATGAATATGTATGTTTTTTCTTTGTATATGCCGCAGTAAAACCATGTGCAGTCAATAATAACACAATATACTATCTAAGTATTATATCTACATCTTCTTATATCAACTGCCTTATATACATATATACAGATACATTTCTTATTACTTTAACATTTTCTGACGAAAAACAATTTTATCGTTTTAAACATGCTTGGTTGAACTCTGTTGTATCTATTTATATATTTATCTCTAATTGTGTCATAAAGGTTAGTAAACACTAAAAAAGGAAATGAAATTCATCTTCTAACTTATTACAGAATATGCAAAGTCTATTTTCTCTCACAGTTCTATTTCACAGGCCACATTCTATATTTAATCGATGTGAGGATACTTTCAATCTACATGCTTTTCTATATTTAGTAACATTAAGTATCTTAAGGTATGGTTGAAAACCTAACTACATATTTATGTATAAAAAGTAGCTCTAGTCGAGATATCAATCCTACTTTGCCATCATCGTACAAAAACATCCTTTATTCTTTGCTTATAAATTTGTACAAATATGTGAGAATCTTCTCCCTGTTCTAGGCAAACATAATAAAAAAGCTAGTCTCGATAAAATATTTTTTTAACACATGGAGCCCAATTCGATTTTTGAGGTTGACTTTCAATGTCATTTATCATCATTAATGTAAAATGTTCAGATACTTCTAAAAAGGGAAAAAGCAAAGCACTGTTCATAGTTTTAGAACATTCAATCAAAATTACCAGATAAATATGTTATCTGATGATTCACAACACTTGCTCAAAGCAAAGACTATTTTATTCAGTTACATACAAAAATGTTGCTGGTAGACTTATTTTCACTCGATTTTAAATCTTTCATTGAACAACTGCTCCGTAAATCTTTTTTTCTTGTATCTTTTTTGCGTTACTTAAATCAAGTAAGGACCTTAAACATATTTTTGCCTTTGCTTTTTTCAATGATAACGATAAATCACGGTACCCCTTGTTGCCTTAGAAAATAGATTATTAAGTACAAAATATCCTTCTAAAATAGCCTGACATACTTGTAAATTTGAATGTCTTTGCACAAATAAACTTTTAAACGATGCCTAATTCTTATTCTATCGCTTTTTAACTTTTGAAAATTAGTATTCTAGAAAAATGCATTTTTACCGCATGTAAATACTTTTTAGTAATGCATGTGTACATATGACATTATTCAACGAGTGGAATATTTTAATTTTCGGCTACAGCTTTGTTTCTTTCCGGAATGCTCATGTTTTCATATGTACTAACTGTAGCATCATCTCCTGAAAAAATATAATGTACAAATATGGTACTGTAGCAAACGCATCAAAAAAACAAATAAATAATAAATAAAAAAATAAATGAATAAATAAATAATAAAAAAGAGGGTTAAAAAATGTCAAATTTTCAAATAACTGAGGATGCAAACTTTGATTAATTGCATGGGAATTATCATAAAGTTTCTAAAAAGTCTTCGAAGATTTATTTGAAATCGACATTAACAAAAATGGTTTAAGCTAAATTTCTTGTAGATATTTTTTGCTGTTTTATTGAGAAAACATTACTTATACTAAATATCTGCAGATACCTATGGTAGACAAGATAACCTCGCCGTAAACATTGTTTCTTGTTCCATGTTTCAAGTCTTCATACACCCTATTTTCAGATCCTTGCCTGAAAAAAAAAAATATATTCCAAAAAAGTGTTTCACGTAGGAGACATAAATGTGGAAATGTTCATGTTAGCAGATAAAAAATATAGTTTCTTTGGAATTGATTACAAAAAGGTGAAATTAAATAACTAAAACATAAGCAACCAACAGGGTCTAACAAGCTTCTTATTATAAAAAAGTACGTCGTAACCCTGAACAGATTTATAAAAGCTTGCCATTATTTTAACACGCTATTATTACTTCTTTCCATTTATTAGAATAAAATATTTCCAATCTTATTTTGTTAAGATGCGTGACTTGCTTTCAACAATTATTTCGTACATTTATGAACTTTGGTATGTTTGTTTTTACATAGTATTACAAACAGTTACTCTGCATGTTACCAACAGCAAATCATAGTTTTGTACCCTATGTGCCATATTTTTTCACGGAAGTAGTCTTTTATCATTCTTTCAATTCAGATACTTTTTTGATATTTGCATACAAATATAATACATATCTTACACGTTCGATTGAGGAATACTGACTGTTGTGTTGTCTGTTTTATTCTTGGAAACGAACTCTGAAACTTATAAACATTATAACAGTAAAGAAAACTGCTAGTTTGTTTTACATATAAAAGTTATACCAGATTATTTATGTTTAAGCAGACGTATTAAAATTTGAAATATTTCAAAGTCATAGATAATTAAAGAAGCAAGTAGAAATCACAGAGAATCGGCTTGTAATTGAAGGATTACATTTTGTATTTAGTATCAGACATAACAACCACGAAGGAATTGAGAATGGAAAGTCCATGATACATGGTCCAATATTATGTATTTTTATATAGCAGTTTAAAAAAAATGTTCTAAAACAAAATATCATTACCCATCATACACATGTTCATACTAAACCACTTAAAAATTATCAGCATTGTTTTTATTTTCAAGCAATAGTTTACAATATCAAAATGATACATTTCTATCGTTTAAATATTTTTTTAATACTTATGTATAGTAATATCAGCTGATTAGCAAGTTTATTTATATATGCATTTTGCTCATACATGCTCATATGTCTAGCCAGTCTCGAAGTCTCGAAGTTAGGGATTTTAGGAGAATAAATTTACATCTTGTAGAGAATACACGTGTGTGTTTGTGTTATATCACTATTTTGTGAAGCCTCCTTGATTATTATAACTCCCAACAACAAAACATGGTGGCAGAAGAAATTTAAGTGGATTTTAAAAGATAACACTTGATTAATATAAGAACATTATAAATAAACATAAGAAATGAACATTGTTCCCAATTTTAAAATGGAATTAACGAGAATTTCTCCACCATCAATGGATTGGCAATCATATAACCTGCTAGAAGCTTTTGAAAAATTTAAAAGACATGCACAATTAATGTTTTTGAGACCATTAAACGGAAAATCGGAGCCAGAACAAATATCATATTTATTGTCATGGGCGTGAGATCGAGAAATACACTTAACATGGACAGACATGTCCGAGGAAGACGCTAAGAGTTTCAGTGCAGGGTGCATGTAAGACCTAAACAATATCCGATTTTCGGACGCTACAAAGTCTTCAATGAAATTCAAGAAGACAGCATAAACTCGTACATTACAAGAGTGCGTATCAGCGCAAGAGAATGTCATTTTAATGACACGTACATTATGATTCGTGACCGCCTAGTGTCCGTGTGCAAATACGACAAATTAAGAGAAAGCCTTATTAATAAGAGAGCCACTATTTCTATGGATATGGCAATACAAATAGCTCAAAGCATGGAATATGCTAAACAGTTAATGATGACCGTGTGGCACAACGAAACGGTATATGTCCACCACGTTCGGAACAAAACGACACTGGCTAGACACGTTACTGATCATGAGCAATGTGCATTAATTAATAAACTAGTTGATATCAGTTATCAGTTGATATTACTACATCTCCTTTCTTTACAAAATAAAAATAACTTTTTGCATCATCATATAAATACTAAATAATTTATGAGTAATTTTATTTTGCTCCAAAACATTACGGAAATTGTGTCCATTGTAGACCAGTTCATTTTAATAGGTTTGTTAATCTTATATCAATTAACACTTGCCATTGGCCATCACTGCTTTTAGAACAAACCAAAAAAATATATATATATAATATAGTTCGAATTATTTTAGATGAATCCCACATATGATATTCTACTCTATAATCAATATCGTAAAAATGATTTGTTTTTAACTTTCGTTTTATTTGTCCATTTTTACATATAATTTATAACAGTTATGTATATTATAGATATACATTTAAAACAATACTTACGTTGTTGACAACAAAACAGAACTTTCCTTTTGTAAATGAAAAATGTACACAACCCAAGCGCAATGATAGTAAGTGACTGAACTGTCGCCAAACATATAATCGCTATGGCAAAATATGAGTTGTCTGTATAAAATATAAAAACATGTTGCAATATCATTATTATTCACAAGTTCATTCTACAAAGATAAAGCTACACCAACAGTATTTACTGTATACAAGTGCTAATATTTTTGTTTTCCTCGTGCAGCGACCAACAAATATTAGCAATTTTTCTGAAATATATGTTATCCTATATGTATATATAAAGAAAATTAGAAGTAATCACATGGACGTGGGACAGGGGCTATCAACTCAGGTGGTAATACCACGTGTACCTTCATGATATCTTACTTAGGGAATAGTTCAATTACAGCTTTTTGATTTGTATTTAGAATAAATGTGGTAATATTGCAATAAAACATAATGTATGTATAATAATGTAAACATGTGGTTGAAATGAACAATTACCAGACACGAAAACATTGACTGTCTGCTCTACAGTACGACCATCCAATCGCCTTGCTGTGCACGTGTATTCCCCCGTATCTTCTGTGGTAACCGCTCCCAGACTAAGAATGTTGTCTTTGCTATCTTGTCCCCAGGATATGGTGCATGGTGGGTTACATTCAGATGTACATGTTATATCAGGCATGGCGTCTCCACTAACCAAATTATAGAGTGTCTTTCTTGGTGACAGCTTGAGGGATTTTATCATGCAACTGCTATGGTAACTGCCCGATAACACTTGCCTGATAATTATTTTTGATATCACGTCAGTAGCCTGATATCAAAAATTAGCCCCGCCCATTTTAACGGACTTTTTTCAATTGCTTATATTCGAGCATTTTCATCAGCATGTGAATTCTACAATGTAATCTCATACCCTTACAAGTCTTGAATCAATATGCGATATTTATTTATCTATTTATTATTTCGATTTCAATTACGAATAAATTAGATAGCGAATAGTTTTAGCACCAACTAAATGAAGTGACGTCATAATTTATATTGCAAATGACATCATCGATGTTCACGTCATACTATACATGTAATCATAACAAACAGGCTGACGATTTTCTTTGAGAACTTGTCAATGTTTACTTTATTTCGCCGGATTATTATTTACAGTAATAAGTGAACAAATTGTTTCGTTTAAAAAATAAGACGCATGTTTGTGTAGCTTGTGTTTGATTGCCGATTTGACTTTTCTTTGATTGAAATTATCGTGAACTTTTGAATTTGACAATTCAAGACAAAAATTGCAGTAAAGTTTAGTTTATGTGATTCTAATTTCTAAGCGGATTTTTGGATCGATGTTTAAATTAAAGGTAAGAATGTTATCGTATTAGGCCTACATTCTGTTCAAAAATTCCCCTTTTTAACGAAATTCGCTATTTAAAAGTAGATTATTTTGACAGTTATTATGTGTTACATGATAAATAGAAAAACATGCTACTGTCTTTTGATATCAATTTTATCAGGCTCGGCTGATATGGGCAGAAAGGGCTCGGCAAGCCTCGCCCTTTCTAGCCCATATCAGCCTCGCCTGATAAAATTGATATCAAAAGACAGTAGCATGTTATTCTCTATGAAGTGGTCGATCTTTGGATATGAAAATATTAACGTAATAAAATTGCACATTTTCCCGCATCTGTCAATTATTGCATTATAAATTGTATTATCGATTTATTCAAATATTAATTCTTACATGTCCCGCATTTTTCCCTTTTCAACATTGAAGAACCGAAAATGTGTGTTATTATGCAATAAAATCACTGTTTGACGTTCTATATTTAGACATGTGACGTAATCATTATACATGTGACGTAACCACTTAAAACGCGATGCACTGAAAAAAAGGCAATCGGAACATCATCGGCTATTATCTATAATAACCTCGGAAACATTATAGACTGAAAGTAATTCTACCACGTGGATTCAGATGTAAACAGAAACACAGAGTAATGTCAAACGAATATGTTTATATTTGACATCCAAAGGAAAATAAGGTCTGTTTCGGTACAATTCTGATTTAAAATATGCCTGACAACCATTTTTAATTCTGAAATGCCGACTGATGTACAATTTCAAACAAATCCGACTAAATGACAACAGATTGGCATTTTGTGCTTTCGGTTTCTACAACCATAATAGTAAATATATAAATAATGTATTGTTTCCTTTTGTATGTATGAATTTACTTATTTTAGGTGGATGTTTACTTGATATATTGGAAATAAACTTGCCAACAACTCCAATCATTAAATTACTATTTGTTAACATGTTTAGTTTCTTAGCGTAGGTTAGACCCAAAATACTGATCCGTTTGTGTTTATACTATTTGTTTGGTCCTTTTCCGGAAATTCGGAAAACCCCAAAAAGGGACCCTAGAATAAAGAAAAAATGTTAAATTTTTTGAGTATGAATTATGGGGGTACATGTTTAATGTATGCTACATTTTAACCTCAAAATAACGTGTTCATTAAGAAGGTAATTGACTGGCTCCGATTAAGTTTGAATCCCGCTTGTATTCAATTATACATTTATAGCTTAAATGCAGTATTAAAATGAACGTGTTTTTAATTAAAAGGACTGTAACAACAACAACAACAAACTGCAAAAAGTAATAAGACTTACCAGCAACAAAAATACTGACAGTCTGTTGTACAGTCTGGCCACCTATTCTACTAGCAGTACATGTGTACTCTCCTGAATCTTTATTCTTAACAGATCCAAGACTGAGTGTCTTTCCTTTACTATGTTCTCCCCAGGAAATTTTACATGGTGGATTACATTCAGGGGTACATGTTATGTTGGGCATGATATCTCCACTGACCAAATTATAGTGTGTTTTTCTTGGTACCAGCATGAGAGAATGACTTGGTCCATCTATGTGTATATTTTTCATAAATCAAAAAATCTGAAGAAATTCTTATATAACAAATTTAGGATAAAAATGTTTTGCAGTGACGACAGATAATTCGTTTACAAACGTATATGAAATTGGTACAAGTTATATGATTTTGGGTAATGTAAATATAATGCGACATTTTGAAGTGTACCAAATATTACACCGTAAATATTATGAGGTTATGATACAGTGCTGAGTACAATATTGAATTCTATAGGACAAACACTTATCTGCCAAAGGCGATAGTCGTGTCCGATATAGTTATGCCAGTTGTGTACCCGTCCAATAGAATCAGTATTGTTCTCAACAATGTTAAATTACCTTTTTATTCCACTCTATCATTTTTGACATTTTTGACAGAATTTTGTTACTTCATTTACAAAAAATACAATTACAGTATCTTATTATGTGTAAAATAAACTATTATGTTGTTACATGTTCCTTGAATTCGCTTAAAGGTCGTAGCAATGTGTAAGCTAAATTTGGATGCGAACCGTGTGCAAGGTATCCATCTTTTCTGTTATTATATTAAACTGAACTTCGATCCTACATCAGCACAAAATATATAAAAATAAACGAGAATAATATTGTGCATCTACTATGTACATTGTTGACTAAAGTTTTAATAATTTGTTATGCATACATTTACGTTTACAATATTTTAATATTTTCAAAGAAAATACTTTTCCTGTGTTACAACATTGTTCCTACATTTTACTGTTATAGTGGTATTCACTTCAGTGATTCTTCCATCATCTTGTATAGCACGGTATGTTACATTCCTTTCATTGAGACTTTTTCTGAGGCTAGGTATCCACATAAGATCACCTTGCTCAATAAAACTGGCTGTTTCTTTGTCAGATTTACCATCTAATAACCAGACCATAGTTGCGTTCGTTAACGGTCGCTTTATCAGTGAAGCTTGCGGATGTGCAAACACATATATTGGTTCATTTTCTTCTTGACTATGACTTGGCTGAATTCTTGTTCCTTTAAGTTGGTAAGCATAAAGTTTAGTAGAAATGTTTACTTTCAATTGTTTCACATAAACTGAGAAAAATAGAATAATTTTCTTTCGTCCGTTATTTGCCATCTGTTACACTTAGTTATAATGGCATAAGTTTTGCTTCTTTTCTTTTATTTATTGAATGAGTAAGAGGTTTCATTAGATTTAATAAATATAAAGTGAAAAACATAAATGGGATTGAAGGAAAATAAATGAGATTTCAGTTTTAAAGATAATACTCACGCATTACATAAAGGATATAACAATCGTTATCACGACCATTACTTATTAGGTATGTCCCGTTATCCTCCATACGGACGTTGTTTAAATCTATTTTCAGAATGAATTGATCATTAGATCCAGAGTGGAAACTAATGTTTGATCTGTATTTCCAAGAAACATCATAATAATAAGTACGTATTTTAGGTGCGTCGGCTACATTGGCACTGTAAAGATATCCTGTAGTTGACCCCGACGTCCTTATTATACTTAAGCGATGTTTCAATATGTCTGTGTTGTTGTACAGAAAAGTTACTGTTGTTCCCTCTGGTGCAAATATTGTTCGATTGTAATCGCATTCTGCAGAATTATTACAGAATAAGGAGAAATGAAACAAATAACGAAATGTTTGCATAAATTCATTTTTTGTGTAAATATATCTATAAAACAAAGTTAAAAAAAAAAAATAATTAAAAAAAACATACAAAAAAACAATGACAAAAACAAAAAGACAACAACAACATAAAACAAACAAACGAACAACAACAGCAGAAGCAAAAAGCAACAACAACAACAATAATAAAAACAACAACAAATATATGACATATATTTTAGAAAAGAGTAATACATAGAGGATGTTTGTTTGTTTTTTGTGTAAGATAGAGTGTTAATAAAGTTTTTTCCATATATATATGTGAAAGAGATTTTGACCACGGATGAGCCATGTTCAAAGCTGCGGTAGAAATCACCAAAACGAACTTTCTGACAAACTTCAGGACATTTGGAATGAAAATATTACCTCTAGAATGTAATCAATATTTTTTCCATTATTTGGGTTGTGTGACCTATAGTTTGACCCCAGATGCCAAATTTTCAAACATGACCTAGAAACCATCTAAACAACCTTTCTGACTAATTTCAAGGATATTTAGACCTAAACAGTATCATCTACAGTGCTAGCAAAGCATGTTTGGGCTTTGCAACCTAGTTTTTGACCACAGATAAATTACATTTGCGCTTGAGCTAGAAATCATACAAACTACCTTACTGACCAATTTCTAGGATATTTCGACTAAACCAAAAGTATCAAAGTTTTAACGACAATAGTATTCTTCTTAAGCAAGCTTACATTGAGCACTTTGTGCCGCACTTTGTGCTCACGTGAGCTTAAAATAGTCTTTTCATTGAAAAGTGTGAAGTTATATTTTGATAATATTCAAGAAAAAATAAGTATTCCACTAAGAGGCATACAATAAAACATTACATTTACGTGCACTTGTCTTATTCTTGTTAATTTTTATTCTGTTCTTTATAAACATAAGGCTGTTATCAGGTGGATTGCAACAAACGTATTTATTATTTATTACCAATTTTCCATTTTCTACATTAATGAATGTACAAACACACATGAATAATACTTAAATACTAATATAAAGCATATACATTAACAAACATTACCTCTGCTGTATCCACGAACTAAAGCAAATCCAACGAAATAAAAAGGCAAAAGAATACACGACATTTCAAACTACCTATTGATAAGTATTGTAAGTAAAAACAATTTCAAAACGAGGAAGTGATATATATTTAATCTGTCATGTCATTGGTGGATAACTAAATCGTCAGAAGATATGAATACTTGACTGCAGCTGTTAAGTGACTTTCAATTTGATTAATCTAGTAAAACAACAACAACAACAACAACAACAACAAAACGACAACGTAAAACGAGCAAATATCAAAGTTTTGCAATACATATCTGGAAAAAAGTGATCCGTCGGAAGCATTTAAAGCATTTGAGCATTGTTGCAAGTAACACAAAAGTCCCCTACCAGTAAAAACCCCACTAGAAGAATGCGGTCATGGCCATTCAATTATGCAATTGTGGAAGACATGAATGACCTTTATTTTACTTACATAATTTACATAATCTTCTTTTACAATAAAAATATGTACAACACGTAAATAACAAAATGCAATAGATATTTGATGTACTAACGAGAAATATTTGCCCATAAGTATAACCGACATATAGGTCAATAAAGGAGGTTTCATGTAAGGACATCTTTAACCACTTTTCTATCGTGGTCATTGTAATCTACGTATCAAACTCTATTGAAAACATAAAAGCATGTCTATTTTTGGCCAGATACCTTTAAGTTAGGAAATTAAGGAAATTAATTGTGTTAATACAACAGATAATCAAAAGATTAAATTTTCTCAGGATGAATATATTAATATATATATATATAATGTTTTATCTTTTCTCTTTTTAAGTAAATGTGTTGTAAAGTTTCAAGTTCTGTAAAAGTGATCTCAGAAAACGGTTTTTAGGGACGGACAGACAGACGGGCTGACTTACAGAAGGCAAATTTTTAAAGCATACTTCAATTTGAAATAAATCCACGAAGAAATAAGAAAGTTATGGAAAGATTAAGAAAAAGTCAAAGCTTAATGTGGAGATCATTCTATAAATATCGGTGCTAGATTTATAAACCTTGTCATATCATTATGAAGTATGGGAGATTGAAGTATGAAGTAAGTCTTTTAACAAGTAACAAAGTTTAAGTAAAAAGTAAAGTTTCAAGGGGGCATAATTCTGCTAATTATCAAGCTAGAGTAATGAATTTTCTCACACATGATTTGATTGATAATAAGGAACAAATATTTGAAGTTTTAAGTAGGAAAAATAAGGAAGCTATAGAAACAAACAACATTTTTTGCATGAAAATGCTGTCGCGAATTACGCGTTATCAATTGTATATAATTTTCCTTATTCATTAATATAAGTAAAGTACTTGTTTAAATATGTATTACAATTGATATACGAGTACACCTTGTTATAACTTTTTATGTTCCAATTATTGTATATTTGTACAATTGCTTAAGGCTGACCTAAAGTACATTTAAATCAGCATTAGGCAGACCATGAAACTTAGGAAGACATTTTAGGTTTGCCTATTTTTTGGACTTCAGCCATTCTCTTGATATAACTTATTTACGGAAGTTTTGTCTTTCGGTACATTTGTTTGATAAAAATGTTCCTTGATTTTATATGCTTTATAAAATAATACGCATGATTTGTTGATTTATTCTTATTTTAAATTTAAGCGCAATTTGTCCACGATGTCTCAAATGATATAACATATAGTTAGTGATATGTTAGCTCTGGAATTGAGTGTATCCGTGTTACCTCTCTATATTCTAAACACTTTGAGATATTTCTTCAAGAATTGTTTTAAACGTTAAATAAAGCAATTGGAACATTTTGTCAAGCATTTATACTTTTCAAATGAATTTTCTCAAAACTCATTTTCTTTCAAAAATATAGATATCATGTGTCATTGAGATAAGGTATTTGCAATTCTGTTGGCAGCTGTAGTTTGTATAAAGCACTTTTACATTCAGAGACTTTATACATGGATATAGGGTCATAATCGCCTTCTTGTTTAGTATAGTTGTTTAAATGACTTTTCAGCGTTTAAAATTTTCTAGTTTCTATAGAGGCTAGAAAATTGTTGTAATTAATTGTACCTAAAAGTTTAGGTTCTAAGGTATAATGACCAGTGGCTTCTTTATTTGATACAAAAATCATTTTTGTGTAATCATACTATATATTCAACTACTGCCTTTTAAACGAATACAAGTTATTGATCACTTAAATTGTTCCTTAGTTATTCTGTCTTTTTCTTGTTTATTTTGATGAGGGTTGTTTAAGTGTAAGTTCCAATGCATTAATGTTAATCAGTATTTGATTAAATGCAAAGGTCATCATTTTATCAAAATGCTTTATTTTGATCATTTCAATAACTGTCACTTTTTATGTTTTTAAGTTTTTTAACCTTCTTCAAATAGAATCAAGTACATCTTAGCAAACACTTAAAGCGTAATATGTCTGTAATTTTGGACGTCCCCTTTTTCTCTATACTATTTAAAATTTGTTGATTTAAATAGTAAATATTCTTGTAATTTTTCATTAAGTAAATTAGATAAGTAATTGGTCAGTAAATGTCCTAAGCTAACATATTTCTGCTTCAGAGGATGAGCTTTCAAAATTGTGGTTTGTCTGTCTTCCCTCTGTTGATTTTTGTATACAACTATGAAGTTTGAATAGTGTGCCAGTTTTAGATGCAGAATATCATTTTAAGTATTAGCTGCTTTACAATATAGCTTTTCTTTATTATCATTTTTGTTGTTTTTATATACAGCTATGAAGTTTGAAAAGTGTGCCAGTTTTAGATGCAGAATATTATATCAAGTAATGGCTTCTTTACAATATAGCTTTACTTTTTCTATCATTTACTGTAAAAAAAGATCTTAACCATTTTCAGAGAGCATTACTGTTATAGTCTGAAAATATATATATTGAAAATGATTGTTTTCTTCAGTCCTGCAAATTTAAATAAAATATTTTGTATATCCTGCACAACGACAGAGTATGGGGTGTGTCATGTAAGAATCACTTTGTCCTGTATACCCTCAATATCCTTTGAAACTTGTGCAGATATTGACTTGAAACATAAAATTTATTTTAAGTGTCATAAGAGATTTTGTAAGTTAATTATTACCTTTTTATTGAAATTTATGTTTATTGGACCATGTGGGAAGCCATTTAAGGCTCCAGAGAGTGACCTAAAAGAGTAAAATAAAACTTACTATTCAGGGGCAGATAACCCAGAAACCCTTTTATTTGTTTCAATAATTATACCGTTTGATTACTGTGAAATCATTTTTGTTCACGTAGGATGAATTTTCAAGTATTGCGTGCTAGGACAAATGCGCGAATTTAAAACTACGCTAATATAAAACAAAACAAATTTATTTAATTGTCAAAATATCAAATTTGTCCGAAAGATATGCATTGACCACTACATCTCCCGAATTATGCCGCTTGTCAGTGTACATAACAATTTACCTTCTATTGTATAATCAGTACACTACATGTTAATCATTTAGTAATTTCTGATTAACACATATACACGCGAGATAGAATGCAACGTGCGAGAGAGATATTGTTCACTTTTTTGTTCTCTTTGGCTTATTGATTCAAGATATTACTAGTAGTAACTCTATAAGTTGTACATGATTATATATTAAAGAAGTGACTAATTTACCGTCAATTGTTTTCGTGTATTTGTACATAACAATTTACCTTGTACACTACATGTATATCATTTAGTAAACTATGATTAACACATATACATATAGAATGCATCGTGCGAGAGAGAAATTGTTCACTTTTTTGTTCTCTTTGGTTTCATTAATTTAGAAATCGGAAATGCGTAAAATTAAGACTGTACAAACTTACTTTAAAAAAGATAAAAGTTAAATCTTTAAGACTTGAATATTTGAGGGAAAATATTTATTAGTAAGTTGATATTACTTTTTTAAAATATATTTTACTTGGAAAATATTCTTAATGTTACAAAAAATATTTTGAATTTTTTGAAACTTAGAAATCAATATATTACCGTATTCAAACCTCATTTAACAATTGAAATATCTGGTCTTCAATATGCATAAGAGTAGATTTAATCACAAACGTTGCCACAAGTTGTTTATGGGCATATTTCACTCTTAAAAGAATTACTCGAGCTATCTACAAATAAAAATAGCTCGAGGATATTTTCATCGTTGTGTTTGTTTATATCTATAAACAGTTATAGTGGAGTAAATTTTAATGGTGTAATAAATCTTGTTTTCATAAATCTGTTCATCTCTCATAGTGAATATTTGTCTTGATTGTAAATTCTTTAAGTCATTAAGAGCAGTTTAGTTGCTTTGATATTATAAGAAAATGACATTGACCATTGCTCTGTATTTTGTGTGCCTGTTATATATATTACCTCACCACACTGTATTTACTTCAGTGTACCATTATTGTCAATAAATTGATACTATGTATTTTCGAATGTTTAAACAGTCTAATTTATAATCTATCCTGGGTATGAAGTAACATAAATCACACATTGCAGGCCGACTGATAACAGATAACGCACATAAAATAAATTATATACAAACAAAATCCACTTGTTGAAAATCTTTCAAACATACTCATATATTTAAATTGTCTGATGAAAGATTTTACTGGATACATTATCTATATATTTCTATTTACGAAGTGCGTATATTGTATTAAACTCGTACCTTCAACATTTTGAATTTAACAGGTAAGATCTAATAGCTTAATTTTATTTAAATATATTTCATGTTGTAATACGTGCATTTCCAGTTTGATTATCCTATCAAGAAAATTAAATATATTTTTAGATAATTTTCTGGAGTGTCTCGAAATTGCATTAAAGAAATTCCAGCAGTGTTGATTTCCAGAAAAAAAGAGTTTTATTCAATCTGATATTCCTTGATAAGGTAATACCAGAAATGTTAGAGACATAATGTAATTTTAAACTATTTGAACGTTGGTTGTAAATACTGTAAATATTTTAACTGAATTATGGTTTAGAAAGTCTTTTTGTTTTGACAGATTGCCAAAATAAGAGTCACATAAAAGATGAACTCGGTGTTTGTTTTTGTATTATGTAAGTACAGAGCAATTTGTAACAAACAAAAAATGAATAACTTGCATGTACAAATGATTTTAACAGTTAAGCTCATATAAACTATATTTTGTTTTATACCGAATTCATTTTATCTCGATTGTGTAGTTACTGTTACATTTAAGCTTATAATCCTTAATTATAATAACCCATTTTCAAGATTTATATATGCACAACAGCTGATGTAAAGTGCCATGTGGCAGCTGTAAAACGTTGCCCCTTACTTTACTTTAGTGTTGTAATATTTGTCTGATCCTTCGGGATCATGGAATCCAGTATTTTATTAAGGGTTGGAGATTGAAAACCGCTTAAGCCGGTGCTCGAGTGTGTGTGGGGGACGTTGTTCCTTTCCTTTATCCAACATGAACAGACTAAATCAAACCGAGTGTGCAATTTCCATGAACGTTTTTTGGTTTTAATGCGTCTTAGGGATCACCCTGTCTCCAGATTCTTTCTGACACAATCTCGAATCCACTCCTTGAACAAACCAGTACTAAGCAATTGGTGTAAAGTTTCTTGCTGAATGTGATGGTTAGTAATTTTGATGCATAAACAACTCGGCTTTGCCGCCAAATTTTTGTACGCCCAACGTTTATTTAGGTAGACGTATAACTTTGTCCTTGTTATTACAAGTCTGTAGAAATATCAAACGTACATACAAAAATCTAAAGAAAAACACAGTTAGCTTTATGTTTCCACACTTTGATTTGGTAAATTATAAGATAACATTTGTTCAATGCTGACGTAAGTCATGCAAGTAAAGTGAAATGCAAGTATAACTGATTTTCTACTTTAATTGACAACGCAACAGTTATTAGCATTAAAGTTCCTTAAAACATATATTGAAACACTAGCGCCCTTGCAGTAAAGTTATATTTTAGTTTATGTTACTTTTATAAAGATTTCAAGCTTTTTATTACCTTTTAAGGCAGTCAGATCCCACACATTATATATATTTAAACAACAACAAAAACAACAAAATAATTTAATAAACTTCTTTAGGATCGATGTCTTTATGTCGGCAATTTTTGCCATCTTTCGATTAGAATTGTTTTAAAGAAACGAAACACCGTCCAAACTGAAGCAAAATTTGTTGAGGCGTATTTACTAGTGACTGTGTCTCACATAAAAGTAAACAAAAGTTTGCCCCTCGCCGCGGTTGGCTTAAATCTCGACAGAGACTCTGAATTCTTTAAAGTGAGGAAGCTATTAAACTAGTTTACGGAATGTTGGCGGTTCTACTAAGGTGCCGTTCGTGTCCCTGAAATGATGCATGGGGAAGGGCCCTGAGGTCTTCCTTCACCATTAAAGCTGGAACGTTACCATATGACCTGTACTGTGTCGGTTTGACGTAAAACCCGAATCAACAACCAAATAAACAAACAAACAAACAAAGTTTGGTTTTTGAACGAAATGTGTAAATTTAATATAAAAATGATTTTAAAGATGACAACAACAATGTTACTGAGATTTTCTTTGAAATATCTTCACACTATGTTTTGAAATGGCTATGTAAGCTTTTATTATTAAAAGTAAATTGTATCAGATAAATTTAGATAATTAACAACTACCGAACTATAAATATCATTTTCATGTTTTACAGTATACGTACTTCACTTCCAATATTGTGAAGGTCAGACAACAAAATCAGTATCAGCAATAGAAGGTGTTGATGTTAATTTGTCATGTGATCTAACTGGCGTTTTTACACTTCCAACCTGGAGAGGTCCACCAGGTTTGTTAGTTTACACACTACAAGATGATGTATCTGAGGCTATTAATCCTGTTGCACCCGCTGCCAGTAGATTACAATATGCCAGTAATAAAAAGGATTTGGTTCTATCAAATGCATATACAAATGATTCTGGCATCTACAGATGTTCGTACACAGGAATTGGGGATCATACAATCACTTTATCTGTAACAGCGAAATGTAAGTAAATGAAAGACGCACAATTCTATTATAATTATATAAAGACGTTCACAGAAATATTCACTTTAACAACCTACATGTGTATCTCTACATCTTTTAAAACTTACATTATTTGAACTAACCAAATAAACACTTATTTACTGGCTTTAAAATATAGGCCTTTTATTTACCCTATAATATTATAATTTAAGTTCTCAGAAATATTTTGTTTTCGGTGTCCTTTTATAGTTTTTCAAAATGCTACTTATGTTTTTGTATTGAAACCAAATTACTACTTGTTCACATTTTGCAACGATTATGACATATACTTTCATAGTAAGCGCTACCTTTCCATGTGATAACAGATATTTTTAAAGTTTAATTTAATAAAAGATACACGGCAAAAGTATTTTATATTTTGCAAGACCAACCAATATCCATTTAAGAAAATTTAGGCAAACTTTGAAAACAGCCCCTCATTGTGGAAACTTTTAGGGATATTGTAAATGAGGCTTTTTACATAGGGAAATGGTCAAATAAGTGTTAAAAGTGAGTGGGGCAGTGTTACATTTTTATACATATTAAAACATTTCGTTTAAAAACAATTATTTTGCTTGTTTAATTTGTTACCTTAATGTCATTATTTGTTTCTTAACAATGAGCAATAGGAAAACATTTTTCATAATGATGATAGATTATTTAGAGCTTCCTCATTTCTGAAAAAAGCCCTTCAAATGGCAAAGTTATAGTTCTAAAAAATGTCCATAACTCATAAACCACACGGTAAATTTGGTTTAAATTTTGCATACAGATGACATTTAAGGCATATAACTGTCCTATGTTGTCAAGTTTACAGTTCATTACAGTGCCCATTAGGGATGTTCTACCGTAAAGCCTTTTGTTGGAATGGGTAAAGAAATTAAAATAAATTACACAGAGCACTTATATCGTTCCATACTAGATCAAAGTCAATAAAGTCGTATGAACAGTATAGTTTAAACTTTTTACTACGCAGTTGCTAGGCCGCTCCAGGCCATTATTAGATAACTTTACAAGTTGTATTGATGAAAACATACTTTTGGAACATTCTTTCATAACTTTTCATCGCACAATGTACAGAAAGTTATTTTTATAGAAGTATTATCGTATTTTATCAAACTTGGGCAAAACTACACGTGTTATACAACTGGGAACGTACATTATTAGCGTTAATACTATATACGGTAATAATAGAAAGTTATATTTAGATTATGAGCAGTAAAGTTCTCTGGCTTGTTGTGTAAATGAAAAATAAAACAATTATGACAAAATGCTTCAGATCAACCAATCATTTATCTAACTGAACTTGCTGCAGCTTGCAGATAAAGTTACACGCTTTGTTGTAGAGTTAGCTGGATTATTTAGCTGCAGAGCTGTCCATGTTGTTCCAATATCTATAGCAATAATATAAATAACAATAAATAAACTAAAAAATGAAGATAAAAGTTATTTGAAAATCGTATCATCAAAAGATTAAAGTTTTGATTTAATAAGATATGAAAAGCAAGACCATCAAGGTAGGGTGGTGTTCAATGAGCAAGACAGGAGCCCAGCAGGACATCAAACAGCACAAATAATAATCCTTATCACATTGTCAAAAGTCTGAAAGATATGCAAAAAGAAAAACATTATTTAATTGCATTAGAAATATAAAATATAAATGAATTGGACTTAAATGGATATCAATATTAAAATATATTTTATGAAAAAATATGTAATCATATATTGATTGTAATAATATTGGTAATCAGAAAATATATGATTCTGTTTATCAAGCATCCCAATATCTCTGTATAAATTTTTGGATAATATTAATGTGCTGTCAAGGAAAAAATCGCTTAAAATGTGGAACATCGCAAATAATTTAAACTGAATTCTAATTTAAATTTAAACATGCCTGGTTTCTTTAAATACATGTATAGACATGATCCAAAAACAGTTTTATTAAGAAGAATCTCATAGGGTACTTAATACTTAGCTTTTGATGTGCAAAGAAAGGTATGCAAATAAATATTGTCCAACGGTTAACTTTAATTTGTAAAACTGAACGAAGCAAATGTAGAGTATTAATCAGCTTATTTTCAAGCATTGTAACTAAGAATGAAAAATAAAATATATTAAAACAGTGATGACAATAATAGAATCGGAAATTGAAGTCCAAGTAGGAGTGACTATCGGTTCGTCGGTTGTTATACGCATTATATAACTATATTAAAACTCTCCGTCAGCTGCTTAAAGTAATTTAGAAATACCAAAGAAGTTACAAAACCCATTGGAAGAATTAATCAATAAAAGGAACACTTATTGTGAATATTTTAGGTTGAGCCATTTAGCATACAAATTTCCTGCAACAAAAGAACCTCGAAGAGTTTCAAAATATATTAAACATATAGACACATTTGACTATACTTGAATCAAATTTGGTATCGATGGCTTTCTGTCGTCCATTATATGGTCTTTCGATTAGAATTGAAAAGAAACATACCATACATCCTTGAGCATAATGTGTTGGCACTTACAAGAACTGTGCGTCTAACATAAAAGTGTACACAAGTTGGGTTTATAACGAATAAGTTTCATTTCACATCTCTGTTTTATAAAAAAAAATAATTTTAACGATGACTGGGACAATGTTACTGATGTTGTGTGAAATATTTGCACAATATGTTTTGAAAGGTTAATGTTCGCTTTTAAAGTAAATTGTATATCAAGATAATATCATATTATTACCAATATTCTGAAGGTCAGACAGCAGTATCAGTATCAGCAACAGAAGGTGATGATGTTACTTTACCGTGTACTTTAACTGGAAGTTTTACACTGCCAGTATGGCGAGGTCCACCAGGTTTGTTAGTTTACACACTACAAGATGATGTATCTGAGGCTATTAATCCTGTTGCACCCGCTGCCAGTAGATTACAATATGCCAGTAATGAAAAGGATTTGGTTCTATCCGATGCACAAATAAGTGATTCAGGCGACTACAGATGTTCGTACACAGCACTTGGGAACCATACAATTACTTTAACTGTAACAGCTGAACGTAAGTAAATCTAAGAAGCACACTACTATAATAATTATATAAAGACATTCGCCGAAATATTTACATTTTAAAACTTGATCAATCTGTATGTGTATCGACTCGTATACATCTTTTAAAACTTATATTATTTTAGCTAACTTAATAAACACTTATTTATTGGCTTTAAAATAGAGGCCTATTATTTTTCCTATCGTATTTCATGTTTAAGTTCTCAAAATATTTTTTTTGGTGTCCTTTTATAGTTTTCCAAAACGCTACTTATTTATTTTGATGTTGAGACCAAAACATTTTGCAACGATTATTTCATAGAAAGCACTACCATTTTATGTGATATTCACTTAACATGCTATAAGAACAATTTTTAAGACGATGACCCTTTGACCATTTCTCAAGAAAAAAAAGTTTCGTTTCTGAATAATGTACCATCCAATCCACCGTTTGAAATTAGTAGTATAATGATTAGCAATATAAGCGCCCTGACATCTTGTCCACTGACAACTGGCAAACATACTTTGAATACTTTTAAAACCTGCACAGTATCAAAGACATCTAATAAAGCCTTTTTTTGGAAATATTAATGAAATTAAAAGAAATCACACAGGGCACTTGTATCGTTCCATACTAGATCAAAAGTCACTTTGTTTAAACAGTATAGTTTATTTTTTTACTACGCAGTTTCTATGCTGCTCCGGGCCATTATTAAATAACTTTACATGTATTGATGTAAACATACTTTTGGAACATTCTTTCATAACTTTTCATCGCACAATGTACAGATATTTATTTTTTATAGAAATATCGTATTTTATCAAACTTGGGCAAAACTGCCGTGATATACAACTGGGAACGTATGGCATTATCGTTAATACTACTGTATATACGGTAATATTAGAAAGATATATTTAGATTAGGAACAGTTAAAGTTTTCTGGCTTGTTTTGTAAATGAAAATTAAAATAAGAATGACAAACAGCTTCAGATCAATTAATTATTTATCTAAGTAAACTTGCTGCAGCTTACAGAAAAGAAAATGTTATAAACTTTGTAGTAGAGTAAATACTGGATTACAAATAACTGTGTGTTTTGTGGATTCCTCAGCTGCAGAGCTGTCCATGTTGTCTAATATCTATAGCAATAATATAAATAACAATAAATAAACTAAAAGAATGAAGATAAGAGAATTATTTGAAATAATATTATCAAAAAATGAAAGTTTTGATTAAATAAGATATCAAAAACAAGACCTTCAGAGTAGGGTGGCGTTCAATAAACGCAACCCCGTGCGACTCAGCAAGATGAATGAATAATGATAATTCTTATCACAAAGTGACCATTGTTAAACGTCTGAATGATATGCAAGAAGAAAAGCATTATTTAATTGCATTAGAAATGCATATAAAGGCATTGGACTTAAATGTTTATCAAAATAAGAATGTTTTATGAAAAATATGTAATCCTATATTAATTGTAATAATCTTTGTGATAAGAATCGCTCAACATGTAGAACATCACAAATAATGGGAACAGAATTCTAATTTAAATATAAACATGCTTGATTTGTTTTATAATTGAAATTAAATACAGGTATATACATGATAAAAAACAGATTTATTTAGAAGAATCACATAGAGTACTTAAAACTTAGCTTCCGATATGAAATGAAAGGTATACAAATAAATATTGTCCAACAGTTAACTTTTATAAAAATGTACCAAGCAGATGTAGAATATGAATCAGCTTGTTTTTGTCATTATAACTAAGAATGAAAAATAAAATGTATTAAAACAGTGATGACAATAATAGAATCGGACATTGGAGTCCAAGTAGGAGTGGCTGTCGGTTCGTCGGTTGTTATACGCATTATATAAATATATTAAAACTCTCCGTCAGCTGCTTCAAGTAATTTAGAAATACCAAAGAAGTTACAAAACCCCATGGAAGAATTGATCAATATAAGGAACACTGATTATGAATATTTTAGGTTGAGCCATTTAGCATACAAATTTCCTGCAACAAAAGAACATCGAAGAGTTTCAAAATATATTACACATATAGACACATTTGACTATACTTGAATCAAATTTGGTATCGATGGCTTTCTGTCGTCCATTATATGGTCTTTCGATTAGAATTCTTTAAAAGAAACATGCCATACATCCTTGAGCATAATGTGTTGGCACTTACAAGAACTGTGCGCCTAACATAAAAGTGTACACAAGTTAGGTTTGTTACGAATAAGTTTCATTTCACATCTCTGTTATATAAAAAAAAATTGTAACGATGACTGGGACAATGTTACTGATATTGTGTGTGAAATATTTGCACAATATGTTTTGAAAGGTTAATGTTCGCTTTTAAAGTAAATTGTATATCAAGATAATATCATATTATTACCAATATTCTGAAGGTCAGACAGCAGTATCAGTATCAGCAACAGAAGGTGATGATGTTACTTTACCATGTACTTTAACTGGAAGTTTTACACTGCCAGCATGGACCGGTCCACCAAATGCTTTAATTTACACAAATCAAGATGATCCATCTGAGGCAATTAATCCTGCTGCACCGGCTGCCAGTAGATTGCAATATGCCAGTAATAAAAAGGATTTGGTTCTATCAAATGCATATACAAATGATTCTGGCAGCTACAGATGTTCGTACACAGCACTTGGGAACCATACAATTACTTTAACTGTAACAGCTGAACGTAAGTAAATCTAAGAAGCACACTACTATAATAATTATATAAAGACATTCACAGAAATATTCACATTTTTAAACATTACTCACGTACACGTGTATCGTAAAACTAAAAGCCTATTATTCCCCTCTTAATATTTTGATTTAAGTTCTCAAAATATTTCGTTCTCGGCGTCCTGTTATAGTTTTCCAAAAGATACTTATATTTTTTTGTATTTAGGTCAAAATATTACTTTGTGCACATTTTGCAACGATTATAACATACACTTTCATATTTTATGTCAGAAGTACCTAACACGATGTTAGAACAATTTTATTTAACGTTGTATAAGTCATGTTGACCCTTTCTCAAGAATAAAGAAAATTCGTTTCTGAAGAATGAGCAATCCAATTCACCAGATCATGAAATAGAGAAAAACAGAATCCCTAAAGAACGACAAAAATGAAAATGTTGCAGGCTTGGTTTGATTGAGCCTGTTCATGAACTTGTGAACATTGATACTTAAAATATTTAGATACTTTTTAACTGTGAAAATGCGCGAATAGCTTTAGATAATTTGCTTTTAGACTACTACTCCCTTATTGTTATACTTTTATTGTTTCATGTTTGATGAATAAGATATCTATTGTATATTTTCATTTCAGAAACTGAGATTGTAGGATAGAATCATCAGTATGTTGCTTCTTCAAAATGAAGAAAAAGAATATTTTATTATTATACACAAATCGGCACTGGAAAATGTTTGTGAATACTTTCAAAAGCATAATCATTTCTATAACAGAAAACATACAAGACTAGATATATAGAATTAAGTTATTGGGATTTCGCCCTCGTTTTCAAGTTATCGGCTTATATTTGTTTATATTCTAGGTCATTTCATGGGGAGATAATGATGTTTCTGTTATATTCTAAGATCATGAAGGTTTTCATTCTGTAGTTTTTATTCTGTAAACCCAGCATACGCTTTTCAGCAAATGATGTTTTGTATTTTCTTTTTGTTCTTATCAATGCATTTGCAACTGCATGATAGAAATACATTTTATCTGTTAATTTCACCATTAATAGGTGTGAGGGGTCGGGGTTATCCTTTTTCATACTTTTTTTACTATGATAAATAAACATGAGCAACATATTAATGAAAATAAAATCATTTCTTCATTTATGCAATAAAAGAACGCATATCATTCTACTTATAAATGTAAAAGTGATGTATTTGTTAAACAGACGCAGTTACTTTTGTCATTCGAATAAATGCCACACATTTCGCATTCATGAGTTTCATCGTGATTATTTTTTTCATAGCTATTGCATGCTAACCTAAGACTATTTTAAAAACCTTTTCACGTTTTTTTTACTTGCATAAATATATAACAACTTTCATTCAAAAACAATTTGTCATATACAAAATTCTTATATTGACATGATTTATAAGAAAATAAGTCATCACAATTATGTTAGCTTTCTTTTAGACACTGAAATAAGATAAAAATGTTAAAATTGTTTTTTCAAGGACACATTTAATTGTTCACGATTTTCATCTTTAAGAAAAGAAGGATAGCAAATTTGTCGCTTTTGTTGTATGAATAATTCGTATCTGTAATGAAGTCACTGATAATATACGGATCTTTGACACAGTTATGCATCTAAATTAAATGCCAATTTATGCTATTATTCTCCAAACATATGAGCCGCGTCACGACAAAGCCAACATAATGGGTTTGCGACCAGCATGGATCCGGACCAGCCTGCGCATCCGCGCAGTCTGATCAGGATTCATGCCATTGCTTGCATACTCTATAACAAGTAGAGAAACTGATAGCGAACAGCATGGATCCTGATCAGACTGCGCGGATGCGCAGGCTGGTCTGGATCCATGCTGGTCGCAAACCCATTATGTTTGTTTTGTCATGCCGCGGCTCAATTATGTCTATTGTTTACTGACGTGTTGGTACATCTGACTTTCTAGCTAAAGTTTCATATACAAACTTTCCATGCTTTCTCTACGTAAAACAGATCTCATTTACAGCTTAAGTTGTGGTTTTAGGACACAAGAAATCGAGTCAGATAGAATTAATCAGCTTTTGCATTTAGACTTCCATTGCCTGTTTATTCCTTTTTTTAAACTATTAAACTGTATTGTTTATAACACATTTACCAAATATGCTTTGTTTAGAAAGTAATTTAATCTGATTAAGGGCGTTTTCTCGAGCTTTGACCTCAATAGAAATTTTTAAATTTTGATATTTTACGTAAAATGTATGGTAAATTCAAAAATCACAAAAATATTTTTAATGGGACTAGATTTATTTAGGAAATAGATATCAATTCTGAGTGCATTGTTATAGAATAATGCACGGTTTGAGTTCAAATGCGTAGTGTAGTAATATAATCACGAAGGCCGATAGGCCTGAGTGATTAATTACAAAGCATTTGAACGAAAAACGTGCATTATTATACAATAATGCACGAAGAATTAATATCTATTTCCATTCTAACACGTCAAGAAAAAATAAAATTATCATTATGAAGTTGGACTTTATGTTTGGTGGTTAAATTTGTTTTCCCCTAAGAGTTTCCCATAGAAACGTTCTTTAAAGGCTGTTCCAGTGGGTTGAAAAAAAAAACTGTCGTTAAATCTACCGTGTGTAGAAACATTTTGAGAATAACGAATTTTGAAAACGTTGGAAAATCTTTGTTTGTTTACTTTATTTCACTTTATAATTTTTCAAGCGAAATACAAATTATTAAAAGTGAAATAAGTGTAAAACTTAACTCGTTTGCGACATTAAAATAGCGTACTTGATTTGATTGTTTTGCACGTGCTGTTTGGCGCTACATTGTGACGTCACGTAAACAACACTTAAAACGTCTGTACAGCGTTAACGACTGAATTAAAGATATTAGTGTTCGGATTCATTTTCTTAGTTAGACCATTTCCTTTCATTCTAGATAGCTTTCACAACAAAATTCGACAAACAATGTTTTATTTATCAGATTTTTTGAACAAAATGGCGCCCTTAATGTGAAAATACATGTAAATACATGAGAATGTAAAATTACAGTTTCCATATGCTTTGTTTAGAATGTAATTTTATCTGATTAAGGGCGTTTTCTTGAGTTTTGGTCCTTCAATAGAAGTTTGTAATTTTGATATTTTACGTAAAAATGTATATGCATGTTGAATTAAAAAATCACACAAATATATTTAATGGGATTAGATTTATTGTAAAATTACAGTTTCCATGATAAACGTATACATCTAAACGATAAAATTCATTAGAATAGCTGTATAAACGAAAATACAGTATCATGTGTCATCAGTTACTCAATAAATATGAATTTACATAGAAAACCGTTTACTGTATTGTTGTTTTGTGTTATATTGTTTTATACTCGGAATTACCTTGATAATCGATTTTCATGCGATTTTTGGGCCAATTTGAGTGAGAGGCGTTGCAACGCTTTTTATTTTGGATAAATTTGCACAACATATTAACTTATTCTGCTAAACGCAGTAAGCAAATTATCTGAAAGTTTGGACATGAGTTATTGATACAGACCTTCGATCAGTTATACAAAAATCTTGAACAAATAGTTACGGTCCCTTCATGTTACTTTGTGACTAATATTCGCTTAAAGATCCATGACCTTAGCTCAAATACTACACGGACGCACGGACAAGTAAAATGTTTAAATCCCCCCCCCCCTCAGAGTGGGGCATAAAAAGTCGAAATTTTATCTTCAAGTCAATAAATATTAATGTTAAAAATATTTAGCACATATTGTCGACAAATCCAGTCATATTAGTCATTTCACTGGTAAAATGATGAGAAAATCGGCGTGGACTTACACAAACATATTGCAGATTTACGATGATAATGTATTAATTATGCTAATGATGATGATGGTGATCTATTAATGTTGATAAACAAAGGTTAAAACGACGATGTTAATGTAAGTTTACTGTGTAAAATGTGTGACGTTCAGGCATTTACTACCAAATTTCAGAAACGTATGGCACATAAAGGCAGCTGTGATTAATTCAGGCGAATATGTCCCACACATGTGACATATACGTTCTGTGACATATACGGTCCGACAAACCGTAATTAAATATTGATCCGACGATTGCATAAAAAATGCAATGAAATATCCGGACTTATGTTATATCTTTAGATTTATTTAACAGTGTGTGCATTTTCCTGAGTGCTTTGCCTTTTAAAAACATTTAAAACGAAAGGACCAGTGTGACTCAATGTAATTCCCAAATTATTGAAGTAATCAACAATTTCAAACCGTTCATCATTAAAAACTTACAAACGAAATGTTCATCTCTTTTAACTGACCCTCGTTTCCTAAAAAACAGCAACTTTGGTTTTTACAGTATTTACCTCTTACCCCATCTGTCACAATATTCGCGCAAAGAATTCAGTCTCGACTGTAAATCTTCTACATAATAGCCACATATTAGTTACCATATCATCCGCAAATAACAGAATTACACGACAAACTTCATAAATGATGAGACCAGTTGTATTTTTTTGCTGCAAAAACGATTCGATGTCTTCAATAAATAAGGAAAAAAATGTTGGCGAATTTGTCTGAACCTGACGTTAGTCCACTGCGATTTCAACAAAACCAAACAATTCATTCTTACATGTTATACTCGGTTTAACAATATTGTACTGGTTTCTAAACATTGTCAGAATGTAACCATTTATACCTTTTTGTACAGTTTAAACCACAACGCGTCACGGTTCACTTCAGATCAACTAAAGCAAAATATAGACGTTTGTTGCCGTTTGAGCTTTGTTCTTCTATCAATAATGCAGATCAAAGACTAGTGTCGCTGTCAAAAATGTCTTCAAATTTTGTTACCCCTGTCCTTCCACCACCTGTCCACTCCCTCAAACACATCGTGCACTCAAGAAACGAGATAACGTAATTGACGAAATAAATTGTTTTATTACCCTTCCCCCCTCTTTTTGATTGGATATTGATCCGCGCCAAAAGAAATTGATATTACCCAGCCAGACGGGTTATTGGTAGATTCGAGGTCAACCGATTGCCGAACGACACTGGACCGACAGCCATCCGAGTGAAAACCCTTTGCCAAAATACTTTAAGCTATTTATCTTGCTTTTTTCAAACTTGGCTTTCACCAGAGCACATCTGTCGTGCCACATTCCACCGACCTAAATATTGGATAAATTCCAGTGTAAATTTTAATTTTTTTTTCTTCATTTACATTTAACTTCATGACGTTCTTGTACCCGGTTTGGCAATGTCTTGGCATGGTTCTCGAACTTCCCGTACTCATCAGTTGACCCAAATTTAGTCATTCAGTCGCCAGACAAATCGTCATTAAGAGCGACCTACCAGCAAACTGTTCAAAAATTCTGGAAACAAAGTGATCCCTCGGAAGCAATAATCACAACAAAATTACAATAGAATTGCAGACTCAGTTTGATTGAGTCTGTACATGTGGGATAATGGATATGTGCAACATCCCTCACGCCCCCTAGCACCGGCTTGAGCGGTACTCAATTCTCAACACTTAATAGTGCTGGCATCAATGATCCCGAAGGACCAGAAAATATAACAACACTGAAGTGAAGTACGGGGCAACTTTATACAGCTGCCACACAGCACTTGACACCTGCTGTTGTGAAGTATGAAAATTCTGGAAACAAAGTGATCCCTCGGAAGCATTAATCACAACAGAATTACAAGAGAATTGCAGAATAGATGAATATAGAATCCCTAAAGAAAGCCCAACACGGCAAAATTGAAAATGTTGCAGGCTCGGTTTGATTGAGCCTGTTCATGGACGGTACTGGAAAGTGCAAGTTACCGTCCACGCCCCCTAGCACCGGCTTAAGCAGAATTCAACATTTAAACGTGAAATAGTAAAATTTTGAATTTAGAAACATCCGCAGATGTGTTCATACGGCGGTTATCATGGAACCTTCAATGTGACACTTCCGTGCCATTCCATGAAAAGCGGCGTATGGCCACAAAAGGCTAAATTCAAGTACAAGCCCAACTCGTGCTAGCCACGAAAGGCTAAAAATTCAATCACAAGCCCAACTTGGGTTAACGTTAACTGAAATAACTAACTTTCCAATAGATGAAATGAATTTCACTGGCGAAATATAGCACAAATAGTTTAACTTAATTCTCCTTGATGGCAATAGTTCACAGATCAAAACTGAATTTTAATGCACAACTTGAATTTTAATTGTTCGAAAATGGAGCACCGCGTATGTGAACATCAATGGCTGACCCTGGGAGTCAGTCGTATAGCCATACAGATGTCTATGATTTAAAATATAAGAATACTAACGTAAGTATGATAAAGGAAGTTCGTAAATCGCTGTCCGCCATATGGCTTCAGCGCTTCACAGACAAATCTGTGACTCGCTGAAGCCATTGCCAAAAGAACAAAGAGAAAAAATATTCTTTTGGAAACAGCGATCACTAAAATACAATTTATCGGTACAGTTTACTGGATGAGTACGAGAAACATTCAGATGCCAAGTAATTTATTCGAAACACTGTATCCCATCCCAAATAAATGCTTGTAATGCAGATGATAATTGTGTGATAAATATACAATTTCCAAGGAAAGTTAAATGAACCCAGTCTGTTGCAAACAGTTCTGGAGTTACCTCCCTTAACTCAGGATGCTTAATATAGGCACCATTTTTT